ATTTACCTCAGACGACGAAAAATAAAAAGTCTCTCTCTCTCTCTCTCTCTCTTTTTTTTTTTTAAACACAGAAAAAGAAAGAGAAACTGAACAAAAAACTGAGGCAAAAATGAGAGCTAGTCACTAAAAAGTGATCCAAAAGCAGCGATCCGGCCAGACCTCTCGAAGAAAGGTCTGCTCAGCGCGGCGGAAAGGAAAGAACTGTCGGGATGTCCGTGCCTGCCCTTCTGGGCATGCTCACTGGGGCTCCTGAGCATGCTCAGTTGGGCCAGGCACGAAAATCCTTTTAAGAGAGCTTGCTAGGCACCGGCAGATCCAGCGCAGGCGCACTAGATCCCATTGGTGTGAAGCACAGAGACCACGAAGAAGATCGGCTCTTTTTCAAGAACAGCTGTGCCAGAACTATGGCTTGCTCAAGGTCATCCAGCAGGCGCAAGTGGTGGAGTGGGGAATCAAACCCTTTCTCTTCCCCTCCCCACAACAGACACCCGCTGTGAGGTAGGTGGGGCTGAGAGAGCTCTTTTGAGAACTGCTCCTGAGAGAACAGCTCTGAAAGAACTTGTAACTGACCGAGCTCCCAGTGGAGGAGTGGGGGAATCAAACCCGGTTCTCCCAGATTAGAGTCCGCGCTCCTAACCACTACACCAAACTGGCTCTCTTTCTGCACCCAAAGCAGAAGCTCTGTCGCTGAGCCACAGCCCCTTCCCGTACCTCTTGAGCTTACATCTGCAATCCGACTGCTTGAAGCTACACTATTGTGATGATGGAGACGGCGCTATGCTGCCTTCCCCCCTGAGCTTAACGGTCCCAACTGGCCTTCCCTGATTCCCAGAGCAGCCAGCCTGGATAAGCTCCTCAGCCCCTTGCCAGCTGTGGTGGGCACCGTGGGCCTGCCCGGCTCCTCGCCCAAAGGAAGCAGCAAAGTGGCAACTCGAATCTGGGGGGGGGGGGGGGCAAGGAGCCGGAAGGGGAAAGATCTCCTGACCTGCGGCCTCTCCGGGGCTGCCTCCCACTCTCCAGAGCAGCTCGCTGAGGAACAGCCCCTCGTGCAGCTCGGCATGGGTGCCCCAGACCCCGACGGCCACGCCCTGCAGCTGCCTTTTGCTCATGCAGATATCCAGGGAGACGGTGAGTGCCAAGGACAGCTCTGCCAGGCAAGCATCATCCTGCAGGGAGAGGGGTGCACGTATCAGGGCCCGCAGGCGCCAGCTACCGGCCCGTCCACGTGCATCAGAGGTGGAAGCCTGGCCGCCTTACCCTCTCCACCCCCCCCCTCAAAGCCAGCATCCCAGAGGAGAAGCTTTTGCAGCAGACGGTCCAGTGGCCCAGGTTCAGAAGATCCCCACTTGGGCACAAGGCTGCCCAGGTGACCTTGAACCAGTCACTGTCTCTACTTTCCAAGGTTGCTTGTAAGGACAAACTGGGGAGGTGGACTATGCAGGATCTGGAAGGGAAACCCCCCCCCCATCTCACCTGCTGGCTGCTCTTGAGCACTTTGCTGTTCACTTGACTGAAGGTCACCTCGCAGGCCACACTAGGAGGAGAAAGAAGGTTCCAATTAGGGCCAAAGGTTTGTGTGCGTGCGGAGAACACGGAACGCAGCGGAGAAAGGGAAAACAAACAAAGATGGCAAGCATCCCCTGCTCCAAACAGGTGAAGTTTTACGTTTTAAACAACCTCCAGTTCTGCTGCCTACTACCACTTCCATATGAGGGAAGACCTTCCCATCAGCTTGCTGGGTGGTGGTGGTGATAATGCAGGAACCCCTGATGCTGGCTAATTTCACCTGCCCTAGGCTAATGTTAGCCACTGGCCCTGCCATTTTCAAGGGGGCTCAGAAATCAAAGATCCCCAAGAGTAGCATCAGGGGAAGTATCCAAGTCCTGCCCACCCCACAGTTAAAACAGGAGCAGGAGGAGGAGAAGAGAAGAGATTGGATTTATACCCCACCCTTCACTATCTGAAGGAGTCTCAGAGCGGCTTACAATCTCCTTCCCCTCCCCCTCCCCACAACAGACACCCCTGTGAGGTAGGTGAGGCTGAGAAAGCTCTCTCAAGAACTGCTCTTTCCAGAACAGTTCTAAGAGAACTGTGACTGACCCAAGGTCACACCAGCAGCTGCATGGGGAGAACTGGGGGATCAAACCCGGTTCTCCCAAATTAGAGTCTGTGCTCCTAACCACTACACCAAACTGACTCTCACACCAAACTGGTAGCGGCAGCAATACTTCCTTTCCCCAGGGGTCTTTTGGGTCCATCCAGAACAGATCACTAGAGAAAGCCCCCCCCCCCCAACACAAAGATAACTGAGCCAATGAAGCTGGTGAAAAGGAGGAGACGTAAACAGTGCAGAAGGCTGCGAGCGCCTCCCTCAAATCCTTGCTTTGACCCCAGGCCACCATTTCCACCAGCCTCATTTGGAACAGGAACATGATACAATTTTATTTCATTTATTTAATTCACCCGTACCCCACCTTTCTCCCCTATGGGGACCCAAACTGGCATGCAGCGGTTTCGTCTCCATTTTAAGGGGGCGGCCCAGGAGGCTCCCCTTTGGAGGAGAGATGGGGGAAACGAGAAGCACTTTATTTATTTATTAAATCAGGCTTATTAGGCCGCCCTTCTCTGCAAGCAGGGCTCAGGGCGGCTTACAGCAGAGCAAGCACAATAAATAATTCAAATCAAAACCAATGTTAGAATACCTATATCTTATCAGCAAATGAAACAATACACTCCCCAAGATGGTGGGGAAAGACATTTTTCACAAACTACCGTTGTTTCCTTATCTACCCCTCTGCTTTTGCCGGCAAATGTCACTGTGGCCCTATAACTTATCAGCAAATAAAACAATACACTTCCCAAGATGGTGGGAAAAGACATTTCTCACAAACTACCGTTGTTTCCTTATCTACCCATCTGCTTTTGCCGGCAAACGTCACTGTGGTCCATTTGTGGCCTTCAGGATGGAGAAGAGCATGAGGAAGCCAGCTGCCTTCTCGGCATGGCCCAGAACTTCATCCCAGTGGGGAGGCCTAGCTAGACAACAGGCCCTGCAAGGCTCCCCTACCCCCAAGCTGTTCACAAAGGTGTGATGACAAAACCCCCCCCCCCCCGCTGGACTCACCGTCGACCATCGCAGCCCAGGAGGAGGCAGGTTCTTGTGATCTGGACGTGCCAGAGAGACTCCGATGCCGCCACGTGCAGGACCATGATGTTAACGGACTGCACGTGAACTGAGAAAAGCTAGGGAGAGAGGGAGGGAGGACAGGGATCTCAGTGGGCAGGAGGACCCAAATGGAAGGAACCCAGGCTCTCGTTGCCCCCCTTGCCCCTGCGTTCTACTTGTGATCTTTTTTTTGGTAAACAAATTTTATTTTCTCAGGAATACAACATATAAAACATTTCATTCTATCAATTGTCTACCCCATTCCCAGTTCCTCCCCTCCCTCCAATGGCTTCCCACAATGCTTCCACCCCTGCTCCAAATTACTTCATATCATCAACAATATCAGTTTTTCATCATTACAATCTAAAGATAACATCGTTTGACTTAATATTGATCTAAACATATTAAGTTTTGTTTCACATCCCAGTTCTTTTCCAGATAAATTTTAAAATCATTCCATTCTCCAAAAAACTCATCGTCTTCTTTGTTATTCAGTTTTTTTGTAATCTTATCCATTTGTGCCATGAACAGAACTTTTTGTATCCATTCTTCAACCTCTGGTACCTTTTCTGTCTTCCAAAACTGAGCATAAATCATTCTCGCTGTCACTATCAGGTACCAGAGTAAAGTTTTTTTAGTCGTATTGACTTCTTCCATTTTGAGTCCCAAAAGCAGAATTTCCGGTGCTTTTTTAAAAGAACATTTCAGTATTTTTTGCATTTCATTGTGGACTTTTGTCCAAAAGTCTACAGCTTTCTCACAAGTCCACCACATATGATAAAATGAGCCCTCATGCCTCTTACATTTCCAGCATTTGTTTGACATATTTTGATTCATATTTGCAATCTTCTTAGGTGTCATGTACATGACACGTTCTACTTGTGATCTGATGCCTGCCAACCCGTAGATGGAATAGTGCTTGGCTCCTGGAGAACCCTGCTGTCTTCTGAGTTACTGTCACTCTCTTGTCACCAAGAAGCGTTTTCTGTTTTGTCAGCAGAGAGTCAAGGTAACAGAGAAGCTTCTTGGAGGTCAGGCGCCTGAGATACGGTGAAGACTTGACGTGAAGAGGACAGCCGGGCACTTGCCCAGGGAAGAGAGATCGGAGCAAGTGCCTTTTCTCGTCAGAGCTTGAAGGCTAAGCAGGGTCAGCCTCGGTTCAAACCTTGAATGAGAGACCTCCAAGAAAGGGGGGGCCTGTGGTTCAGTGGTAGAGCATTTGCTTGGCATGCAGAAGGTCCCAGGTTCAATCCCCGGTATATCCAGTTAAAAGATCTGGCAGTAGGTGGTGTGAAAGACCCCCACCTGAAACCTTGGAGAGCTGCTGCCAGTCTCAGCAGACAATACTGACTTTGACAGACCAAGGGTCTGATTCAGATAAAGGGGGTTCATTTGTTCGTGTGAAGGCAAGGGCCACTATGCAGACGCATGCAATGGCAAACCACCTCTGTTTGTCCGTTGCCTTAGAAACCCTACAGGGTAGTCATATGTCAGCTGCAACTTGATGGCGCTTTCCACTACCCAGGATACATTCACAGTTTTGTAAATGAATCATTCAAACGTGCCTATTTTGGAAACCAAACTTTAAGGGTTGGACCCTTTGGAAAACACAGAGATGTAAAATTTCCAAAAATGTTGAAGCCATGGGAAAAAAAACAAGTTTTCCTGCCCCCGTGTTTTTTGGCAAAAAATCAAAATGGTAGGAAAACCTGAAGTATATGCAATACTGACTGTCCTATCAAGCCTGAACTAATTTTACTGCTTTAACAGCATTAAACACATCATTTTAAAGTTACTTAAGATATAAAATTGCAATATTTGACATATTTATGGAAGTTAAAATGGCTTAGTTTTCTACAAACAAAACACCCAATACTTGAGAGAAAACTGCAAGCTGGGGCACCCTATGCTACCTTAGCATATGTACCTTAAGTTTAGCTATCTGGTTAGAGAGAGCTCAATTCTCAATTAAGCTTTCAGAGCTTCCCTTTGAGGCTTTGGTGCATTTTCTGCCCCACCTCCTTCTGATCTGTTTTCCCCTCCAGCAAGGTAGGACAAAAAGCTACTTGTTACCCAGTGTGTGTGTGTACATGTGTCACAGTGGTTCGAGGGAGAGATAAAAAGGTCGACCTCAAGGAAAGAATCAGGTCGAAAGAATAACAGAAGGCATGCAACAGTTGAGAAACAATAAAAGCCCTGCAAGCTCCCCTTATCAGGTATCCTTCTAGATGCAGAAATGCACCTTGAATTGAAAAGCTATATATGTCTACAGCATGCCCACCTTGTCTTTAAAAGCATTTCACTAATTCTTTAAAAGAACATATTTCTCTCCATTGTTGGCTGTACTGTATAAACATTAATACTGGGAGGAAATTTTACAACATATACGTCAAATTACAACATTAGAAATAGCTTTGATGGTTGACAATATATTTTTTAATGGCTGGACCCAGAAAGCTAGCAACAAACATAAAGAAGAGATAGTTTCTGCTATAGCTGCTGCAAAATCAGCTATTGCTCTTTGTTTGAAAACATCTTTTGCCCCTAACGTATCACTTTGGCATAAAAAACTTTGGGAATATTATGTTTTGGCAAAATTGTCCGATGAATTATCACAATATGAATATCAGTATGTCACTCTAATTTTGTAACAATTTGATTTCCAATTTTAGAATATTTGATTCAACAAGAAATATCAGACGAAGTTAACGATCTACAGATATGGTGAAACGATTGGTTGCAGATGTTGCGTGTTTACTATATTTGGTTCTATAGACTTTAATATGTGATGGAGAAAGTAATTAAAAAACAGTAAAGTTATTAAGTTGTAATATTACTTAATATGTATGACATACCCACTATTAAGTATTTTATGTTTTTTTGACTTTGTTGTTATTTCAATTAAAAATTGGTTTTTTTTAAAGAACATTTTTTTTCCAGTACTCCCCAAAATTTCCAGGTTTTCTGTAGGAGAAATGAGGGGGGAGACTATGGGGGGGGATCCCCCCCCCCAATTTTCCAGGTTGTTTCCTGGGCATTCACATCTCTATCCACAAGTACAACAGGGGGTGACTTTCACCGTTTCTCCCCTGCTGTGGCAGTTCTCCAGTTCCCACTGCTCTTCCCCTTCCCCCAGGAGCAGCATTTTGGGGAGAGGGGAGGGCAGGGAAGTTGTACTTCCATGCACAGAAGTTAGATGTGGTCCAAGCTTACCCAACCAAACGGCCTTCTTTCCTGCAGTGAGGTCCAGTAGATGCAGCCAAGACCATGGGGCTTCTTTTGCTCTGGCGTCTGAACCCCCCTCGGGAAGGCTAAATGCAACCACAGGGCCCCGTACCTGATTAAGCAGCCGCAGCAGAGAGGGCCCGAGGGACAGCACCTTGCTCTGCTCAGCATCTTCCTGTGCCGGCACCTTGAGCGCGGGTGGCTGAAGCCCAGGCGCCTTTTGGAGGTCCATGCGAACGCACACTTCTCCAAAGCACAATGCCAGGTAGCGCCTGCGTGAGAAGCAGAGGGAAAGAACAGCCACAACCACCTTTCCCACCTCGTACACAGTCGCCCGCTAAAAGCCAGGGTCTCCACACAGCAACCCAACAGCCACAACAATTTGTTTTTCTCATTCTTTAAGCAATTATTTATTTGCTTCATTCATACCCCACAGGTCTTCCCAATGGGGACCCATAGCAGCTTACATCAGTTGCCTCTACTCCATCTTATCGCTGAAACAACCCTGTGAGGAAGGTTAGGAGGAGAGTGTGCAACTGGTCCAAGGTCACCCAGCAAGCTTGAATGGTAGAGCGGGGTTCTGAACCTGGGTCCCCGAGATCCCAGTCAGACTCTTAACTACCACAGGAAACAGGAAAGGGTAGCCTTGAAGTCCCAGGAGACCTCCCCAGGGATTTCAATGTGACAAGCCGGGTTGTTGCAACGGTTTTCAAATTGGTTGGGGGTTCCTTGGAATCTTGCCAGAAGTATCCAGACAAGATCAGCAAACCCAGAAAGGCCACTGGACCACCCCTACCAGTATTCCCCTGTAACATACTACCTCAAGGAGTTAGATTCAAGTGGGTAGCCGTGTTGGTCTGAACTAGTAGAACAAAGTCTGAGTCCAGTGGGGCACCTTTAAGACCAACAAAGGTTTATTCAAGGTATGAGCTTTTGTGTGCAGGCGCACTTCCTCAGATACATTGAAATGGAAGTTATACATATAGGTAGAGGGTGAACAGGAAATTAATATACAACATAATGAAGACATTTTAACAGATGCAAACATTCTCAGGGTCTCAGTTTATTACTCCCACCATCCCACAATTAAAGAGGATACATTTACACATCAGTCTCCAATTTTGACATATTTATTTGCTTCACTGTGTTTCCCCCTGGAATTAAATTCAAACAAATGGTGACCATATAAACTGAGCCTGCTATTCCTGTTTGGTTCTCATTTCTGTTAAAACATCTTCATTATGTTGTATGCTAATTTGTTGTTCACCCTCTACCTATATGTATAGACTGATGACTTCCATTTCAATGTACCTGAGGAAGTGTGTGCACACACAAAAGCTCATACCTTGAATAAACTTTTGTTGGTCTTAAAGGTGCCACTGGACTCAAACACTGTTCACCCTCAAGGAGTGTTAGCTGTGCTCTCAGGGGGACTGTATTCCGTATGGACACAGCTTGTGCCCCAAATTCACCCCAACATACCCAGCAGCATACAATGCTCCAGAGTTCCATGACAAACAGGTGGACAGGGACAGTATTCGTTGAAGGTAAAAATTCTCAATCAGGCTAATGCAGGCCCCAGTGGACACACAACCAAGCTCTGCATGCTCACGGCACAAATACTTACGGCACATCCTGGTTCCACAGCTTACTGGAGACCCAGATACTGTCAATTTCCTAAAACAACACACACAGAGCCTAAGGTGAGGGCCATGGACCCTTCTGGTATCCCCTCCCCTGTAGGTGCCCCCTGCTCCACTGACTCAGCTTGCCATGCCCGCCACCCCTTTTTCCAGAGAAAAGAGTTGAGGACGGTGCCACCAAAACTCAGGGCTGGAGAAAAAAATATTTCAGCTTCCCTTGCATTGGCATCGGATTTCAGGAGCCATTCCCAAAACCATCTCAGGGCTAAGGCACCAGGCCCCGTCTGACTTCCCAGTGCATGCCATTCACGGCAATAGGAGAACAAACAAAAACAAGCTTTCTTCCACTTTGAATCTCCCTGCAAGAATCGCCTCCTGGGGACCACTCCAAAACTCCCCAGTACCCACCACTGTCTGCTCCTCTTCCTGGAACTTCAGGCTGAGATTATGGATCCGGAAAAAACCAAAAGAGCCGATCTTCAATTCTGCCTGGAGCCGCCGGCGGCACCAGTTGGTGACCAGGATGTAAAGAAGGCACCTACAGGAGAGACAGGATTCAGCGGCCCAACAGCTGTACTCCCTTCCTACTATCATTCCTCTCCTTCTCTGGGGTGTGGGGTGGGAACCAGGACTGGCTGCACCAAAGGAGTCTGAGAAAGGGTCTAGAAATGCTTAGGAGGAAATGAGTTCCAGCCCCAGGCCATCACCACCTGTGACTATTTAGTCGTCCTAAAAGAGAAACTTGTCACCAAGATGACCAAAGCTCTGTGTGGTGAAAAGAAGAATTCTGCAGGCTAAATGTAGATAACTAAGCAGCACCTACAGTGAAATCACAGCTGGTTCCTTGCACAGAAAAACAGGCACATTTACAGTATTCCAGTAGCGGCTACAACGCAACATTCCCTCTAAGCTGTGGAGTCCTATGAGCAAAAATTCTACTTTGTGAGCTACTGGCATTAAAGTTGTGAGCAGGCAATTTGGCTACTATATAAATCAGTTTGCTCTGGAGCCCTCCTTCCTGAGCTAAGGCAAAAATGTGTGAGCCGGAGGCTAAAAAACTGTGAGCTAGCTCACACTAACTCAGCTTAGAGGGAACACTGGCTACAAGGACACTGGAAGGCAGTGCTCAGGAGGCACACAACAGAAGTTTCAATCTGGTGCAGTCACTTTTCAGCCCAAAGGACTGGGCAGGTTAACAGACCGACATCAATCAAAAGGAACATACGCAAGGCACAGGAGGGTGCTGGGTAAAACCAGTGCAAAAGTCAGACCGGTCCGGCTAGGCCACAGGGATTTGTACTTATTCAGCAGTGCCAAAAAGGCACCCAGCACATGCTCAATGGCTCTGTCATCGGTCTGTTCCATGGCGGAGCTCCGGGCATTCGAAAGAGACTGCAAGCCGAACTTCCCTCTTAGCAATGGGTGGGGGTGGGGGTGGGAGAAGAATGCCAGAGGCTGCACCGGGAGTTGGGCTGGAAGATGCCAGGGGGCTTCCTACAGGTGGAAACTAGGGATTCAAACGGCCAACGGCGCCTGATGTGAGGGGCAGACCCAGGTGAGGGCCCGGGGCTTCCAGTGCCAACTGCCACATCGCGAGTGCGCGGATCTGGGCCACGTCCGGCAAGGAGAGTAGGGCGCTGGAGTAAGGCACCAGCCCCCGGCTGCAAGGAGGCAAGCAGCAGGAAGGCCGCAGCAGCAAAGGGGACAGCGGGCAGCTCCCCCGCAACTCCGCCGGGCAGTCCGAGCAGGCCCAGGGCGCTGCAGCTCCCTGGCTGAAGGCAGGGAAGAGCGACCCGGGGACGGGGTTTTTTTCCAGGGGGCTGCCGCTCGGGGCGGAGCCTGCCCAGGTAGCTCACCTGCCCAGGTAGAGGCCGCCCAGCAGCGCCAACAGCGCCCCCAGCAAGGCGCCCAGCACCGGCGCAGCCATCAGCCGCGGGCCGCCGGCCTCCTCCAACCGCCTGTCGCCGCCAGCGCCTGGGAGGGGCCGGCGGGAGCGCGCGCGGCGGAGGCCGCCCTGGACGGAGGGGCGGGGCCGATTCCTGGGCAGGCCACACCCCCGAAGGCGGGGCAAGCCCACCTCCCCCCATTGACAAGTCGCCGCGCTCCGACTTCTGCACCTTGCGCGGTTACCGTAAAGAATGTGACCGGGGCGCGGCTGTTTTTTTTTTTTTTTAATTTTTCAAAGGAAAAAGGAATTGCTTGCGGGTCAGCATCATAGGCAACCCTAAAGGTCAATTCGTAAGAAGCTGTGATATATTTTAAAGAAAGACTAGCAAAAAAATGTATTAAAACTCGAGGCTGGATCATAACAATGGTGAAATATAAAACAGGAAGTTCATTTACTTTATTTAAACATTTTAAAAACTCCTGTTTCTCCCCCTCGTTCATTGCAGGTCTGATTAAAGTCGCTTATTTCTCTCCCGTCTGCAAGAGCGGGCCAGCAATCTCTTGAGGCTCGTTCTTGCACATTCCACCTCCCTGCTTAAAATCCATCTCCGTTGCACAGCCGCAAAATTTACAAACAACCGATTGTTGCCCTCTTTTTCCTCCTCCTCGTTCTCCCCTTGAGCATCCTGGGAAATGTAGTTTACAGCTTCAGCTTGCAGCCTCCCAGATGGGGCATCGTCTCCTGGGACGTCCACAGGAAAAGCCTGAGGGATTTCTAGCCGCAGGAGCTTTCTTCGTGCCGCACTTCTCCAGATGCCCAGAAGAAAATTGGCTCTACCTCGCCCGAGTCTTCAGGAGCCTCCCAAACCCCCAAGGAGGCCACCCCCGCCCCACACGTGCTCCTCGGAGTCGACACCAGCCTGTGACCAGGTGGACTTCGGCGTCTCTCTTTTGCTTCCCCTGGTCGGCTGCCCAGCCGTGTCGCCCCTCCTTTGCAACACTGTGCCAGACTTCTGCCTTGCGGCTCTGAGGCCCCTCGGTGGAAACGCTAGCCCTCTCTGGCCTTGACCCCTGAGATCTCCACCTCCCTCTGCTGCAAAACCGGTTTATACCTCCAAGCAAATAAGTGGCTTATTATTATTATTATTATTATTATTATTATTATTATTATTATTATTAATTAGGTAAAGGTAAAGGTTCCCTTGCTCGAAAGCCAGTCGAATCCGACTCTAGGGTTGCGGTGCTCATCTCCGTTTCAAAGCCGAAGAGCCAGCGCTGTCCGAAGACGTTTCCATGGTCATGTGGCCGGCATGACTAAACACCAAGGCGCACGGAACGCTGTTACCTTCCCACCGAAGTGGTACCTATTTATCTACTTGCAATTTCTTGCTTTCAACTACTGACCTTCCACAGCCTGCAGTTCAGCGTCTTAACCACTTGAGCCACTCCTGCCACCACCCCCTTCGGGGTTAGAGCGGTATATAAACTGAATGTAATAATAATAATAATAATAACAATAATAATAAACAATTAATAAATAATAATAATATTAATTAATTGTTTATTATTATTATTACATTCAGTTTATATACCGCTCTAACCCCGAAGGGGGGGGTGGCAGGAGTGCGACTTAGCAGTACTGAAAGAGCAGGCACCTCTGTTGTGTGGACCCCTAGGCAGAGAAGGCACAGGGAATGGGCCTTTATCACAGGGAATGGGCCTTTATCAGCAGCATGTAAAAACCCAAGGCTAGTAACAATTGTGAGGAGGCCCCTTTTGACCATGAGGACACAGACACATTTATTTATTAAAATGTAGTTCAATAGAATGACTTGGAAATCTTTTCTGTGGCTGGCCTCAGCACAGAAGCCCTGACGATGAATGCCGAAGGTGCGGCAGAACTGACTTGCTGCTTCAGCCATGACTCTGCCCATCGGCTCTGAGCCTCCGCGATCTTTATCATGTTCAGCCCCAAACAATTGAAGGCATCGTGTCCTCACAGGCTCTCGACACTTCCTTTCTCTCCTCAATAGGAGGAACCTCGAAGGTGCGGCAGAACTGACTTGCTGCTTCAGCCATGACTCTGCCCGTCGGCTCTGACCCCCAGCGATCTGTATCAAGTTCAGCTCCAAATAGCTGAAGGCATCGTGTCCTCACAGGGTCTTGACACTTCTTTCCTCTCAATAGGAGGAAGGCGCTGCACTGTCAAGGAGCCAGTCGCCTGCACCGTCAAGGAGCCAATCGCCTGTGCTCTGCTATCTCGACACTCTGCCGCACCAGTAATAACTTAGTTCTGGTTCTCGGAAGTGGATTCTCAAAATTGTTTTCCTAAAAAATAAAAAAAATGTTTCAACACAAATACATTTTTAAAAAGAGCACTCACAATATCAGGTGTTGAATGACCAGGTACTGTGCCATGGCAACAAAAGGGATCGTGCAAATTGGCTTATGAGACGGCTGGACACAGGACACGCTTACCTCGCTGGCTCCAGTGGAAGACTTCTCTAGCAAGGGCCACTGCCTGGCGCAGCTACCGTGGAGTTCCCACTCCCAGGGGAGGGGGGTAGGGGGGGTAGGAAGAGGATGGGGTCAGCCTCAGGCCCCCCATTCCACTGGTTCCTTTTGGGAAACAATGGAATGGGATGTCTGCAGCTGGCGTGCCCCGCCCCGTTCCCGTTCCTTCACCACCCCCAACAACTCCCTGTTCCATTCCCTCTACCACCCCAGCCATTGCTTGGGGGCGTGGCAGGAGTGGAATAGGGAATGGCGGGGCCAGTGGAGGGAGGGGAAGCGGGGGCAGGGGGGGGTGAGGAGAGGAGAAGGGAAGGCAAGGGAAGACGGGGTGGCAGAGACAGAGCAGAAAGAAGAGGAGGAGGAAGAGAGGAAACAGCAAGCAGTGGGGATGGTGGCGCTAATGGGTTAGGAGGCCCAGTGGAGGTAAGAGGTTAGAAGGCAGAGTGAAGGAGTTACGAGACAGAGCGGAGGCGAGAATTAAAAGAAGAGACAGACAAAAGTCAAAGGAGGAGAAACAGAGACAGAGAGTGGAGAAAGGTTAGTGGAGGAGGGGGTGCAGGTGAGCTGGGGATGGGAGGGAAACCCCAGTTCACTGCTTCTTCAGCACACCCTTTGCCGATCTTGCTGTTTTCTGGAGCCTTTGAAACAATACAGAGAAAACAACAATTATAAAAACCCATTCAAAGCCACAATGGAAAACTCCAACTTGGAGTGCCAGTCATTCCACACTAAGCCAGCAGCCAAAGGCAGTCTTCAGTAAAACGGCCTTCCTCTGCCTACTTCGCCACGTCCCCACCAACTTCCACTTTCAAAGTTGCCACCGGCCCTCTTGATGGCTTACCATTAGCCCAGCGGCGGGCCGCTTGGTTGACAGCCTCTGCTGTGAACCCAACTGCTGAGGCTCAGGTGTATTTATATATCTCTGGCCCCCAGGGGCTTTGTGAGTCTGGCTGTTGACCACATGCTAGGAAAACTGAGAGATGGCATAGGAGTAATTAGCTTCAGGTTGCGTTATTAGAAATTTCATTGGAGAAGTGTCAATTAAAAGAATGATGTTAGTGGCCATTGTATAATTCTGTAACGGTACCAAAAAACTGGAGCTGTGGTGGCTCAAGTGGTTAAGACGCTGAACTGCAGGCTGTGGAAGGTCAGTAGTTCAGCAGTTCAAGACCCGGGTGCCGCAAGATGGGGTGAGCTCCCGTCTCTAGTTCCAGCTCCTGCCAACCTAGCAGTTCGAAAGCAAGAAATTGCAAGTAGATAAATAGGGACCACTTCGGTGGGAAGGTAACAGCGTTTCGTGCGCCTTGGTGTTTAGTCATGCCGGCCACATGACCATGGAAACGTCTTCGGACAGCGCTGGCTCTTCGGCTTTGAAACGGAGATGAGCACCGCAACCCAAGAGTCAGATTCAACTGGCTTTCGAGCAAGGGAAACCTTTACCTTTACCTTTTACCAAAAAACTATGTATATCTATATATTATGTATTTGTGTGTGTCTGTTTGTTGATATGTGTGGAAATTAATAAAAAGATTTTTTTTAAAAGAACATCTGTGATGTCATGCCCACTGCCAGAAGAAAGCGGAGATCTTCAACAACGTGGTATTTCTGGCCACTGTGTGACAGAGTGTTGGACTAGATGGGCCATTGGCCTGATCCAACATTGGCTTCTCTTACGTTCTCTTCTGTTCTTATGACAGTATTGACAATATCCTCACATAAGGCAGACAGGAAATTTCCTCTCACTGTCTGGCATTCCTTGCTTAAAATGTTTGCCACTGTGCTCTGGCATTGCACTGGGAGATCTCTTTGGTAATCAGGATTTCTTCTGAACAGCATTTCCAACATATGCTCTCTGGGTTGCAAAGGAGCCTGCTAGTGGAGCTGGCAGGGACTGAAGATGCACAAAATCAGGTTGACTACCTGACTCGCAGCAATGTTCTCTGAGAAGAGAATAGACAGAGCGGTGCTCTTCTCTGCTTCCTCATCTAAGCAGTTCTTGAGATACAGTAGAACATACCTGGCCACTTCATGGGTGTAGGTCGTAAAATGGAAGTCCGAGAGAGGGGGCACTTGTCTTCACCCTCCTTCTCTGGAGAATTATTAATTCTTGTTGGAGCTCTCAGGGGCACAACTATCTGGAGTTGCTGATGAATCTGAGGTGCCTGCTGGAACTGGCACCGAATGTTGCTCCCCGGGATTGCCTTCCAGCAGGCATTTCATGCCAGGATTGTTGGTGCTGGCTAAATGTGGGAAACACTGTCAGTTTCTCTGTAATGGCCGCCCTCAACCATCTTTTGGGCTATCCAGCTGGGCGAGGATGGGTGGATTTTAGCTGTTCACAGGTACGCATTTGAAAACCCCGTTGTCAAGAACCTGGTATGAATTTTCTGGTTGTGTCTCTGCGGAAGCCCTTCCTTTTCACAGTGCCCTCCTGACAGTGTTCACAATGGCCTGATTTCCCCCCCAGGACATTTACCACAATGTCTTCTGCCACAGGGCGGGTGATCTCAGAGAGGATTTGGCTGGTGCCCCGGGGGTGGCTGCTGCCTATGCAAATCCCCAAGAAAGATTCAGGGAAATTTTTTGGCAAGGTGGCACGATGGCAACCAAAGTTGGTACAAAATTCAGCTCCCTTAACACCCTTTGGAAAACGTCGTCCAGGAGGATTGCAAGCATGAGGGTGAGCTGAGGCTTTAGTCCTCCAAATATGGTGTGAAGGTCCATAAATGCCATCACTTTCCTCGACTGTTCACCAAAGCAGACCTTCCGTGCTGTGGTCAGTGTCCAACTGACACATCCACACAGGCATTCTAGAAGCCTAGAACCTTCTGAGGCAATAATTGCAGATGAACAGCCAGGTTAGTCTGTAGCAGCAGACAAAAACAGGAGTTTGGGAGCACCAGAGTATCTGAATGGCTCAAGATGGCTGATGAGGGAGTGGGTTGTGTTCCCTCTCCAAGGAACATTGTGTGGGGGAAAGAGCCAGTTTGGTGTAGTGGTTCAGTGCGCGGACTCTAATCTGGGAGAACCGGGTTTGATTCCCCACTCCTCCACTTGCACCTGGCTGGATGACCTTGGGCAAGCCATAGTTGATAAGAGCTGTCCTTGAAAAAGCAGTTTCTGTCAGAGCTCTCTCAGCCCCAGCTACCTCACAGGGAAAGGAGTTTGGAAGCTGCTCTGAGACAGCTTTGGGTAGTGAAGGGCGGGGTATAAATCCAATCTCTTCTTCTTCTCTTCTCATCTAGCGTTTGAGTCACCAACATTCCCTTCCCAAGGAATACCTAGTCTCATCTAGCATTTGAGTCACCAACATCCCTTCAGGAGCACTGGGGCAGCCATGAGCAGTGGGCCGTCAGCTTCCTCCGACTGCCTGTTGCCCCCAGTGCTGGGGGGGGGGGCGGCGGGAATGCACATGGCCAAAGCCCCCCAGGACGGAGGAGCAGGGCCAAGCCAGGGCAAGCCACACACCCTAAGGCGGGCCCGCCTCCCACTCCTTGACAAATTGAGCGTGGCATCACAGCCCTTCAGGTTCTGGGCCTTGTGTGGCTACTGGGACAAAATGTCATGGGGGTGCAGTGTTTTTTAAATTTCTCAAAGGAGGAAGGAGCTACTGTTGTGGCAGCATCATAAGCAGCCCTAAGGGTTTGTATTAAGGAACTGTGACCTGATGCAGATGCCTAGAAGACAACCAGCTCTACCCCCCCTGCCGGTCTTCAGGAGCCCATCCAAGTCTTCAAGGAGGCCACCCCTGCCCCACACAGACTCCTCGGAGCTGTCACCAGCCTGTGACCAAGCTGGCCTCTGGCCTCTCCCCCCCCCACCCTCAGCAGCCCAGCCGTGTCATGCCACCTTTTGCAACATTGCCAGGCTTCTGCTTTGCTGCTCTCATGCCGTCTCTGTCCTTGACTCCTGAGACCTCCTCTTCCTCCTTCCTCTGCCCCAGGTCCATGGCCAATTATTTTGCTGGGGGGCAAATGCGTATGGTGGAGGGCAACCCATCATATATATCTCTACAGAACTGCCAGGATTATGCCTCTAGATAATTAAATAAGTGGTGCAACGATGTTTCAGGTTTATCAGTAATGTCAAATGTACATGTAACAGGGGCCATTATATATTCAACAGGTAACAGCACTATAAGGATTTGAAGTTTTAAGTGTGTGTTTCTTTAAATGTTTGGGAAGCTTCAGAAGAGAAAGGGGAGTGAAAGAGGGGGGATGAGTGAGTGAGATCAGGAGGAAATGGGGGGAGGGATGGGACTCCCCCGCCAACACTTCAAAAAAAATTTAACATCCGATTCCAAACGTATAAAATAATATCCAGATGGTATAAGACACCAGTACATTTACATAGAATAAATCCCAAAATAGATTTTCATTGTTGGAAAGGATGTGGCAATAAAGCTGACTTTAATCACTGCTGGTGGAGTTGCTCACAGATTAAACTTCTTTGGACACAAATTATGAAAGAAATTAAACAACTGGTTATGGTTTACCTTTTACTATTGAGACAGCTCTCTTGATCTATTGGGAGGTTAATTTTTTAATTATTATTATTTTTATTTTTTGGGATTTGTATCCCGCCCTACCCATACGGCCCAGGGCGGCTAACAAGCGGCCAAGCCGAATAAAACATGGAATACATTAAAACTTCGATAAATACAACTAAAATGGTGTTGTGCAGTACATATTAAACAGTCAATTTAAAATGCATTTAACGTTCAAGATGGTAATAAAAAGGCATATATTATGATCTCAACATTATTGTTAGTGGCTAGAACTCTAATAGCATATAATTGGAATCTGGAAAGATAATAAAATCCCTACTGTACAAGAGTGGAGAAAATGACTTTGGGACCCTGGAAGCTGGCAATCCAAAAATCTGGACAGACACCAGGAAAATACTATACAAGTAACTAAGATGTGAAATTCACTGCCAGTGGATGTAGTGATGGTTGTGAACACTGACAGCTTCAAAAGGGGGTTCGATGAATTCATGGATGAGTGGTCCATCAGTGGCTACTATCCATGGTGACTGAAGGGAACCTCCATATTCAGAGGCCCGTTTGTTTGGCCCTTCAGGGCAAATGACTGGGCAATGTATGAAGGGGGACACTGGACTAGATGGACTATTGGTCTGATCCGGAAGGGCTCTTCTTATGTTCAGATCTTAGTGCAACATTGTTGGGTCCTGGCATTGGAATGCTGGTCTGCTGCAGCTCAGGTGTGAATCTTCCCTTTATCCATGCATCTTTAATCATTTCTATCCCAGTAACTCCCCGAAAAGCACTTGAGGTGGCGTACAAGCAAGTGAAACAACAAAAAGATTTAAAGTACCAGAATAAAATAATCACACATTACAACAACTTTTTTTAATCAACAGAAAGCTTGGACAAACATACCCATGTTCAGCAGATGTCAAGAACGCAGCACACATACCTGGTGGAAGGGCTTCCATAATAATACTTGTGCAGTCTTTCAATACCTATCAGGCCTGATTTAAAGGCAATGCCGGACTGAAGTGAAAGCATTCTCCCGCGGAACTTGGCACTTGCATGCCACCCCCTTTAAACCAAGTTGTTCCTTGGGGAACTGCGTGCCAAGGTGGACTAGGATTAGGAAAATCATATAGCCGCTTTGCATGAGTGGCAGCCCAGTTTAAAGCAGGTAGTATGTGCATGCCAAGCCCCGTACCTGAAGAAGAGATTAGATTTATACTCCACCCTTCATATGGAGTCTGAGAGCGTCTTACAATCTCCTTTGCCTTCCCCGTCCCCACAGCAGACACCCTGTGAGGTAGGTGGGGCTGAGAGAGCTCTTTCGAGGACTGCTCTTGAGAGAACTTGTGACTGACCCAAGGTCACACCAGCAGCTGCATGTGGAGGAGTGGGGAATCAAACCGGGTTCTCCTGGATTAGAGTCTGCGCTCTTAACCACTACACTAAACTGGCTCTCTGAGAGCTTTTACCTCAGCAAGCATCATCATTAAATAAAAACCTAAGTAACACTGATGTACAGGAAAGAACTACCAGGGCACAGCTGACAAAGAGGCTTTGTCAGCTTTTTCAGATTAAGCAGGATGACCAGGATTCCTGCATGGTCAATCACTGACCTTGGCAGAGGTCACTCAGACTTGTCACCCATGGCTGACAGGAGAAATCAAAGACTGATGAAAGATTTTGTTCAGAACATCTAGAGCATTTAACACGTTGTAAATTTGTAATAATGGTTTTTATGGTTTTAACTGTTTTTATGTGTTGGCGTATGCCTATTTGTGAGCCGCCCTGAGCCCGCATTGCGGGGAGGGAGGGCTATAAATAGAAATTATAAATATAAATAAATAACGATGCTGTTAACAGCAAAACAGCAACAGCCTTAAATAAGGCCTTTTTAAAAAACCTACAATAGGATCTCTTGTTTCCATTTTCAAAGAAGTTCAATCAAACTCATGGAACTGTCAATGTGTCCTTTGACCACAGGTTCCTATGGCTGGTTCCTATGCACACATGTGCTTGAATGTCAGCGACAGAAGGTGCGCAGGGAAGGAGGACAAGGACAAAGGGGAATATTATTGTGTGGTGACAGAAATCTTTCCTTCCGTGGCAGGACATCATCCTGGTGCTTCTGCAGAAGCTTGCAGAAGAAACTGCATGCCAAGTCACTCCTGCAGCTTGGGTACAGTCCAGCCTGGGGGCTCCCTTTTGCTCTCAGAGCTCTGTGCGGTGCAGTTCCATCTTCAGCAGCTCTGTGGGCCTCACAAAAATCCCCTCCATTGCCTTCCAGTAGCTGTCCCGACTAGCATAAGCCATCCCGTGCACCTCTCGCTGGCCGTGGATCGGCCGCCCGTACTGCTCGCCAGTCACTGAAAGAAGCACGTCTGTGGAGGAGTGCTTGAACTGCACCTCACTGGCCTGATCCCAGTAGGAGCCACTGCACAGCACAATCCAGTCGTCCAGGAAGTCCCCTTCACCATCTTCTCCAAAGGCACTCACCTCCTAGAAGAGAGAATGGAGCAGAAAGGATGAGAGAACAGCCCAGCCAGATCAAACCCATAAGGCCAACCAAGTGCCCTGGAAAGCCCACAAGAGTGGACACAGAGGCCAAAGCATCTGCCTGTTGTCACCCTCCTGTCAGACTCCTCTTTGCATCTTAATAAGCACGCTTTATGGAAAAGGTAACTTTATTAGAGCTGAAAGGTGCATAACAGAATCACTGTTCAGAATGGAGAACATAAACAATGGTACAGGATATACTCAAGCATTCAAACCACTAGTACCCAATTGCGGGGCTTCCCGCGCGCTCCCAGGCTTTCCCCGTTTGCGCCTTTGGGCATGAGAACTAACGGTTCCAAGCCTCCCATGTTATCTTTTCTCACGGTGAGGTTTGGAAGCTTTGTGCACTAACAAGCCTTGTTAACGATCCTTGCTTCCACCTGTGGCCTTGGGGAGATAATGATGTTACGGCGAGCTACAAAGCTAAGTGCATCTACGAGTCTACACATACCAGGTCAAGCGCACACACATACATGAAAGAAAACAAAACATTGGCAGCTTGCTGACACCTCCCAGCAACTAGCTTTCGTGGGTAGACTGTCTCTAATTTATGGAGGTTCCTTTTAGCCATCTAGGCTAACACCCTCTGATAGTCCTTTCCTCCTCCATGGATTTGACTAATTTACTTTTAAAGTAATCTAAGCTAGCAAATATCGCTATATCTTGTGGCAGTGAGTTCCTCAAATTAATCACACATTGTGTGCAGCATTCGTGGGATCTGTCCTGGATCTACTGCCTCTCAATAACAAAGCAACACGTTCCGTCAAACCTCGCGAAGACGGCAGTTACTGGGATGGAAATAAGAGAAAACCTATCCCACTGCTAGAGCTTAAGAGATTAGAAAATGTTGGTCCAGAATCTTCAACCGCATATCTGCATGTACGATTAGACATGTTTCCTACATTCATGAGAAATGTTGTACACTGCAAAGACAGTTTGAAAGGTATGGGAAGAATTCCAGAAAGAGTACCCTAAGCCAACTCAGAGAGAATAAAGTCGTCTCCACTGCTGACTCAGAGGGTTCAACATGTGGCTGAAGTTTTGGGGAGCACCATGGAACAAGGAGATACAGAGGCCCACAGGGGATGAGTATGCTCCCAAGTATATCCTGTGCTTGAGGAGGGGAGACACTCCCTGTCATCTGCACCCTAGACAGATGGTTGCCCCTCTCTGCTTGGATGAGGTGCAGCAGAACAGATTCCAGGCCTTCCTAAAGCATCTTAATCCCACTGCAAAGCAACACGGGTTTCAGACTTACAGTCAACCTCTCTCTCACCATTAATGTGATAATGCTGGGTGGAGACCTTTGCTCTACTAACCAGGGTATGTAATTAGACGATAAAATCAGCTTCCATACCAGACACTGGAAAGTAGCAAATGTTACATCACTATTGTTGTTTTAAAGGGTCCAGACGGGATCTGGGAAGTCCCAGGTTTTGTTGGGTTTTTGCCATCAAATCACAGCTGACTTAATGGTGACCAAGCAGGGGGATTCAAGGCAAGAGACTTCAGAGGTGGTTTGCCATTGCTGCCTCCGAGTAATGGCCTTGGTATTCCTTGGAGGTCTCCCATCCAAATACTGACTAGGGCTGATCCTGCTTAGCTTCCGAGATCTGATGAGATCAGGCTAGCGTAGGATATCCAGGTCAGGACAGTTTCAGGCTAGTTAGCCTAAAATCTGTTCCAAGTAAATTAGTGGCAACTATTATTAAAACCAGAGTTATTAAGAACTCTGCCTGCTGAAGGAAAATCAGCCTGGCTTCTGCAAAAGGAGCTCCTGTTTCACCAAACTTTTGGAGCTCTCTGAGAAAATTAACAAGTATGAGGACGAGGGTGTTCCAGTAGATGTTACAAAAAGCTTTTGACAAGGTCTTCCTTGGACTTCCAAAAAGCTTTTGACAAGATCCCTTACCTAAAGGCTCCTCAGTAAGATAAGAGCACAAGGCCTCTGAAGGATTAAAAATTGATTGAACAACACAAAACAGCAAGTAGGAATAAACAGACATTCCTTGCAATAAAGGGAGGTGAGCTGTGAGGTCACACAAGGACTGGTATTGGGACCAGTGCTATTTAGTTGATTCAGAACTGATCTGTAACCGGAGGTGATCAGTGTAGTGTAGTGGTCAAGTTTGCAGATGATACCAAACTATTCAGGATGATAAAACCCTAAGAGGGTTGCGAAGAGCTACAGGAGGATCTATTTAAATTGGGTGAGTGCGGAACAATATGGCAAATGAAGTTCAATGTAGGCAAGCATAAGGTGATATACACTGGAACAAAAAATTCCAGACTGACAGAGTCTGAACTGGGGAATGCAAAGGGGAAAGAGATCTTGGGGCTGTAGCAGATAGCTTGATGAAAACGTTAACTTGGTGTGCTATGGAGGGGGAAAAGGCAAAAAAAGGCAAACGCTACACTGGGGATTATTAGGAAATCCATTGGGGAAAAAAGAAACAGTTAATACTGTAATGCTTCTGTATAGCTCCATGGTGGAGTCTCATTTGGAATACCACGTACAGTTCTAGTCATCATGTCACAAAAATGACATTGCGGAGCTGGAAAAAGTGCAGAAGACGGCAACCAAGATGATCAAAAGGTTGTAACACTTTTCCTATGGGGAAAAGCTGAAGACTCTGGGACTGTTCAAGAAATACTTCACTTGCCCTGACCCGGATAGCCTGATCTCATCAGATCTCAGAGAAGCTAAGCAGGGCCAACCCTACTAAGCATTTGGATGGGAGACCTCCAGAGAACACCTGGGCCGGGAGGCCAGAGGCAAGCTATCAAACCACTTCTCTGAATGTGCCCCAGTAGAAGTCGCCAGAGGTCACCATGACTTCCAGGCACGGGCACACACACAAATGCAAAAATACCGAAATAAGAAATACTTCACTGAAGGAGTAATTAAATTGAGGCATTTACTGACAGTGGTCATGGTGATAGCCATAAGCACAGATGGCTTTACAAGAGGATTAGAAAGAATAATGTAGCAGACGTCCATCAGCAGCTACTAGCCATAGTGAGTAAAATGAACATCTGTATTTACAGGTGGTAAACCTGTAAATACCAGTGCTAGGAGGCAATATGACATGAAGAAAGCCTTGGCCTCTATGCCCTGTTTGTTAGCCTTCCAGAGCAAATGGTTGGTGGCTCTGTGAAACCAGATGCTGGAACTGATGGACTACTGGTTTGATGAGACTCCAGCTGGTAGGTCAGGCCTGCACTTCAGCCCACCCATCCTCACCTGGTTGCCTGAGAGGGGCGACGTGAAGTGATGACTGTGCAAATTACGGCCTGTGTTGATGTGGGTCAGCCTGATTGCCTGTCCACACTTCACAGGGGTGCCCCTTTCACACACAGTGGATGTCTTGCCCCGAACACGCCAGTAGCTGTTACTGTCATCCATGGCCACGATCCCTGTCACTGACTGCTGCCCGCTCCCTGTGCCAGAATGGAAAACAGAAGTTAGTTTTGGCCCACTGCACAGCACCTTTCTACTATGCCTGAAGAGTTCAGGGGCAGGGAGGCTTAGGCTGGAAGTATGTTGAGGACACAAGATGCATTTTATAAAGTTTAAAGAATACATTTACGTGTCAACATAAATGTAAAACATATAAAACAATGAGGGTAGGTGGGGAAAGGAGCTTGGAAAAAGAAGTTGGAGAAAGGAGCCACTAATAATCACGGGCTAGAAGGTTCAGGCCAGAGGGGATGGATATGCATGTGCCTGTTAACCAAATGGGCCAGCTGCCTGGTGTGTCAACGTTCCATGTTGTACACAGTCAATGAGATTCCAGGAGCAAACAAAACTTTATTGCGATAAAGGGGACCTTGGCAGCAAAACCCAAGGACTGCATTAGTAAGGCGTCAGCATTAACCTTTTATATAGTGTGACAAACAACTTTTAGACATGCACAGATGTTTACGGATTACAAAAATTAAACTTTCTTTTTGCATTTCTTTTTGCCGTTATTTGAAAAGCTCACACCTCCTGAGTTTTGCAAAACAACTTATTTCTAAACACCACTTTTGCTTAATCAGCTGTTTATCTAGAACATCTTGCCCACTTCACCACATCCTGTTTTGCTAGTTAACTAAATTTAGCTTGTCTACAAGTTTAGCTGGCCCAAACTGCACAAAGCAATTGAAAAATGGCTTCGGTCTTGCCTGTCATGCCTGGGGACACGCACCTGTTGCCAAGCAAAGGGGGGAATAGGCTACTGAACAGCAACAAGGCAATGCTGTCCACAGCAGCTTTCCTAATCAATTCCCCAAAATCCTCTGATGGTGCCACGAAATAAAGACATGCTACTGCTCTCCCTGTCGACAGGAGATGGACAAGCGGCTTATGAGGGGAGCAGGTGTGTTAGCCGGCCAAAAGACACCGGCCGGAACAGTTCCAGAGTCCCCAAGCATGTGCAGAGCGCCCCCGCTCATCTCTCCCCACCCCCACCGGCGCCTACCGGACCCGTAGCGGACGTCGTGGGAATGAAGCCGGACTCCGTGGCGCGCATTCAGCAGCTTCACCACCGAGCCGCACGTCACCGAGCCGCCCATCGCGACGCCCGTCCCGAGGAGAAGCAGCAGCGCCGCCAAGAGGCAGCAAGGACTCCAAACCGCCATCTTCCCTCAGGAACTGGGGAGGGGGAGCCGGAAGTGTTACTTGGGGGGGCACACCGGAAGTAAAACTGGAAGGGCACGCCTTTACTGGAGTGGCAAAAAGCATTGAGACCTCCGGTTGAAAGCCGCCATTTTGGTGGCGGATAAATGACATTTACTTCACCTCCGGAATTTCCGGCGTTAGGGTCTTCCGTCGGAAGACTCTTTTTTCCTGCCCCTCTCCCTGCGGCGGCGTCTACCTCTATGATACAGGGACTATGTGGCACTATTGGTCTATTCTCGCGGTACACAGTCCACATCCGAGTTTTTCACGCCATAGATACTTCGGCTAGAGCGGTGCTCGAGGCGCCTTCAGAGCCGGAAGTTGGGATTGTTTCCCGAAGCGACTTCGACGCAGGAGCGTTCTCTTGCCTGTCCCAACTGATCCGGAAGTTTAGGTGCCAAACCTCCGGAGACACCGGAAGCTGAGTTGCACCGTTCTGTCCAACGGGTCCTCCGACGCTTTTCTGCTCCCCACCCCCGCCGGGCCGCGCCGCAGCGAGGCCTCCATTTTACTTCCGAGAGGCCGGCACGACGCTGATGAGGGAGGAGGCTGGGCGGGCCCTCCTCTCCCGTAAAGAGCTGGGCTTTCCCCAACTCCCCTTCGGGAAGCCGAACCGGGCCGAGGCCTAAGAAGCAGCCTCCTCCTTTCCGTCCGGAGGCCCAACTCCCACCGGGGGGAGAGGAGGAGGAGTCCGGGAGCTTCGTAACTGCGGCTTGGCTCGGCGAGTCCAGGTTGGTTGAGGCCTAAAAGCGGAGGCGAGGCCCAAACGGACCCATTTTGAAGTGTGGGAGAACCGGGGGGGGGGGACAGTCCGAGAAGGGGGAGGGGGAGGCTTCCCGGGGGAAGGCGACGGCTTTCGAGACCCTTCCCCACCAAGAAAGGAGGGCTGTGGGAGAATCCTGCCCCGTCCTTCCGCGGGCAGGCCGCTCTTCGTCTGCGGGGGGTCGGGGCCCCGAGCACGGTGGGAGCCTGGCCGCTGGCCGCCTCCCCGCCCGCCCGTTTGCGTGTTTATTGCCTTCACGGTGGAGTTTCAGCCGGCCCGTGTGTGGGTGGTGGAGTGTTTAGCCCGTCGTTTTCCGGGGCGAGGCGGGATCCCTTTCGGGGATGATGGGTGCCTTTCGCCCGCTCTCATTTGGAGGCTTCGCCGCACCAGATGCGGCCTTGACGCATCTCGCTTTCCAGACGGTCCTGAGCAATGTTCCCTCTAAGCTGTAGAGTCTTGTGAGCAAAAATTCTAATTCGTGAGCTACTGGCATTAAAATTGTGAGCTAACGATTTGGCTGCTGCATAAATTAGTTTGCTCTGGAGCCCTCCTTCCTGAGCTAAGACAAAAATCTGTGAGCTGAAGGCTGAAAAACTGTGAGCTAGCTCACACTAACTCAGCTGAGAGGGAACACTGGTCCTGAGAGATCGCTCGAGCCGAGGCTATGGAGGCTTGTTGTCTTAGATGTAAATCCCCTGCTGACCGGGGGGGGGAGGGGGGGATCTGATTCAAGCCTGCGGAAGGCTGAGGATGCAGACTTGAAACGGGCGAATGTGGGGCTCGTGAATACAAAGCCAACCCAACAGGAGGATTCCTGCCCCCCTTTTTATGCTGTGCTGGTTTTCTGTTTGTGGGGTCCCCCCCCCCATAAAGTAGCATTTTAAAACATAAGTTCCTGAAACGCACACAAACACTCAGATTCTGAAGCAGTGCAGGCTGTTTGACCACATCCTCTTACAAGGCTGAACCAGTTTTGTTAATATTTCAACTTGGATCTTGAAATATCATCTAGTCCCACAGCCGTGGCTCCCTATTGACCGGGTATGGGTAGGAAGGGGTATGTGTCGACTGCAGTCTTGTCTTCTTTCTCCCCCCCCCCCCCCCCTGCTTGATTTTGTTAATTGGATTCTCTGGTGTTTTCTTGGAAAGTGCTGAGAGCCTTTGGATAATGCCTTATGTTAGGGGACCGCGCAACCAAACAGTTACATGGGCTGTGATGGTCCTTGACTGGAGCAAAGCGGGACTGCCCATGATGGCAGCTGGCTGTGTTATGGTCCACGTAAATGTGAGAGTTGAAGAGCTTCTCATCCTAAGTGAGGGAGTCAGAATGCGGCTTCTCTTATTCTGCCACCCCCCCCCCCCCCCGTAGAATTTTTCCATTTCTCCTTTCAGTTGCGTGAAATGGAGTGGGGTGGTCAGAAGCTGATATTCTGACACTTCTCCCAGCTTCTCAAGATGTTTCTGAGGGGAGGGGAGCATGGGTTGCTAGCTGGGACCCACTGTTCTAATCTCTTCCATACCCAGCAGACATCTTGCTACATCCTCTCACAGATGCAGCGAGCAGTTGGCCTAGAAAAAGAGAGATCTGAGGCTTGCTGGGCAGGGGATGGGTGCTGGCATTCTGACCTTCCTCCCCCCCCCCCCCCCCCCCCATTAATTGATTGCTGCATTCTTGCTGGTATGCAGCACAAAACTTGCCAGGTGAGGCGGGGAGAGTCAGAACAGCAAACCCGGTTGGGAATTGGTATTCTGATCCCTCCCTGTAAAACCGCTTGTTGTGTCCATTCAGGGATACAGTAGGAAGCTTCAGAGGTGAGTCAGAATACTCACTCCCCAGTGACGATTCTACAACATAGTTCTGCCAGGCTGCATGAAGCCTGTGGGATCTCTGTTGCATACCCCAGCCTTATACATATAGATGTGCTCCTGGGCTTGTGATTAGAAAGTCCTTGGAACTGGACCAAGGTTTTCCTGTCTGGACTAGAGAGATCAGGGCAGCAGGGTAGGGGGAGGCTGAGCCAGCCTTACTCTGAGGCCGCAGCTCCGTTTTCAAATCAACAGTTGCTTGAATATTTCTCCAGCCGTCCTGATGTCTGAAAATGCCTCATGCAGCATAGATCTGCTCCACCCTTCTCCAGGCAAGGCTCCTAGGAACTCTGCATAGAGGATGCCGGGTTGTGGGAAATCAGGCTTGTGGCAGTTTCAAGGCGGCTTTGTTCTGTGCCTTTTGTGTTACGTGCCGATTGCTGATTTCACCGTCCTGATCAGGGAAGTGTCTTGGATTAGGTGTTTATGTGAACAAAAGCCATTGCCTCTGACACAAGGAACAAGACGTTACTGACACAAGGGATCCCTCATTGCTAATCCAAGGGATCCCTCAGACAAGACAGCAAAAACAGGCAACTTGTAAGGAAAAAAAACACCAGAAATATAATTGCAGTTGTTAACAAAAATGAAAGAGTATAAGAGCACATCGTTACTTGTGTCAAAGGATTAAGAGCAGTGTACATGAGGATTAAGCCTGCTAGGGTTGCAGGCAGATAATACTTTGGTGAAATCTTTGGGAGTGAAATGTAAGATACCTGGACCTTCCACCGCAGGCATAGGCCACATTGCTGTGTGAATCCCTTCTCTTGAATGGCTGTGTTGTATGTAGAATTTGGATTCATGCACGCTTTAAAAAGAAAGGTTGTTTTTCCTTAAGCAGGACCGGGGTCGAAGGCATGATTGTTTTGGATCATAGTGCATCTCACAAAGTGGGCTGTGGTACATGAAAATGTGAAAACTGAGCTGAACTAGGAAGCATCCAGTTCAGATCTTACATAGTCTATCACCTCATTGGTGTTGCTTTGCTTTTCCCCCCAACTGTCTGCCACATGGGGTAATACTGGCCTATCCTGAGAATAATGTATGCAAACACTGAAGTGTTCAGTAAATACTTTGTATTTGAAGAACTGCCGGTTGTCTAAAGACTGAATTGTGAAATCTCTAATTCAAATCTCTTCTCTTCCATGGACTCATTAGGAGGCCATAGATGAGTAAGGAGGGTAATGCTGAGATACCTCACACAGTAACTTCTGAGATAACATATGTGATGCTTTGAAAACCTTCAAATCAAGTACTTACATAAATGTTATGATGAGGTAAAAAGCTAGATGTTCCTCAGTACAACTGTCCTGACAAGGTAGAAGTGCTCCCCACGAGCAGAAAGTCTGACCTGGGTCTTAAGGTGTTCTGGATGGGATTGCCCACCTCTTGAAAGAAGAGATCCATAGTTTGGGAGTGCTCTTGGACCCTTGCCTCTTGTTGGGTAAGCAGGTAGCAGCTGTGACCAGGAACACCCTCTGTGTGCTTCGACTGGTTGGCTGGCTACAGCCTTTCCTGGGCAGAAAATATCTGGCCAGTGTGGTGCATGTCCTGATTACATCTAGATTAGACTACTGCAGTGTGCTCAACGTGCGGTTGCCTTTGAGAAGTTTTTGGAAAGTTCAAATGCTGCAGCTAGGACATTGACTGGAGAGGGTCATAGGGACCCTGTCACCGCACTCAGCCAATCTACACTGGTTTGTAGTGTGTTTCCGGGCACAATTTAAAGTGCCAGTGTTCACCTTTAAAGCCCTACATGGCTAGGGACCAGGACACATAAGGACCACCTTTACCAACCTACCCAGTCTCTATGGTCATCTTCTGAGGCTCCGATTCGAGTGCCCCCACCTTCTGATATCAGGCAGCTGGCAACCCAGGAGAGGTGTTACCCCTACCGGCTTTGAATTAAGAAGCTGAATAGCTGACTTTAGTTTCTGGAGGAAATTAGTCAAATGATAGGCCTCGGCAACAGGTGGGGTAATAGCGGAGATCTTGCTACCAGTGTTTACGGGGACTTTTCCCTTTAGAAGAGCTCTTAATAACCAGTCCAAGGGTAAAATAGAGCATGTTTTATTAAGGGATATTTGGAAATTGTTAACACACAAGCAGTGCACGTGAAACATACAAACGTACATGAGCTATGGAAGGAAAGAGAGTGGTGGGAATAATAGTGGGGGTTGAGGCGATAGCTACCTTTCCTGGAGACGTCCGTGCAGAAGGAGAGACAGCAAAATGACCAGTGCTTCACTGAGAGAAAGGACCCAGTATACAGTTTAATGGGCACCCGAGCTAACACGAACATCAGACTGGAGTTTTACTGGGCTAGTTATACTCAAAAGCATGTCCAGAGGCCTCGCTAATGCAAGGGATCCCTCAGAACAAAGAACTGATGAGATTACTCATCATGGCCATGATGAGATTACTCAGGGGTAAGACAGCGTAGCTTTGGAAATGTGGTAAGGAGTTCCCAAGATTGGACAAAGGAAGGTGGAGGTTTCTTCTTCGTGTAAAGTAGATTTTTCGGGTTGGGTTTCTGGTTAGTTCTCTGGTGTTCGAAGGACTAATGGATTGCTAATTTAAACTAATCAAAACGGAGACAGTACTGCTTGATGAACCACCTACTCTTGGGGTGTGGGAAAGAGGTAAAAGTCATTATCAAGGAAATACGGGAAAGAAAGATAAGGTCAGATTGATTAGCATTTGAGATTGAAAGATGTTAGTCTGGGGCAAGGCTGGTCCATTGTCCAGAGTATGCAGATGTTGGGGGGGGGGGTCGTCGCAGCTGTCAAGGCAAGATCTCATGTGCTTTCCGGGGTCATGTACTAGGCATGATTATGGCCTGCCAGTCTTTGTGTCCACTTAAGTCAAGTTGTGTGCTGCCATGAATTGGGACCCCCTGTCTGAGATGATTTTCCTGGGGCCCATCAGTGGTGGAAACAGCCCCTCAGATAGGGGGTTGGTGTCCATACAGAGGGCCTTCTTGATTGTGGCAGTGAAACTCTGGAACGCTCTCTCCAGAGAGATCCGCCTGTCCCCTTCTGTTGCCATCTTTCAGCAGTGGGTGAAGGCTTTTTTTGTTTCATTTGGCCTTCCCTCAGTGATCTCTCCTTCCTGTCCAGTGTTTTAATGGTTGTTCTTACGAGTGTGTATTTTATGATATGTGAGTGTTTTTGCTGTTCAAGCGGTGTACTCTTGTTTTGGTTTTATTTACGTTTTTAAGCTTCCTTGGCGTCCCGATGAGGGCAGAAAGGCGGGTTATAAATTTTGTACATAAATAACAATTTGAGGCAAACCCAAAAACAATTATTTGTGTTTTTTGGGGGGTGTAGGTCTTAGGAAAGTGTTGGTTTTAATATTGTCTGTGTATTTTTGGCTTTGTTAACCGCTTTGTGCTTCAAAGAAGTGGGTTAGAAACGCTCAGATGAATAAAAGCGTTACCTTGCAGTCAATGTTCCCTCTAAGCTGTGGAGTCTCATAAGCAAAAATTCTACTTTGTGAGCTCCTGGCATTAAAGTTGTGAGCGAGAGATTTTGGCTCCTGCATAAATTTGTTTGCTCCGGAGCCATCCCTTCCTGAGCCAAGACAAAAATGTGGGAGCCAGAGGCTAAAAAACTATGAGCTAGCTCACACTGACTCAGCTTTGAGGGAACACTGCTTGCAGTCAGCCTTTGCAGTGGTTTCCCCTCTCTCCCTTAGCCTGCCGTAGATCCTATTGAATGAGATGGCCACTCCTCTGCAGCTCCCATTTGCGGTTTGCTTAGCTTCGTCATCCTGCTCTGGGAATGCATTTACTCCTTTTATTTATTTGAAATATTGATGCCGTCTGCCTCTCTCCTGAGCATCCCGGGACCCATGCCCAGTTTTCTCATAGAAGACGCAGGCTTCCTGTTTTGCCTTCCGCACAGGCATGCCTGCTTGTCTAATTGCCTTTGCTTCTTGCTCTCTCTGTTCTGTGCCCCCATCTGATCAAGACTTCTTTGGGGGAAGAGACTGTGGCTGCGATCAGAACGGCACAACTGTACCAGGGCTCTGAATCTGCCAAGAAAGTTCTCCAGCATCCACCCTTGGAAGAAGGATAGAATAAAAATGTGACGAGGCGACATGCCGAGTCCATCTCCCACCTGTGGGAAGCACTGTCTCCTGGCTGGGCTTGAAAATATGCAGTAATGAAGGGCCTGGGGAGACGAGAAAGTGGGTGGTGAAAGTGCATGGCACGGTCAGGGCGCAGGAGGCTTAGGGTTGGGAAGGGAATGGGTATGAAGGAATCAAAGAGGGCAGAAACTCTGGGTTGGGTCAGGGCCAGTGCTCCCTCTAAGCTGCGGAGTCTTGTGAGGAAAAATTCTACTTTCTGAGCTCTTGTCATTAAAGTTGTGAGCGAACGATTTGGCTACTGCATAAATTAGTTTGCTCCGGAGCCATCCTTCCTGAGCTGAGACAAACATGTATGAGCCGGAGGCTAAAAAACTGTGAGCTAGCTCACAGCTTAGAGGGAACACTGGCCAGGGCTAGACCAAAGCATGCTGGAATTTCCCTCTACTAGGCCTTAAGGTTTGGGGATTTTCAGGAATGACTTGAGAATTTAGGCCGTGTCTTAGATTCCGATGCACTGGCATTGGAAGAAGAACCGAGGCAATAAGGAGCCAGGAAAGTGCTGTCAAGTCCCTGCCAACGTATGGTGACCCCATAGAGTTTTCAAGGCAAGAGATGTTCAGAAGTGGTTTGCCACTGCCCGCCTCTGCATACTGACCCTGGTATTCCTTGGAGGTCTCCCATCCAAATCCTAGCCAGGGCCAGCGCTGCCTAACTTCCAAGACCTGATGAGATCTGGCTAGCCTGGGCCATCCAGATCAAGCTGGATGTTTTCGAGCCCCGATTAAAACGTGTGTGAAACGCAAGGTACGTGAGTAAAAGAGGTGAGAGCGTCTGCCACTTTTGTTGCCCGTTGTGCTATCTGACTGCCAGTTGCAGCTCTCGGTGATGCGTCTTGTCTGTGTTTAACGCATGGAATTCACTGCCACAGAAGGTGGTGGCGGCTACATGCATGGACGGCTTCAAGAGGGAACTGGATAAACATCTGGAGCAGAGGTCCATTGGTGGCTATTAGCCATGAGGTATAGATAGGAATTCTCGGTCTGGGGCAGGTGATGCTCTGTATTCTTGGTGCTGTGGGGGGACACACTGGTGGACCTCCTGATGGCACCTGGTATTTTTGGCCACTGTACAAAGAACGTTGGACTGGATGGGCCACTGGCCTGATCCTAAATGGCTTCTCTTATGTCTGGGGCAGGTGATGCACTGTATTCTTGGTGCTGGGAGGGGCACACTGGTGGACCTCCTGATGGCACTTGGTATTTTTGGCCACTGTGTGAAAGAACGTTGGACTGGATGGGCCACTGGCCTGATCCTAAATGGCTTTTCTTATGTTTGGGGCAGGTGATGCTCTGTATTCTTGGTGCTTGGGGGGGGGGACACTGGTGGACCTCCTGATGGCACCTGGTATTTTTGGCCACTGTATGAAAGAATGTTGGACTGGATGGGCCACTGGCCTGATCCTAAATGGCTTCTCTTATGTCTGGGGCAAGTGATGCACTGTATTCCTGGGGCTTGGGGGGCAACAGTGGGAGGGCTTCTGGAGTTCTGGCCCTGCTGGTGGACTTCCTGATGGCACCTGGTATTTTTGGCTGCTGTGTGACAGAGTGTTGGACTGGATGGGCCACTGGCCTGATCCTAAATGGCTTCTCTTATGTCTGAGGCAAGTGACGCACTGTATTCTTGGGGCTTGGGGGCCAACAGTGGGATGGCTTCTGGAGTTCTGGCCCTGCTGGTGGACTTCCTGATGGTACCTGTTATTTTTGGCCGCTGTGTGACAGAGTGTTGGACTGGATGGGCCATTGGCCTGATCGGACATTGGCTTCTCTTGTGTTCTCTTAACCTCCCATCTTCTTAGAGATTCCCTAGCCGCGTTGCCTTGCTCGGCCTTGAGTTCCTATTTGTGATGGTAATAACGGAGTCCTCCCTCAATATAATTGTGAGAGAAAACACAGTAAAACTTTATACAAATAGCAGTCACTGTTTGCTTCAGTGGTTAGAGTGGGACAAGCGGAACATCGGCAGAGCTGAGCATTGACAGAGTTCCTCCAGACTATCCTCTGGGCTTGGATGCTCTTGTAATCCTGCCTGCTTCCCTGTCCCTCCCTTCAGGTGCTGCAACTGGGAATTGGGGGGGGGGGGGCCCTCTGTCTTTTTCCCCTTCAGCCTCTTTTTTTCCTTTTCTCCAGATTGTTTTTCCACCACCGCAGCCATGTCTGACTTCGTGGAGAGTGAAGCCGAGGAGTCGGAGGAGGAGTACGATGCGGACGGGGCAGTTGTTCCCAGAGTAACCAAGAAGTTTGTAGAGGAAGAAGATGGTGAGTTTGCTTTGCATCTCTTCAGTGGCTTGTTGAGCCATAAGTGTCCATGGCATCCTTCTAAGAATATGCCTGAAAAGTGAATAAACCATAAAATCCACACTGTCTTGTAGGATGTGCAAACCAGTTGCAGGGTACTCATTTACTTAGTACATTTTGATCCTGTGCTGCCTCCAAGAAGAAGAAGAAGAGAAGAGATTGGATTTATACCCCGCCCTTCACTTGGAGTCTCAGAGCAGCTTACAAACTCCTTTCCCTTCCCCTCCCCACAACAGACACCCTGTGAGGTGGGTGGGGCTGAGAGAGCTCTTGACACAAACTGCTCTCTTTCAAGGACAGCTGTGCCAGAGCTTGCGACTGACCCAAGGTCACATCAGCAGGTGCAAGTGGAGGAGTGGGGAATCAAACCCCGTTCTCCCAGATTATAGTCCGCACACTTAACCACTACACCAAACTGGAGGAACTCAGGGTGGTGTTCTTTCCTCTTCTGATTTATCCTGGCAACAGCGACCCTGTGAGGAGAGTGACTAGCCCAAGGTCACCCAACAAACTTTATGGCAGAGTGGGGAATTCCAAGTTGTGTCCCGTTCTGTACCTGGCAAGTTGGGCAGCAAGGCTCAAGGGCTGCAGGCAGGCAAGAACAAGCAGGGCAGGATCCAAGGGTCCAGGCCGGAGCTGGAAGCGAGGAATCTCCCCTTGAGGCTGGCTGGCTGGGCCTGCAGAGCCAGAGCTTAGCAGTCACCCGCTCTCCAGGCTGAAGCACAGGCGGTTGGACAGAAGGTGCTGAACTAGCAAAGAATGAGACAGCTGCGATTATATAGGAAACGGAGAGCCCCACCCTTTCCCGTAGCCAAGCCTAGATCCCTGAACCTGCCAAGATCTAAAGACTTGCATCTGCCTCCTAAGAGAGGCAGGAGTCTGGGAGGCCCCGAGCTGCCTAGCGTGCTTGTCTGGTCCAGGCTTTGTCTCCGGCCCTCCAACTTCTGTGTTCCTGAGGGACACTCTGGAGGTGAAAACATGAAGCTGCCTTATATGGAATCAAGCCATTGGTCTATCAAGGCCAGCATTGCCTACTCAGGCTGGCAGCAGCTCTCCAGGATCTTAGTTAGAGATTTTCCCCATCACCTCCTGTATTGTTCTTTTAACTGGAGATGCCAGGAAGTGAAACCGGGGCCTTCTGCATGCCAAGCAAATGGTCTGCCCCAGAGCCATGGCCCCTCCACGGCTGGAGGTGGACAGGTCCACTTGGGGGCTCCTAGTCTGCTGGTGTCCAGGCAGCTTGAATGGGAGCCTCCTGTTGGAGAGGAAGTGTGGAGTCTTCCCTTGGAGCTTCCAGAGTTGCACGGAGCTGTGGGCACGGTGGGGGTAGAGATGTAAAATTTCCGGAAATTTTGAAGCTCGGGAAAAATCCCGTTTTTTTTCCGGGGGAAAACTGAAATTTTCGGAAAAATTGAAAAAAAATGCTACATTAGCATTTCTTTTGTCTTTTCTAGTTTGAAAGTCATTTTTACTTGGCATGAAATTATCACAACTAGCATATTAAAAATATAGTGTATCCAAACGATTATTACAGAATACCACCCACATGCAAAAACAAAACTGACACTTTTTTATTTTCTCGTGACAATCGCACCTCCTAAAGGAAGAAATGCATCTTGTTCTTGCATTGGAGAGTTCAGTGTGTAACCTAGGACTTGCTTGTCCTCAGTGCACAGGAATTACATCAATCTGATACCATATATATATATTTTAGAAATGATTTGGAAAATATTTGAACACTTGGTCTTAAAATATTTTATTCATCATGTTAAAATAAAACGTTCCATAATCAATTTTTTTCTTTTGTTTTCTTTTTTCAATTTTTTCAATTTTTCGGAAAAAAACAAAAAAAGGCTTCAGGAAAAAAAACGGAAAAAAACCGTTTCCCCCCCGAATTTTTCCGTGTTTTTTTTTTGGGGCCTTCACATCTCTAGGTGAGGGCCATTGGGAGCTCCTCTTCTTCCCAGGGGCAAGCTGGACTAGGGCAACCCTTGACATTCTATTAAGCTTTAAGGTGTCACAAGATTCTTGGTTGTGAAAGCTTTCAGTTTATGTTGTATCTAACCGTGCCAGTGCCTGGAAGGATGTGATCCAAGCCAGTTGTCTGGGTCAGAAAAGCCATTTACTCGGCTGTCCACCTGCTCTTCCGTCCGCAGCTCAACATGGGTCTCCGGTCCTTCAGGTCAATGATGCAGCTCTCTGGGAAGTGGGGTCTGCAGAACAAATTCCTCCTGCTTTTGCCACTGAAAATCTTTCCCTTATGCCTCTTTGCAACGTTATATGCCTGGTTTAATTTTCTCTCTCTCTCTCTTTCTCTTTTGCTGCCGCTTTCAGATGAAGAAGAAGAAGAGAACTTGGATGATCAAGATGAGCAAGGGAACCTGAAGGGATTCATTAATGATGATGACGATGAGGAAGAGGAGGAAGAGGAAGAGGCCAGTGATTCGGGAGACTCCGAGGATGATGTCGGTCATAAGAAGAGGAAACGCAGTAAGTGCTGGGCAAGGCCTGCTTTGGGGGCTCTTGTTACTCTTCTTGGTGAGGCAGGGTTGCCTTTTAGCCTTTATCCCACCCTCTGTGCTGGAGGGGCTAGACTGTGGCTGCTTCCCCCCCCCCCCCCGCCCCCCTGGCTTCCTTGTTTGGGCAGATGGCTGGCAGTTTGGCCTTTCTCTTGGCAGATTTTGATGACCGCCTTGAGGATGATGATTTCGACCTCATTGAAGAAAACCTGGGTGTCAAAGTAAAACGAGTGAGTTTGGAACTCCCGGGCGATTTCCCTCCTGTCCTCGATGCAGGGGTCTGGAAGGGTTAGGAAAGAAGGGACCCTCGATCGAATTGGAGCTTGCTGGCTGTTGGCTAGCTCAGCTCCTAGGGGACATGGAAGTTATGACCTCACACTCCCTGAAATTTAAGTTCTTAAGCAGAAGCTCCGATGTTTGTGCCTTGTGGCAACGCTACCATCAAGCATGGTGCGATATGGCCTGGCTGCTGCTGGGCCGAAAAACACCCTTGGGTGCCTGCTCGCCCTCTTGCTAGCTGGTACCCTAGGGACATCTGCTATAGGCAGTCCTATCAAGGCCGAGATGTTGGTGAGGCAGCGGAGGAACCACTTTCTTAGCTAAATGTCTTCCTTGCATACCTTCTCCTGGAAGTGGAGTGGGCAGGAGGGCCATTGTTCTTGGCCCTTTCTTAGCCAGCACCTGATCTCATTGGCCGAGGAAATTCTAAACATCTCTTTGGCAGGCCAAGGGGTTACTGAAGGAAGTTACCCTGGGGGAGAGGAAGGTTTCCCCCTTGGGGGTAGTAGGAAATGTGCACCTCTGTCTCAAGTGCTTAGAGATTCAATAAGACGTGCCTCTTGGCAGCAAAAATTCAGGCGGCTGCGGAAGATGTCAGACGATGAGGATGATGAAGAGGAGGATTACGGGAAGGAGGAGCATGAGAAGGAAGCCATTGCTGAAGAAATCTTCCAGGATGGGGAGGGAGAGGAGGGGGTTGATGCTGTCGAAGGCCCCATTGGCCCCGCTGATGATGAAGAAGAGGAGGAGGAAGACGAGTCTGGTAAGTATTGACCGCACAGAGGGTTCTCTGGGTTGCTGGTGAAATGGTTAAAAGGGCCAAGGTGCATTCAAAAGGGAACCTGAGTTCTGAGTCTCTCCCCCACCATACATGGGTTGAAGAATCTGGCCGGAGGGTTCACAGGCAGAATCAGAATGTGGGTAGGTAGGCAGGCACAAACAACTCTGCATCCCTTACTGGTCACAGGCCAATAGATCATCAGTGCTCGGAGTTTCCCGAAATGGGGAGGGAGGCAAGTGCCACGTCCCCGCAGCCCTTCAACTTCGCTCGGTGCTTTCTTTCTCCAGACATTGATGATTTCATTGTTGACGACGATGGGCAGCCTCTGAAGAAGCCCAAATGGAGGAAGAAACTCTCTGGCTGCACAGATGCGTAAGTCAGGAGAAGGAAGGTCGTGGCTCTCTTCAGCTCTCGGGCAATTTTCCTGGGAGAGAGACGTCTGCAGAGCAGAAGCCCCCTTCTTTGCCAAACCCCATACGTGTGACCCTTTGGGCGGGAGGACGGGTTGCCTTCGGGTTGGGTACTCATGGGCGGCTGCATCCCAGTAAGGCATGTCACGGGCAAGATTCCACCGAGCGCCTTCGAGGCTGAGTCCAAAAGTCTTCTGTTGCTTTCCCCAGCGCTTTGCAAGAGGCTCAGGAGATCTTTGGGGTGGACTTTGACTATGACGAGTTTGAGAAATACAACGAGTACGACGAGGATCTGGAGGAGGAGTACGAATATGAGGCCGACGAGGCAGAAGGGAGTGAGACTCGCGTCCGGGCCAAGAAGGCCACCAAGAAGCGGGTCAGTCGCCGCAGCATTTTTGAGATGTATGAGCCCAGCGAGCTGGAGAGCAGCCACCTGACCGACCAGGACAATGAGATCCGGGTGACAGACATGCCCGAAAGGTTCCAGGTGAGGAGCCCTGTCTGTTTCTCTGCTTGCTTCTGTCTCCTTGCTCTTCCAGCTGTTGCTCATATAGAACACGGTCTCTACCTATGTGGGCTTCAGAAACAAGGCTTACTTCTTCTGTTTCCCCCTTCTTCCAGCTGCGCTCTATTGGTGTGAAGAACGCCGAAGACGATGAGCTGGAGGAGGAAGCTGATTGGATCTACCGGAATGCTTTTGCGATGCCCACCATCTCCCTGCAGGTAAGATTTGTCATCGTGAAGCCATTAGCAGGAAGTACTTTGTTTTGGAGTACTTTCCCTGCTCTCAAGAGCCCGGGGCTGTCCAAGTGGGCCCTCTGCTCAGGCTGCAAAGGCTGGTTTCCATTTTTTCATCATCCTCCGGAGGGTGGTGTTTACTGTCAATGGAACACAGCAGGCTTCTGGGCTTGGCCGTCTGTCATGTGGTAAGGTAAGGCAGAAGACCCATTAAAGATAGCAAAATGTGCAACAAGAGATCTGATCGGCAGAGCATAATCCCCCAGGAGATTCCTCCGTGTATGCCTTAAAATGAATCGCAGTGCCGTAATGCAGCTCCAGTGCATTTGTACGCTGGTAAATTGAACCCTCCGAGAGCAGAAGAGGGAACATCTGGGTTTTCTGTCTCTGGCACCGAAATGACTTGAACCAATCAAGTCAAAATGACTTGAACCATATCTGAGGGACCGCCTCTCCCCATATACGTCCGAAGAGCGTTACGCTCTATGGACCAACATCTCCTGGTTGTCCCTGGCCCAAAGGACGTCCGTCTTGCCTCGACCAGGGCCAGGGCCTTTTCTGCCCTGGCCCCTGCCTGATGGAACATGCTCCCAGTCGAGATTAGGGCCCTGCAGGATCTTCTTCAATTCCGCAGGGCCTGTGAGGCAGGCCTTTGGTTGAGGCAGCGGTCTCCCTGAGGTAGTTGTCACCTATCCATCTATTAATCCAAATAAAATGCTAAAGAACCATACAACCATTGACAGTTAGAGGTGTGATTGAGTTTTAGTGTTGATCATTGTTTAAATTTTCTAACTTGTTTAATTTTAATCGTGTTTATTGCACTGATGTTACCCGCCCTGAGCCCGCTTGTGGGATGGGTGGGCTATAAATGCAAATAATAAATAAATAAAATAAGTTCCCCACAGCAAGGCAAGCCAGCTCTGCCAGTTTGGCAGGCGTGGCTGCAAGAAGCTCTATACCTGTAGCCATCAGCCCCCTCTCTCCTAGGAAACGTCTGATTTCTCGGACCGCGGTCAGGCCGGCAGCAGCTTCAGCCGCAAGGGCCCCAGCACCATTCAGAAGATCAAAGAAGCCCTGAACTTCATGCACAACCAGCATTTTGAGGTGAGCTGGGGTGGAAGGACCCAAGCCCCTTTTCACATATGCACAGCTGAGGGAGAGCCACAGGGCCCTCGGGAGGACCCGGCATGTGCTGAATGTGGCTCTCCCCTCATGCCTTCCTCTCCCTCACCAGAGGGTTTAACCTAGATGGGAGCACAGGCCCCTAACCTTCTCCCGGCTACCGTTGTTCTCTGATCTGTCCCAGGTCCCGTTCATAGCCTTCTACAGGAAGGAGTACGTGGAACCAGAACTGAACATCAACGACCTGTGGCGTGTTTGGCAGTGGGATGAGAAGGTGAGTGCACGCTCGACAGCAAAAAATGATCGGTGGTGGTGCTTGGAAGGGCTGCAGTTTAACCGTACCCAGCATGCCCGAGGAAGGAGCAAAGCCAAAGGGTATTATGAGCTCTCTCTCTCTCTCTTTTTTAAAAGATTTATTACAAAAATCACATAACTCGTTACTACAAAATGTAGTAATTACAGCAAGAAATGATTACATTAGGAAGTGATCAGGGCAAAAACCTCCTTTGCAGTTATAATCTAAATCCGGAAAAACTGCCACAGATCAATCCTGCAGAGAAAGAAAATAATGAACAATCATATAATTCGAGGCAGTTGTATTATCTGAACACATTGAAATCTCTTGATATCTATACGCTACAATTCAAAATATAAGAGTATTATGAAGTCTTTTAAGAGGCAGTAGATGGCTCCCTTTTCAGAATAAGGGGAAGCCAAACGCCCTTCCTTTATAACTCAAGTAGTTGGCCTGGGACTTCCTGGAGATGGGCCCATGTCACTGTGGGGTACCATAACAGTTTGAGTGTATGCTCCTTCAGGGCATGATTCTGGGAGGATCCAGCTCTTTACCCATTCTAGCCCATCGGTAGCATTCACTGCTTTTTTTGAACTAGAAAGAACCCAGTTGACTAAGAAAATGACCTACGTTCCTGAGCGTTGCACTTGCATCCTTTTGGGACCTCCCCCAGTTCATTTGCTGTTCTCATGCTGCGCTGCTAGAAAGGAGGACAGAGAAGAGAGATCAAAATAAAACAGTTTTTGCTGCACACTTTCTTGTTTCAGTGGACCCAGCTGAAGATCCGTAAGCAGAATCTGACCCGTCTCTTTGAGAAAATGCAGGCTTACCAGTACGAACAGATCTCTGCTGATCCGGACAAACCTCTGGCTGATGGAATACGGGCCCTGGACACCACTGATATGGAAAGGTAGGGCTCCCCAGTTCTTCACAGCCCCGTTATGCCGTTATAACCGGCATGTCGTCATCGTGACCATTGTCACAGACAAAACCCAAAGGGAGGAAGCTTAACAGCCAGGAGTAAGGACGCTTGCGTTAACCTGTGCCCGATTACCTGTATCTGTTTAAGCCTTTTCTGTGCCCCAAGGAGAGATGCTCCACTCCATGAAAAGAAATTAAAAGTGGTCTGGTCCCTGGGTATCTTTTTAGAAATGTATTGCAGCAAAGGGTTTTTTTTACAGCATGGCTAAGAATAGCAGCAAGGAGGCTCAAGAACGTACATTTCAGTCCTTCTTAAGTAGGGATTAGAGCTAACCCATTTCATAAACAGTAATTGTTTTTGATGTAAGCTTCCTTCAACGAGAGGTACAGGTTCTGATCAGCAGAACAAACATTGCCAGACACACGTCCAGTCCTCAACTTGGATCTAGATATTGTGTCTCCATTGCTAACGAGGATTTTATCGAATAACGAAATCTCATCTGGATCAGAAGCAGAAAATATAATGTGTGTCAGAAGCAGAGAGAGAGAGAATCTATCAGCCCTTCGAAATGGATAGTAGAGGGCAGTCCATCACATCACCCCATCTGAATACCCGCTTCTCTGAACTGTACCTTGGTACTGTCTGTGTTGCCTTTTCACTTGGTGCAGGCAGGTTGGGCTTTTTCAGGTGTGGCTATGTTGGGGAAAGGCTGCTTGAGCAGTCTGCGGAGCAGAATCCTTGGTGTCCCCCCTACCACCCCCACCCACACAAGCTGTGCAAATCAGCCCTTTTTGGATGGCATTTGCTGGCTGACCTTTGTATGCTACCTGTGGGGTGAACTTCTGTCCTCTGTTGGACAGCTGAAAGCTCTTGCTAGCTGTGAATTTGTTCTAATTCTCGATTATTTCCCTCTTTTAGGCAATGTATGTGCAACTATTTTAAAACTGATTTTATGTTAATTGACTGCTTTTAAACGTTGCTTCATGAATAGGTAGGTGGGATGTAGATTTTAAATGAGTAAAATGCCACAACGTGACTGCTTTATGTCCCACAAGGCTGAAGGATGTGCAGTCCATGGATGAGCTTAAAGATGTGTACAATCACTTCCTGCTTTATTACGGCCGAGACATTCCCAAGATGCAGAATGCAACCAAAGTCAACCGCAAGAAACACAAGCGTATCCGGGAAGATGGAGAAGAGGAGGAAGGTTTGCATGAAGCTCTTATGGACTATAAATCAAGATGGGTAGCCGTGTTAGTCTGTCTGTAACAGCAGAAAAGAGCAAGGGTCCAGTAGTACCTTAAAGGCTAACAAAATGTTTGGCAGGGCATGAGCTTTTGTGAGTCACTGTTCACTTCTTCAGGTACAGCCACCCGTATTTTGCTGTATCCGAAGAAGTGAGCCGTGACTCACGGAAGCTCCTCCCCTGCCACATATTTTGTTAGTCTTTAAGGTGCTACTGGACGCTTGCTCTTTTCTACTTATGGCAGCTAGGTTTCAAAAGCTTGTGTGTTGTGTGCAGTGCTCCCTCTAAGCTGTGGAGTCTTGTGAGCAAAAATTCTACTTTGTGAGCTACTGGCATTAAAGGTGTGAGCGAGCGATTTGGCTACTGCATAGATTAGTTTGCTCTGGAGCCCTCTTTCCTGAGCCAAGACAAAAATGTGTGAGCCGGAGGCTAAAAACCTGTGAGCTAGCTCACACTAACTCAGCTTAGAGGGAACACTGGTTGTATGTCCTCTTCCTTTATACTCCCTTGGAGGCTGGACAGAATCATGGGCAGCACAGCAGGCCTTGGCAAAGGTGCAAGCAACGGACTCTGCAAGCAGAGTGTTAACTTCCAGGCCCTTGTTTTTCACCTTGTTTCTGACTTTTCTCCTTATGCCCTTTCATTCACATGAGAGATCTTCTGCCTTGTTCACACATGCAAGAGAACGAGGTGGCTGGTCGCTATGAAAAGCCTTGCCCCTCCCTTCAGGCTGCAGACAGGTTCTGGCTTCTAATGTTGCTTGACATTAAAAACTGCCCTGCAGATAGCAGAGAGAAGGGTTTGGCTCCTCTTTTGGCTTGTCAGGCTGGTTCTCTCTCTACAGGGACTTTGAACACAGGGATGCATTCCAGAATGTGGTTTTCTACTGCCAGTCTTATCTACTTCATCCCTTCATGTCTCTTCCGCCTCATTGCCACATAAATCTTCTGCATTTGGGAACCAGACCTTAGTGTCACACCAGCAATTTAACATTAACCATGAATTTGCTAGTGAACTCCCCAAAGGAGCGGTCCAACCTCAAATTATTCCTTTTTCCTTTGATTCTGTGGTCTAATGCGGCTGGCTTCTCAGATTCCACCCCTGTAATGTGTGTTGCAAACTGTCATTTCCTGCTTTTCCAGGGGAAGGAGAAGATGCAGAGGATGATGAGCCAAAGGGGCCTGAGCTCAAGCAGGCATCTCGCCGGGACATGTATACCATCTGCCAAACAGCTGGTCTAGGTAATGGCTTACATTCTCACCTGGCCTCCTGTAACCTCCGAAATGTGTTGGCCCCATTGCTGGAGGACCTGGAGTTGCACCCAGCAGTGCTCACTCTTTGTAGTTTTGCTCCTGCCGCAGGTGCAATCTGGGAAAGACTAAATAAAGACTCCCTCCTGCACTGTTTGGGACGTCAGCAAGTGTGGGGGGGAGATGCGCTCCACGCCTTTTCAACACAGTTGGAAACGAATGGAAAATCTCAGTCATACCTCAGATTTCTTAGAAAAATAGTTTCCCTTTACTTCACATGCAAAATCAGTGAAGGTTATAAATTTAAGACAACGTGTACATACTAAAAGAACAACTGGAAGATTTATTATGTGTTTATATAGAAGTGTATTGTCTGGGAATATCATCCATTGCTGGCAAAAACTGAATTGTAAGGTCTCACTTTTCATCTCACTAGTAAAGCAAAAGATCTTTTTTTTCTTCCCAAGAAGTCTCTGTTACAATTTCAAATTCAGAAGTAAGTTCAGTGCACACAATTCAAATTTAGTGTTTCAAAACACTGAATGTTGCTATCTAGGTTTTAAAATAGTGAGCTGGCCTGCATAATTTCTTTTACTTTGCATAGTTTACTCTAAAACATTTACTGATATTAATAATAATTAGCAACAAGTGGCAACTGACTTATGGGGAACCCAAGACCACAGGGTTTTCAAGGCAAGAGATGAGCAGTGGTGGTTTGCCATTGACTTCCTCTGTATAGGAAGAGAGCCAGTTTGGTGTAGTGGTTAAGTGTGTGGACTCAAATCTGGGAGAACCGGGTTTGATTCCCCACTCCTCCACTTGCAGCTGCTGGATGACCTTGGGCAAGCCATAGTTCTGACAAGAGCTGTCCTTGAAAGGGCAGTTCTTGAAAGAGCTCTCTCAGCCCCACCTACCTCACAGGGTATCTGCTGTGGGGAGGGGAACGGAAAGGAGTTTGTAAGCTGCTCTGAGACTCCGAGTGAAGGGCAGGGTATAAATCCAATCCCCCCCCCTTCTTTTTTTTTTTTAATTTATTTACTGATTTTCTATACAACAATACACAACAATCAAAAATACGTCCAATAAAAATGTTAAGGTGCATAAACACGTTACACCGTCTTTCAAATCACAGTCTTCCAATACACAATACACAACAAAAACATAAACTTTAAATTAACAATAAAATAACTAAAACTAATACAACAAATACTACATTAGGGGTTATTAAATTAACCAACTTACTTTCAGGAGATTAAGATAACGATAATTTGTGGACTGTGTATTTCCTTCAAGAATCTCTTCCAATTTGATTAGAATTGGATACCATCTCTCCAAATAATAGGAAGGTCCTAATGAAGGATCTTTATCTGCTAAAGAGTCCGAGATTTTATCCAAAATCAAATGGTCCCAAATTCCCCCCCTTCTATAGCAACCCAATCTTCCTTGTTTCTCCCATATCCAAGTACTAACTATGACTGACCCCGCTTAGCTTCCAAACTCTGACAAGTTTGGGCTAGTCAAGATTTTTCATTAATTTTAGTTTTGCTATTCCTATTCCTGAGAGACAGGCAGTAAGATGTACAGAAGCCCTGCCCTAACTTTTGGATTTCTTTTTAATCCACCTCTTTGGTTTCTGTGATTCATAGCACACACTGTTTATGTACTTTCAAGCCTATCTTGAGGACTAGAAAAAAATGGATATTCTTAAGAGGCTACATCCTGCAAGTCTGAAACTGTCCTGTGGCCCTGGGCTTGAGCAGTCAAGAGCTGTTGAGTCTCTTGCCTCCTTGGAGAGGTGTGATTGGTTGCCTTAATTCTGTTCTGGGTCATTGGGGAGCTGATCTTAAGATGGCCCGGCCTTGCCAGGGGGGGGGGGGAGGATTGGCTGCCTTCTGGTCCCTTAAGCTTTCTTGCTAGACTTGCAACCTCAGGCAGGTAGTGGCCGAACAAAAGACAGGAACTCAGGGGTCCCAAGTACATACCTCCTGTACATGTGTCCTTAGATGGCCTGGCTAAGAAGTTTGGTCTAACACCGGAGCAATTTGGTGAGAACCTGCGCGACAGTTACCAGCGCCACGAAACGGAGCAGTTCCCAGCAGAGCCACTGGAGCTGGCCAAGGACTACGTGTGCAGGTAAGAGGGCTTGATGGGAAAGGGAGTCCTTGCAGGGGCCCAGTCTGTCTGGGAGGTGGCGTCCTGTGTGCCGTACTCACACGGCTTTGCCTCTGCAGCCAGTTCCCCACGCCAGAGGCCGTGCTGGAAGGCGCCTGCTACATGGTCGCTCTGCAGATTGCTCGTGAGCCCCTGGTCCGGCAGGTTCTGCGGCAGACCTTCCAGGAAAGGGCCAAGATCAACATCTCCCCTACCAAGAAGGGCAAGAAGGTAACGGTGCCTCGGCAACACTTGGCATGGGCGTAGGGCCTGGAATCTGGTGACAGCATCTGTGTATTCGGCGTAATCGCATCCAGCCTCGGCGAGCTTGGCACGAGAGGTGGGGAGAGCCAGGTGCAGATCCTACCTGCATCAGCCTGGCCTATCTTGCAGGGCTTGGGAGGGAAAAAGAAGGGAAAGGAGAACCACACGCCACCCTGTGCTCCTTGGAGGAAGGGTGGGATACACAATGCAGTAGGAGCAGTTTCTGGTCAGAGTGAGGCTCCTAGGCAAGCTTGAGCCTCCAGGAAGGTTTTTATTTATTTTGTTTTATTCAGTTTATACCCCACCCTCCCTGCGAGTGGGCTCAGGGCGGCTTACAACGTTGGCACAAAATACCAATGAAACCATATAAAATCATTTTAAAACAAAACAATACAGCTAAAACTCATAGAATCATAAGGTGCTAGTGATCGTTCAGTTCGTTGCTTGTGATGGCGTCCTAAGGATGTTTACAAGCTGACAGCTCCAGCTCAGTGGTCGTCCTGAGTCACTGGATGGAATGAGCCAGATGTTTAAGGCTGAGGGCCAGGCTCGTTGATGGTAGTAGTGAGGGCGGCTCCTTAGTTGAAAGCCTGGTGGAAGAGCTCCGTCTTGCAGGCCCTGCGGAACTGTAATAGGTCCCGTGGGGCCCTGATCTCTTCCAGGAGCTCGTTCCACCAGTAAGGAGCTGCCACTAAAAAGGTCCTGGCCCTGGTCGTAGTGAGCCTGGGATCCTTGGGGCCCGGGAGGGTCAATTGGTTCTGTGACCCCGACCGCAGTGCTCTCGGGTATATGTGGGGAAGGGTGGTCCCTCAGGTATGTCAGACCCTGGCCATATAGGGCTTTAAAGGTAAGCACCAGGACCTTGAAGCGGATTCGGTATGCTATGCTAAAGTGGGATAGAGGACTACAATGCAAGCCGTTGTGTGTGTGGGGGTCCCCATTGAGGGGGGCAGGCAAGGGTATAAATGGAGTCAATAAATACATATTTCAGTTGAGATTGGTGGAAGAATGGCTTTACACAGCCCTGTGAACAGACAGAAACAGCAAATCCTGGGCTGGCTCTCCCGAGTTTGCCTGTAGCCGGAGAAGGAACAGTTGGGCTCATTTGACAGTCTGGAGGGAGGCACCAGGGCTAGCATGGGAATGTGCTGGGGGGGCGGGAATATCTGGGTTCCATGTGCTCCTGCATGTGGACCTGAACCACCCCACCCCCTAAGTATGTTCCTTTTCCCCCCACTGGCAGGACGTAGATGAGGCCCACTATGCGTACTCCTTCAAGTACCTGAAGAACAAGCCTGTCAAGGAACTACGGAACGATCAGTTCTTGAAGATGTCCCTGGCTGAAGATGAGGGGCTCCTGACCATAGACATCTGCATTGACATGAAAGGCGTTGAGGGGTGAGTCTGCTGCCGGAGGGCGGCCCGCTATGAATCCCTCATTCTGAGGAGCAGACGGCATTGATTCGTTTAGGTGAGTTATTCCGATTCCAGTTTCAGAGGGTAGCCACGTTGGTCTGCAAGAGGACAGCCGGGTTTGAGTTCAGCAGCACCTTAGGGACCAGCAAGATTTGGGGGGGGGGGGGGTATAGGTTTCAGGAGTCAGAGGCCTGATGAAGGGAGTTTTGCTTTTAGAAAGCTTATACCCCCCGAAATCTTGTTGGACTCTAAGGTGCTGCTGTGCTCATTACGAGGGGTGTGTGCTCAGTGTATACCAAGCCAAATACCCGAAAAATTAGTTGTCGTCCAGTCGCACAGTCAAGTCCGACACTTCGCGAACCCACGGGCCGCATCATGCCAGGCCCTCCTGTCTTCCGTCGTCCTCTGGAGTTTGCTTAATTTCTTGTTTGTTGCATCTATGACACTGTCTTTGCCGTCCCCTTCTTCTTTTACCATCAGTCTTTCCCAGAATCAGGGTTTTTTTCCAGTAAGTGCTCCCTTCTCAGTTGGTGGCCAACAGGGCTCTTTTTGTAGAAAAAGCCCAGCAGGAACTCATTAGCATAATAGGCCACACCCAACAGCAGGAACTCATTAGCATATTGGGCCGCACCCCTGACAGCACAGCTCATTAGCACATTAGGCCGCACCCCCATGTTACCAGAAGTGTGGTTATCCAGCCACACCCACCTTTTGCTTGTTATTCTGTTTACCTTGTTTATTGTCAAAACCCAGGGCCTTTTTTTGTAGCAGGAACTCCTTTGCATGTTAGGCCACACATACCTAATGTAGCCAATCCTAATGAGTTCCTGCCACTGGGTGTGGCCTATTATGCTAATGAGTCCCTGCTGGGCGTGGCCAACTTGGGAGCCAGCCGGAACTCCGTTCCTGTGCGTTGCTGCCCAAAAATAGCCCTGGTGGCCAAAGTCTTTGAGCTTCAGCTTCAGTATCTGGCCTTCCAGGGAGCAGTCAGGGTTGATTTCTTTTAGGATTGACTGATTTTATCTCCTTACAGTCCAAGGGACTCTCAAGAGTCTTCTCCAGCACCTTATTGGTATTTTTCAGGTATTAATTCAGCCAAATACAGATCAAAGATATCAGCTGCACCTGAATAAAAGCCGATATTCAGACGTGGCCATTTGCTGAGTTGTGCCACCCCTGCAAAGCGACTCGGCAAGTTCAGAAGGCATAAATGAACACAGCTGTTCTCTTGCAGACCAACATAGCTATCCTCTGAAAATGGAACTGGAATAGAGTTTAAATGCCTTCCCTCGGGGAGTCGCGCTGCAACCCTGGTGTTCCATGGTGGTCTCCCATCCAAGTACTAACCATGGCCAAGGCCATTTAACTTCTGAGTTCTGGTGAGAGCAGACTAATATGGGCTGTTCATCTTATAAAGCCATTCACCTCTATACACATAAAGAATTCCACTAAATAAAACAAAAATTTCAAGTTCACATAAATGAAACTAGGTATATAATATATATAGGTATATAATGTAGTCCAGCTTCTAAGAGAATCTCACCTTGCTTGAACTACTTCCAGGCTTCCTGATTTCTAAGAAACATTGTATTTATAGGCTTTCGAAGCAAAGCACAAAGAATGAAGTCATTGTCAAAGCATACAGGTTTATCACCCAACTTCCCTACTGTTTATATTCTGCTATCTGTAAAACAAAATAATTAGAACTATAGCTAACTGTCCAGGGCATAATAACATATGAAATATGTGAAGCTTTTAGGAATTAAATTGATTTCTGCTATATGCTGAGAAAGTTTTGCCAAGGCCATTGCATTTTTAGATTAGCAATCACATATCTTAATGTTATAAAACTATTATCTTTCTGTAAAGAGAACATAGGATGCATTCAGAAAGGCATTTTTATTGTGCATATCCATGGATAATAACCACAGGAATAACACATTAAAATGCCTTTCTGAATGCATCCTATGTGCACTTCCCAGCCATATGTCCGAATCCTCCAGAGGGTTAGTCTAAGCCTCAGCCTTCCCTTTCAGCTATGGCAGCGACCAGACCTATTTTGAAGAGATTAAGCAGTTCTACTACCGGGACGAGTTCAGCCACCAGGTGCAGGAATGGAACCGACAGCGCACCTTAGCCATCGAGCGGGCACTCAACCAGTTCCTCTATGCTCAGATGGCCAAAGAGCTGAAGAACAAGCTGCTGGTAGAAGCCAAGGAGTGTGTGATTAAAGTGAGTGACACCTACAGGAGAGGGGGACTAAAGGCTGAGCAGCAACTTCCACCAGGAGTCAGTAGCCCAGGTGGCTTTCCAAGAAGAGGCATGAGCCACTTGCTTGGCCATGGGGCTCTTTTGCCCCACAGTAATGTCTTTTCTCTGCTGGCCACGCCCACTCAGATCTTTGAAAGCATGAATCTCAACATGCAGGATAAAGCCTTGCGAAGCAGATGCATGCTGATTGGTGGGTCTGATTTGCATAATGCTGAATGCAGAATTGGGTGCTGAGCATATTCATCCGAACCTTCACATATGCTGAATAATGGGACTTTTTCATTCCAATTTCAGTGCACTTTGCAACTGGAATTTACTTTGAAACGGTAAGACCCACTTGGCAATCATCGCTAAAGTGTGAATTGAAAGTGCTTTATTCAATATATGTGAAAGTGCTCTATATACACTGTTCCTGCAGGGTTGGTCCCAGAGAATGAGGCACTGTGATGACCTCCTTTTGCTCCCCTTCTCAGTCTGGGTGCTGCCCCGCTTTGCACGGGAGAGTAACGGTGCCCCTTTCCTCCCCCCCTCCCCGCCTCTTGTGGTTAGGCTTGCAGCCGGAAGCTGAACAACTGGCTCAAGGTGGCCCCGTACCGCCCCGACCAGCAGGTGGAGGAGGACGACGACTTCATGGACGAGAGCCAGAGCAAAGGCATCCGGGTGCTGGGCATCGCATTCTCCTCAGCAAGGTACTTGGAGGCAATGCCGGATTCAAAGTGCCTTCCCGGCTCTCTCCGTCCCAACAACGCGGCTCTTGTTTTTCAGAGACCACCCCGTGTTCTGCGCCCTGGTGAACGGAGAAGGCGAGGTCACAGACTTCCTGCGGCTGCCACACTTCACGAAGCGAAGGAATGCCTGGAGGGAAGATGAGAGGGAGAAAAAAGTGAGGGGGGGGGTCATGCCATGATGGTTTTGGGGGGGTGGGGTGGAAGGAGGAAGACATCCTCAGGGTTGGCTCCAGTGATCCGTCTTCCGAAGGCACTGAGGGTTGCAGATCTTTCCTGGTCTCATCTCTGTATGGGTCCCCTGGGAAAGCTGATTGCCAGAATTCTGAGACCTCTGTGGGGTCATAGTGACTCAAGTCGTGGGGCTGCCGTGAGAAGGGCAGGGGGGCTGGGAATGCTGTTCTGTGCTGCTTGAAGAGGCAGCGGGAGGGGTTTTATCCCCTTCTTGAGAGCCAGTTGAGAGCCCTTCTTGAGAGCCAGTTTGGTGCAGTGGTTAAGTGTGTGGACTCTAATCTGGGAGAACCGGGTTTGATTCCCCCCTCCTCCACTTGCACCTGGCTGGATGCCCTTGGGCAAGCCGTAGTTCTGATAAGAGCTGTCCTTGAAAAAGAGCAGTTTCTGTCAAGAGCTCTCTCAGCCTCACCTACCTCACAGGGTGTTTGTTGTCGGGAGGGGAAGGGAAAGGAGACTGTAAGCCGCTCTGAGACACCTTTGGGTAGTGAAGGGCGGGATATAAATCCAATCTCCTCCTCCTCTTCTCCTTCTCCTACTCCTCCCCCTCCTTCTTCTCCTCCTCCTCCCCCTCCTCCTCCTCCTCCTCCTCCTCCTCCTCCTCCTCCTCCTCCTCCTCCTCCTCCTCCTCCTCCTCCTCCTCCTCCTCCTCCTCCTCCTCCTCTTTCTTCTCCTTCTCCTCCTCCTCCTCCTTCTTCTCCATTCTCCATTCAGTTTGCCAACCTGTGTAGCTGTGACTCTACATGGGTCCCATGAACCTGGGAATCAGCTTTCCAGGTATCAGGAGGGCCTGCTGTGGGAAGGGGAAAATAGGGACGATCCATGATCCAACCTTGCAGTTTCTCCAGTCAGTTATAGAGGTTTGCAGACTTTGGTGGGGAACTCACCTGCTCAGTTTTCTTCGTGCCTCCGCTGCAGAAACCAGGCTGCTTTCCTCCCAGTTTTGTCAGGAGCTTGGCCTCTCGTTCTTCCTTCTTTCAGTGGTGTCCTTTGCATGGGATGCCCCTCCTGATGCAGAGCTTAAAAGTCTACTTAAGCTTGGATCTGTCCTCTGCTGTTAGGAGTGAGTATACTCTTTGATCCAGAAAGCCCTTGGCTCCGAGCTCCTCCTTAGCTGAAAAAGATCTCCCTTAGCTTCTATTCAACCCCTCTCCTCCGCCCCTCCTCTTCTGACCCTATTTGAGCTTTGCTGCCTTGTTGCTCCCTCAAAAACACCCACCAATAGTTGTGGCCACTATTGTTATGGGGTGTCGACAGTGAAGGGAAAAACAGGTCGGGCAGATGCATCACAAACCCTCCTCTCCGTAGCCGCAACGGGAGCGCACTGTGATGCCAAGTGCCAACTCAGCCCACCACACTGTTTCCAGCCACTGCCAATAATCTGAGATCGGGGCCCTGCGGGGATCTGTTACAATCCTGCAGGGCCTGCAAACCGGAGCTGCTCTGCCGGGCTTTTAGTTGACAAAAAAGGGGGGGGCAGTGTACAATGCAGGAAACAAAAAAGGACACCACTGGCAAAAAATATATAACGCACAAGCAAGCAAGCAAGTATACAACAGCAAGTATAATATAATTCAAATAAACCTAACAAATATGATATAAATCAATAGGCCAAAGTGCAATAATAAATCATAATAGAAACAAGTCACAGTCTTTCCATGTGTCTATTCCAGCATAGAAGCAATATCAAAACCCAAATTGGAGTGCAATTCATCAGATTTTCTGAGCCATAAAAAGCCGACGCGCAATCCGGATGCCTGTTGCCGTGTTTCGAATGATTCTTATTCAAGCATGGCTGCAATGGGACCCAGTCTCAAAAGCTGGCATACACTAAGCCAGAATGGTCAGTCAAGGACCCTTAATCCTCCTTGACTGACCATTCTGGCTTAGTGTATGCCAGCTTTTGAGACTGGGTCCCATTGCAGCCATGCTTGAATAAGAATCATTCGAAACACGGCAACGGGCATCCGGATTGCGCGTCGGCTTTTTATGGCTCAGAAAATTTGATGAATTGCACTCCAATTTGGGCTTTTAGTTGAGGCAGCGGGCATCCAAATTCCCATTCTTGGCCTCCCCTGCTGACCGCCCTAGCCTAGTGGTTAGTGGCTGGATGCCTCACAACACCGCCCAGAAGGTTTACATCCGAGCGTCGCTACCGAGACAGCTTCTACTCTGTTTTTTAAATATGGAACTCTGAACTTTTAAAATCTTAAATCTCAAATTTTTAAATTTAATTGTTGAATTGTATGCATCGTTTCACTGTCGCATTCTGTGTGACCTTGTAAGCCACCCTGAGATTGCATACAGGGAGGCCACAATATAGATCAAAGAGACAAAACAATCCATTGGCGTCTGAGCCCAGAGAAGCCGCTAAAGATGCCCTCCCCCCCCATCACAGGAGCTTTGCCTCAGCTGCTTCTCAGAGATGTTCCTGTAGGCAGCGGCCATTTTAGGGACCCAGCCTGTACCTCCCTAACAGGGCAGAGGAAAGGCCCAGTCTGACAGCAGCGTCTCATTTGGTTGGGCAACAGAGCTGCACCGAACTATTACTGTGAGTCACAGTGAGTCTGCCCCCCCCCCAATTACGGACAAGAGTAGCTACTGTTTAAAAGGATATTTAAAAGCCTTTTCTAAAAGGCCCTCATGGGGGTGGGAAAGAATGCAGACCTTCAGCGCAGTTGGTAATGCAACTGACCTCTGATTCCTCCTCTGCCCCCAGGAGAGTCAGAGCTTCTGACTCTCGAGGAGGGGCCGAAAGCCTTCTTTGGAGTGCTTTGATGGGGACTGGCAAGTCCATGTGCCAGCCCTGGACGGGAAGGCCAGTATTTGAAGAGGGAGAGACTTTGCTATCCCACGCCAGCAAATGGCACATCCAGCCTTCCAAGTTGAAGCAGAGGCCTAAAGGAGGGAGGGGAGCCAAGAAAGACCCTGGCACAGAATGAATCTGTGGGCTGTGATAGTTCTGGCAAAGAAATACTCAGGGGAGGAGTCGTTTTTCTCATGGGGAGCCTTCCGTTTCACATCGTTCAAAGCCGAGGGCTTCTCTCCCATTTTAATGAATGCGATTCCTCTGCCGCAGGTCCCAGTGTTTTTCATCGGCTCTGCAGAACCTAAAGCTTCCAAGTTTTCCCCCTGCCTTAACTGTCCATAAGCTTTAACTGTTTGAAAACGCTGTTACAGCAGAGTGGGCCATTCCAGGCTCTGTCAAGGGCCTTGCAGATACAGCAGAGGCTTTTTTATGCCTTCATTAATCCAGCAGTGGGTTCCTTTAGTGTTTGCAGCAGGAGAAGCCCTGCTATGAAGAAGAGTGGCATCTAAACCCCTGGGGATTTCCGTGTAAAGGACCAGGTTGCCAGGGCAAACAATCTAGGATTAAGCATGTCACAGGAGGCCTCATCGCTGGGCATCAGAGCTGCAGCAGCAGCAGCAGCAGCTCTGTGATGTTTCTTGGTCTGTGGTGTAGAGGGTTAAATTTCTAAAATGGCAGTTTTTGCAGCTGACCTTTTTTTGCCCTTACACAACCTAGTGCGAGGAGTGTGGCCTCTAGACATTCTGTAGTTGGTGGCTAAAGAGCTGGAGCGCGCCATCAAGGACTTCCACCTCACCTCATAAGAACATAAGAGACGCCAATGTTGGATCAGGCCAAAGGCCCATCCAGTACAACACTCTGTGTCACACAGTGGCCAGAAATACTAGGTGCCATCAGGAGGTCCACCAGTGGGGCCAGGACATTAGAAGCCCTCCCACTGTTGACCCTTCCACACACAAGCACCAAGATGACAGCGCATCACTTGCCCCAGAGCCCCTAGCTATACCTTGTGGCTAATAGCCACTGATGGACCTCCATATGCTTATCTAATTCCCTTTTGAAGCCGTCCATGCTTGTAGCCGCCACCACTTCCTGTGGCAGTGAATTTCAAGTGTTAATCACTCTTTGGGTGAAGAAGTACTTCCTTTTATCCGTTCTAACCCAACCGCTTAGCAATTTCATTGAGTGCCCACGAGTTCTTGTATTGTGAGAAAGGGAGAAAAGTACCTCTTTCTCTACCTGCTCTTTCCCATGCATAATCTTATAAACCTCAATCATGTCACCCCTCAGTCGTCGTTTCTCGAAGCTAAAGAGCCCTAAGCGCTTTAACCTTTCCTCATAGGGAAAGTGTTCCAACCCTTTTATAATTCGAATTGCCCTTTTCTGCACTTTTTCCAAAGCTATGATATCCTTTTTAAGGTGTGGTGACCAGAACTGCACACAGTATTCCAAATGAGGTCGCACCATTGATTTATATAGGGGCATTATGATATTGGCTGATCTGTTTTCAATACCCTTCCTAATAATCCCCAGCATAGCATTGGCCTTCTTTATTGCAGTCACACACTGTCTCGACATTTTCAAAAAACCTAACTGGTGGTCTCCACGGCAAGGCTGTTTCTCCTGCTTTGTGCTTGTCTGACAAGTAGGGGAGGGGCTTCCTTCCAGCAGCAGGGGATAGAGCCAAGCTCCATTAGAATTCTAACCCCTGCCTGAATGGGGAAATGAGAGATGTATCCCGCATAAAGGACATCTCCTTCTGCGTCCAGTATTCCTTTCTCTTTCAACCCTTCTCTCTCCCTGCCACTGGCTTAGTTTAAGGTCACTGTGGTTCCTTTCATCAGCTTCCCTGCCTAGAAGACGACCTGTCAGTTTCAAGCAAAACCATCCAGCCGGGTGCCTGAGTAGGTCCTGCAGCCTCCGATTCCCAGGACAGTGATGGGGCCATTGAGAGACTGCTCGTGAACACATAAAGCTGCCTTATACTGACTCAGACCCTTGATCTATCAAAAGGCAGTATTGTCTGCCCAGACTGGCAGCCGCTGTCCAGGGTCTTGGGAGGAGGTCTTTCTCACCACCTACCACCTGGTCCTTTTAACTGGAGATGCTGGGAATTGGACCTGGGACATTCAGCTCTACCACCGAGCCCCATGACCCTTGACCCACCAGCCAGTTAATCCTCATCCAGAGGCTAGTGGCTGTCCTTCTGTCAGAGGTACCTCCCTTGGCATCTCCTGCCCAAACATCATTGGTTGCTCTGCCACCCAAAGGCGCCTCCCACCCAACCAGAGGTGCTAAAGGGAGCCAACCCAGAGGGTGTCCAGCACAAGGGCCTCCTTCGGTTACAGACTTCCTTACTGAGGGGGAAGTCCTTACCAACTCTGAGAAGGGCCTCTTTCCCGTCTTCTTCCTACGGGGAGGGCGGGATAAAAATCTTAATAATAATAATAATAATAATAATAATAATAATAATAATAAGTCTTTGCAAATCATGTCCTCAGTGGTGAGTGAGTGGGTGGGATAGCCAGCCAAGGAGGAACTTTGGCAGGAAGACCCAGTGTTCTATTGGGGCGTTCTTTCTGTAAAAGGAGCCCTTCCTCTGTTCTAGGCCCGGGATATTGAATCACTGAAGAAGTTCCTGCTTAGCAAGAAACCCCACGTGGTGACGATTGCAGGAGAGAACAGGTGAGAAATGCTGGGCCCGGGTCCCTGTTCCCCCCCACCTTGACTGCTATCTCCCCAGTGAATGCCACTTCTGAAGAGTGTGTCTCGTCCCAAAGTGCACTTTGCATGTCGCGCTTGGCCGGTGCGTTTTCTCACCTGCGCCCTGTTCTTTGCCCCGTCCCCTGCCATTTTTCAGGGATGCCCAGATGCTGGTGGAGGACGTGAAGCGCATCGTCCACGAACTGGAGCAAGGGCAGCAGCTTTCCTCCATTGGGGTGGAGCTGGTGGACAACGAACTGGCGACTCTCTACATGAATAGCAAAAAATCCGAGGTAGCCCCTTGATGCTGTGTCCGTGCCACCTGGAATTGCCTGCCCCCCCCCTTCCAGAGGGACAGGCAGGGCTCTTTTTGTAGAAAAAGCCCAGCAGGAACTCATTATCATAATAGGCCACACCCAACAGCAGGAACTCATTAGCATATTGGGCCACACCCCTGACAGCACAGCTCATTAGCACATAAGGCCGCACCCCCATGTTACCAGAAGTGTGGTTATCCAGCCACACCCACTTGTTGTTCTGTTTACCTTGTTTGTTGTCAAAACCCAGGGCCTTTTTTTGTAGCAGGAACTCCTTTGCATGTTAGGCCACACACCCCTAATGTAGCCAATCCTAATGAGTTCCTGCTGTTGGAGGAGGAGATTGGATTTATACCCCGCCCTTCACTTGGAGTCTCAGAGCGGCTTACAAACTCCTTTCCCTTCCCCTCCCCACAACAGACACCCTGGGAGGTGGGTGGGGCTGAGAGAGCTCTTGACAGAAACTGCTCTTTTTCAAGGACAGCTGTGCCAGAGCTTGTGACTGACCCAAGGTCACATCAGCAGGTGCAAGTGGAGGAGTGGGGAATCAAACCCGGTTCTCCCAGATTAGAGTCCGCACACTTAACCACTACACCAAACTGGCGTGGCCTATTATGCTAATGAGTTCCTGCTGGGTGTGGCCAACTTGGGAGCCAGCCAGAACTCCGTTCCTGTGCGTTCCTGCCCAAAAATAGCCCTGGGTACAGGTGGGATTAGCCTCCACATTGTCAACCTTCAGCTTAGTAAATGGGAGTTGCTACATTCTGCGGCTCCCCGGTTTGCATTTATGCGGGCAGCTTGGGCCCACCCCCCCGTCCTTTTGTTAGTCTCAGTTTATAGCGCTGAGTCTTCTCTAGTCTGCCAAGAGCAGCCTCTTGCAGGAGGGGGGTGCTGGTAGAAGGAGTTCGGTGGCTGCTCTAAGCAGTGCACTCTGAAAGAGCAAACTAAGCCCGGGCATCTGCCAGAAGGGAAATGGAAGAATCGTAGAATCAGAATCATAGAGTTGGAAGGGGTCCTACAGACCATCTAGTCCAACCCCCTGCCCAATGCAGGACCTGCCCAAAGCATCTCTGACAAATATTCGTCCAGCCTCTTCTTGAAAGCTGTCAGTGAAGGGGAGCTAGCCACCTCCCTAGGCGGCTGATTCCACCTCTGAACCACTCTGACCATGAAAACGTTTTCCCTAATATCCAGCCGATACCTTTCTGCATGTAATTTAAACCCGTTGCTTCGGGTCCTGTCCTCTGCTGCCGACTGGAGCAGCTCCTTGCCCTCCTCCAAATGACAGCCTTTCAAATATTTCAAGAGAGCAATCATATCCCCCCTTATCAGTGCCGAGGAGGGAGCTCCTGTGCTGACTCCTCTTTCGGCCTCCCGTAGAACGAATTCCGGGAGTACCCCCCTGTTCTGCGCCAAGCCGTCTCCCTTGCTCGACGCGTACAGGATCCGCTGATCGAGTTTGCCCAGGTTTGCAGCTCAGACGAGGACATCCTCTGCCTCAAGCTCCACCCTTTGCAGGTAATCTCACTCCACAGCTGTTTTTATCCTGTGCACAGGCCATATCTGATACTGGGTGGTTCCTATAGGACATGGAAGATGGTTTATCTAAGGCAGAATTTTGGATTACCTTGAAGCAGAGGTTTGGCAGGGAGAGGAAGGGGCAGGGTCGGTTCTGTGCTCAAGTCACCTGGCTCTGAAGCTCAGCGCACTTGTTCCTGCTGGGAAGTTCTCCCAGCAATCGTGCCCCGAGTTCCATGGTGGCCAGAAAGGCTGTGGATATGTGTAGTCTTGAAAGGGCAGGCAACAGTGTGTCCCCAGCTCCCATAGGGCCTCTCCCAGCTCGGAGTCCTTTCTAGCTCATAGCTGACCCTTTCTGCTGGCATGCAGCCTCTTGCATTCATGGTGTGTGTGTGTAATCATTGAACAGTTTCCTAAAGGAACATTGGCCCCATGTGGGGCCAATTGGAAGAGGTTAGTCCTAAGAACATGAAAGAAACCAAGTTGGATCAGGCCAGTGGCCCATCCAGTCCAACACTCTGTGTCACACAGTAGCCAAAAACGAGGTGCTATCAGGAGGTCCACCAGCGGGGCCAGAACTCCAGAAGCCCTCCCACTATTGCCCCCCCGAGCACCCAGAATGCAGAACACCCCTGCCCCAGGCAGAGCGTCCCATCTATACCTTGTGGCTAAGAGCCACTGAGGAGCTGCAGTGGCTCAAGTGGTTAAGACGCTGAACTGCAGGCTGTGGAAGGTCAGTAGTTCAGCAGTTCAAGACCCGAGTTGCCACATGATGGAGTGAGCTCCCGTCTCTAGTTCCAGCTCCTGCCAACCTAGCAGTTCGAGAGCAAGAAATTGCAAGTAGATAAATAGGTACCACTTTGGTGGGAAGGTAACAGCGTTCCGTGCGCCTTGGCGTTTAGTCATGCCGGCCACATGACCACGGAAACGACTTCAGACAGCGCTGGCTCTTCGGCTTTGAAACGGAGATGAGCACCGCAACCCTAGAGTCGGACTCGACTGGCTTTTGAGCAAGGGAACCTTTACCTTTTTTTTAAGAGCCACTGATGGACCTCTGCTCCGTTTCTATATCCATATGTTTACTCCTGAGCAGCACAGCGGCAACCTACCTTGCTCAGTTCAGAATATAAAAGCTTTCCTGTACTTACCCAGGAACACGTTGTGAAAGAGGACCTGCTGAATGCCTTGTACTGCGAGTTCATCAACCGTGTGAACGAAGTGGGAGTGGATGTCAACCGTGCCATTGCCCATCCGCACAGCCAGGCCCTCCTGCAGTACGTCTGTGGCCTGGGGCCACGCAAGGGCACTCACCTGCTGAAGGTAAACCCCTTCCACATGTCACCGTCCTTGGCCAGAGGCTGCTTCTGGAAGGCTTAGGTGGCACCTCATAAGCAACTTGTGAGCTGAAGAGCATGTGATTGGCTCAAAGCCATCCATAGAGCATCAGGTGTTTAAACTTGAATGCCATATATTGCCAGTTGTTTTGCAAAACTGGCCACTTGGAGTGGCTGACTGTAACTCCTATATCTATCCTAATGTGTCCCTGCTTTTGTTCGTGCTGGATGTGTGGGAAATAGTCATGATTTTGGGGAAAGGGAACCCCCTTCTGCCCTTTTATCCCAAGCCATTTACATATGTCTCCAGCAGTGTTCCCTCTAAGCTGAGTTAGTGTGAGCTAGCTCACAGTTTTTTAGCCTCCAGCTCACACATTTTTGTGTGACGGCTCCAGGAAGGATGTCAGGAAGGAGGGCTCCAGAGCCAACTAATTTATGCAGTAGCCAAAATTGCTCACAACTTGAATGCCAGTAGCTCACGAAGTAGAATTTTTGCTCACAAGACTTCCACAGCTTAGAGGGAGCATTGGTCTCCAGCCCCTTTGAGCCCACACTTTCCTTAATCCCCCCCCCCCCAGTATCTTCAGAAGTCTGAACAGAGATTCTTTCCACAATAGGAATTACTGTGTTCTGGAAGCAGAATCAAGTTACCAGCATCGTCTGGTCAGTGTGCCTTTTCCTGCAGTGGCTGGAGAAGTTTAGTGTCTTCTGAATTCTCTCGCTTTCTCTCTCCCTCTTGTGCAGATCCTGAAGCAGAACAATACGCGGCTGGAGAACCGTACCCAACTAGTCACTATGTGCCACATGGGACCAAAGGTCTTCATTAACTGCGCTGGGTTCATCAAGATAGATACGGCATCGCTGGGCGACAGGTTGGTGCCAGGCTGTAGTGGAAGGGTTAATTCTGGGAAGTGGTCAAACTTCATTCCTCTGTTAGGGAAAGAGCCAGTGCCAGAACTTACAGAACTCTCCACTGATAATATGCAGACTGTGCAAAGAAACAAGCCGGTCATGGCAGGAAGCTGTTCTGGCAGTGTGTCAGTCCCTCCTCAAGAACACACGCGAAGCTGCCTTATAATGAATGAGATCATTGGTCCATCAAGGTCTGTATTGTCTACCCAGACAGGCAGTGGCTTTCCGTGGTGTAAGGGAGGGGTCTTTCATATCACGTGTTATCTGATCCTAAGAGCCCTGCTGGATCAGACCAAAGGTTGTTCTTGGCCAGCTTCCTGTTCTCTTCAGTGGCCTACCTACTAAAGTTTGGTAAACAGGAGCACAGAGGCTAAAGCTCCTGTTACCCTGTAACACATGTTCAGAGGCAGTGCATCTCTGAACATGGAAATTCAGTTTAGCCATCCTGGCTGACAGCCATTAGACCGGTCCTCCATAAATATTCCTAATCCCCTTTTTAAGAAGAAGAGCTTGGATTTATACCCTGCCCTTCACTACCCAAAGGAGTCTCAGAGCGGCTTACAAACTCCTTTCCCTTCCCCTCCCCACAAGAGACACCCTGTGAGGTAGGTGGGGCTGAGAGAGCTCTTTCAAGAACTGCCCTTCCAAGGACAGCTCTTATCAGAACTGTGGCTTGCCCAAGGTCATCCAGCCAGGTGCAAGTGGAGGAGTGGGGAATCAAACCCAGTTCTCCCAGATTAGAGTCCGCGCACTTAACCACTGCACCTATCATTGTTAGTGGCTGTCTTGTGGAGTGGATTCCATAAACCAATTATGCTTTGTATGAAGGACTTCTGTTCTCAGTGATCATCTGTCAACTTCGTTTAGTGTCCCCAGGTGCTTGTACTTTGGCTGCAGGAGAAAAAGTTCTCTCTCCCCATTTTCCACCCTGTTCGTAACTGTATAGATCTGTCACATCCCCCCTCCATTGTCTTTCGTAGATTATAAAGCTCCAAATTCGTTAGCCTTTTTTCATAAGGGAAGTGTTCCCACTGGCCGTGTTATTTTGGGGACTTCCTAGTAATCCTAGTATAGAACTTCCCCTTTTCTCACCACCTTCACAGAGTGAGTTGATATTTTCGTTGAGCTGTCCATTGTAACCTGATTATCTCTTTTTTGCTTAGTCACCAACAGGACAGACCTCACCAATGCCTTTGCAAAATTAGAGTTTCTGTTTCTCCCTGCGCGTATCACTTTGCACTTACATTCAACTTCACCGCTTTGTTGCCCACCCATCTAGTTTGGAGAGGTTCTCTCAGAGCTTCTCACAAGCTGCATAAGTTCTCGGCATCCTGAATAATTGGTTCCTTCCACAAATACAGCCTCTTCACTGCTCACATTCAATTTAAAATCATTTATGAACAAATTTAATACCATCAGCCCTAACACAGATCCCTGGGGCTCTTCACTGTTTACTTCCCTTTGTTGTGTGAGTCATTTACTAATCCGTAAGAGGAGCCATGGGTTATCTTATCCCATAACTGTTAAGTTTGCTCATGAGCCTTTGATGAGGTCAGAACTTTGGTAAAAGATTAGCAAATCAAACCTTCTGTCGACTAGCAATAGTGCTCCTTATGCGGATTTTTCAAGTCCAGCTGTTCCTTCTTACCCTTAGCACGGATTCCTACATTGAAGTCCTGGACGGGTCCAGGGTCCATCCAGAAACCTATGAATGGGCCAGGAAAATGGCCGTCGATGCCTTGGAGTATGATGAGTCGGCAGAAGATGCCAACCCTGCTGGTGCCCTGGAGGAGATTCTGGAAAACCCAGAGCGCCTGAAGGACCTGGATCTTGATGCCTTTGCTGAAGAGCTGGAAAGACAGGTCACTACTACCCTTGAGTAGTTTCAACTCTTGGTTCTGCCAGGTTGCCTGCAGGTTTGTTTCACTGTGGCTTTCTCACAGGGCTATGGAGACAAACACATCACCTTGTACGACATCCGTGCCGAACTAAGCTGCCGCTACAAGGACCTGAGGAGCCCATACCGCTCCCCCAATTCTGAGGAGGTCTTCAACATGTTGACGAAGGAGACGCCTGATACCTTCTACATAGGTAGGCCTTCCTGTATTGGCAAGAGGGCACTTGCTCTTTGCGTGCTTAGTGCCTGAACTTTTCCATTCCGCCATGCTGCTGTAAATACAGGCTACAGAACTCCTACGTCACCCATGTGGTTCTTATCAGCCCAGATGCACAAGCCACGTAAGCCTTCTCAGAGAGCCGTGTTTAAGGCTCTTCCCATATGCCGTTCTTATTTCTGATCCTTCTCTACCTTCAGGTAAGCTGATCATCTGCAACGTGACCGGAATAGCCCACCGGCGGCCCCAGGGGGAGAGCTATGACCAAGCAATCAGGAATGATGAGACGGGCCTGTGGCAGTGCCCCTTCTGTCAGCAGGACAACTTCCCCGAGCTCAGCGAGGTAATGTGGCTAGCACCACAAAGTGAGCCAGAGCCCACCTCTGAGTAGGTGGTGGTGTGCGGTGCATGCCTACTGGAACTTCCTGTTAAGCAAGAGGCCCATGCATATACCATCCTTTCCCAGTCCCATATGTGCATACTTGGAAACCAAATTTGGGGCAATTGACAGACCAGGAGTTGCATCATAGCCATGCAGAATCATTGCATGTATTGAGATGTATCTACAGCCAAAATGAAAAGGAGCGTGCTTCTCTCAACTTGCTCAGAATCTCATTTCCTGTAAAGTATGTGTTCATTCCTGTTGCTATGGAATGAGATGCACTCCGCATAGAAAAGTCATTAAGTTCAAAATCCCTTTTAGAAACGGAGAGTGTCTGTGCCCAAACTGCGCAGAAATACAGCAGGGAATTTGTAATCTTGCAGGAATTTCCGTTTTCTCCTCTGTGCAAGTAATAAGGTTGATTGTGTTGATTCGCCTACTAGTGACAAGTTCATACACCGCACTTAGTGTTGTGATATTTTCATGCATAAGGTAGTTTGGCCTGCCAAATTTCTGAAAAACACAAAAGTCTACCATTTCCTTTCCAATCCGCAAGTGGATAAGCCACTGCAGCGTTCAAAACGCATATGTGTATAGCAGATCTACGGAATGTTTGAATGCATGGATGTGTTTAGATTAAATAACATGAAACAAATAATTCTTATTATCCAAAAAATTATACTGAAAAAATTCCCAGCACTCATCAAAGAGATTAATGCTTGTCCTTATCCATAAAGAGTTGTTCATCAAACTCAATATAAATCATGCCTGTTACACATACATAAATTTGGATCTCCGTTGACAACTTGCCTTGCTTCCATTTCTATCATTTTTCCTGCACCTCCATGTCAGTAGTATTAATCACCCTAGATTGATCTTTCAACCTGGTTTACTGATTTCATTTAGGATCCCACCCTCATAGAGAAAATAAAGTTTAGGGTTACATAATTTGAAATGAAGTAACATAACAGCAAAATGTGTATTCCTTCTATTCCACGTGAAGCTGCCTCATAGTGAATCAGACCCTTGGTCCATCAAAGTCGGTATTGTCTACTCAGACTGGCAGCGGCTCTCCGGGGTCTCAGGCAGAGGTCTTTCAAATCATCCCCTACCTGATCTTTTCAACTGGAGATGCCGGGGATTGAACCTGGGACCTTGGGCATGCCAAGCAGATGCTCTGCCACTGAGCCACGGCCCCTCCTTTCTTGAACACTGTGAATGCCCCCCTCTCTCTTTATTTAAGTACCAAAACTGCTATACGCAGATAGAACAAAACAGGAAACAATGGGTATCTTTCCCATATAACTTCAGAGAGACTAATTTTTGTAGAAGGCTGTTCTTGGACACTAGCAATAGAACGTCACCAGGATAAAAACACTTTAGTATTGTAAAATTGTTCAGGGGCTTTGGGGCAGGATTTCTGTGTTCTGTCCATGTCCCCAGTGATTTCTAAAGCTGTGCCTTAGTAATTGCTGGTGTAATGTTACACTGGCATTGGAGGTACATACAGGCTTAGAGAAGTTTAGATGCAAAGACCCATCCCCCCCCCCCCACACACACACACCCTAGTTCTAGTAATTTGTGTGCCAGGATTATGCTGGCAGATGTGCCAATGCACTACTTAGTAATCATCCTGAACCAATAGAGCTTGTTCCTTCGATAACTAAATGACATTTTTAAAAAATCTTCCCTGAAAGCTGTCTTTCTCTTGAAAATGTGTCTGTTTTTCCAGTCACACACTCATCAGTATTTCATTCAGTCTGTTTGCCAGTATTGTGTGGGGTGTTGCAATCCTGGATTTTCTGGATAATTTCTTCCTTTAGAAATTATTATTATTATTTTCCTCTAAGCTGTTGGAATCTTCTCCATTTAACCTGTATTGTTAAATAGCCTTTACGGTTTTGGAGATCTTTCTCCTATAAAGGTCTGCTTAAAACTCTCCTTTAAAACCATCAGTTCTGGGGACGTTGTCAGATTTTACCATTTTAATAACCACGTAATTACACCATCCAGTTGATCTGTCTCTTCCTCTAATAATGTGGAATTGCCAGTTGAGCTCCCTTAGCACTCTCAGGTTGATACCCTTGTGTGCTCCCTGCTTCCCTGAGTGGAGAGAAGTTCCAGTTGGTTCTCTCAGAAGGGGAGAGCGCTGGACACTTACTGGTGGTGTAGTATACAGATATACAAATACAGCACAGGTGGAGCCAAGGCAGTCCTTCCGGGCAGCAGGTTCATTACTGCCCCTAGGATCCCAGAGAGACAGATCCAGTACCCCCAAGTTGCGTCAGGCAACTCCAAACAAGGCTTGAGTCCCGTAAAACCTTAAAGACCAAGGTTTTCCAGGGTATCAGATATGAGAGCTTTGATTCTTTGAAGCTGATACCCTGGACGTCTTGTCGGTCTTTAAGGTACTACCGAACTTGAATCTTGCTCTTCCACTGAAGACCAATCTGGCTACCCACTTGAAACAACTCCAGGCGGAATCAACCTGCCTGCATCAGAACGTCACTTCCCCATCCCCCTCATGCATACCTGCTCCTTCTCTGCAGTTCAGGGCTGGAATAGTCACTTCGTTCAGAACCCAATAGCTGCTTAACCAGAGCCATTAAGGCCGTAAGACATGCCCTGACCCGGATAGGCCAGGCAAGCCCGATCTCATCAGATCTCAGAAGCTAAGCAGGGTCGACCCTGGCAAGTACTTGGATGGGAGACTTCCTTGGAATACCCGCAGTCAGGAGGCGGGGGCAGGCTTTAATCAGCCACCTCTCTGACTATTCTCTGGGGCCCCAGTCGGGGTCAGTCACCAGAAGTCGCCGTGATTTCCACGGGCACGCATGTGCGCGCACACACACAAAAACAAAACAAAAAAACACACACACCCCCAAAGGCAGGAAAACATCACTGCTCCTTTTTCATATAGCCACGTTACTTAGGATTTATGCTTACCACACTACCTTCTGCCTAGAGAAGGTATAGTCACCTGACTTGCTATATAGTCTGCCTTCTATTTATTTATTTATTTATTTATTTTTGAGATTTTTTTTATCCCGCCCTACCCAGTGGCTCAGGGCGGCTAACAACAAGTTTAAAAATTGGATACAGTAAAAACAATATTACATATATAATAAAATTTGGTGCTACAAAAATCTACATAAAATTTACAAAAAATACAGCAACCCACATTTGCAGCCAGTGTTCTTGATAGCGAGAGCGCCAGGAGCAACCAAACGATTTCCTTTTCCCCCGTGCATGTGCTTCCCTTTGCCTTGGCACGATCCTTCCTTGCAGTAAAAACAGCTCTTCCTGACTCAGAATCCCCTGTCTGGCCCTTGGGTGGGCTTTACGTATATGTGAACATCACTGTGTTAGAATTCCAGCCTCTTTCTCCACCAGTGAAGGAAGGTGTCCTTACAGTGGGTCGTGCCTCCTCCTCGCTCTGTGGCCCAGGGCGTAAGAAGATTTTTTTGCAAACACTTCCACAGTCTTTAGGAGGCAAAACCCCCACCCCCAATTCTGTGCCCCATCTCCCCCATGGATGGATGAGCTTCCACCCCTCTTGCCCTCGAAGGCCAGAAAAGCATGACGGAGCACCCTAAAAACTGGCAGCCATCTCCTCTGCCTCTCACTTGCTAGCAGCGAGGGCTAAAAAGAAAAAGGTCTCCTGGTGAGAGCAAGTTCCTGCAGCAGCCACCCAGTAAGGAAGAAACCCTACTGAGGCAATGCTCTTGCCGCCAGGGCTCCGGCCCTGGCTCCAGTCTGGAGATTCCTCTCTTACTTGAATCTGGCAGATATGAGGAAGGGGCTAAAAGTTCAGCAAAGTTATGAGTTGCCAGCATGCTTCTCTCTTCCTCTCTCTCTATACCAGGGGTGGCCAAACTGTGGCTCGGGAGCCACATGTGGCTCTTTCACACACATTGTGTGGCTCCCAGCAGGGCTGCTGGGCAAGTGAAGGCATGCTTCCCCTCCCCGATGGGTCTTCTCTTCCCCAGCCAGGGTTCTCCCCTTCCTGGGTAGGCTTGAGGCAGGGGGGAGCAGAGAAAGAAAGCAACTTTAACTTTAAATGCGTTCTCAAAGCCCTCACCCCCCAGCCTACAAATATCACTTGACAAATAAATATCATTATTAATATCTATTTTTATCCCTTTTGTTTTTATTTCTGGTAGTTTCATTTAATGTTAATAAATAGCAAATTTGCATATTTCCAATAAAAAATGTGTCTGTAATATTTGTTCACATCATGTGGCTCTCAAACATCTGACGTTTATTTGATGTGGCTCTTACGTTAAGCATGTTTGGCCACCCCTGCTCTATATGGATAGATAGATACACACACACTCCCACCCTACACAGAATTGAAGTTGCATTCTCTGGTAGGCTGGATGCTTGTTTGGGGGGGGTGTTCAGCTTTCCGGTAGTTCCTCCACTGAGGACTTCTGAAAGCACCCCAAGGCAGCAGAGACCGGCTTTCCATCCTTTCACCTCCCCGACCAATCCCATCGCAAGTCTAAGCAGCCAAGAAATGTTTGGTGGGCCAGTAGGACTATAATGTGATCCCCTGACGGGTACTTGCTTTTATTCGAGGCTTGATTGTTTCTTTATGCCCTGCATTCCTCTTCTTTCCAGGTCTGGAATCACTTTGACAGTGGCTCCTGCCCCGGCCAGGCCATCGGGGTGAAGACTCGGTTGGACAATGGGGTAACCGGCTTCATCCCCACCAAATTCCTCAGTGACAAGGTGGTCAAGCGGCCTGAGGAAAGGGTCAAGGTAAGTCATCTGACCCCCTCTGCTCTGAACATTGCGTCAGCAGATGGGGGATACGAACGACCCTCAGTCAGGTGGTTTCTGAATCATGGTGTGCTTGTCTCTCTTGTAAGGAGGGTTTTGCAACTTGCGTGTCTTTCCCAGGTTTCTGGGGAGTGGTTATTTTTCCTCCCCATCTGGCAGGGTGATGGAAAGGAAGGTCACTCTCACATTCTTGTTGTTAGAACTTGTTGGGTCTTTACCCAGCTTCTCCAGGGCGCATGTGGCGGCTTCTTCTAGCCGTATCTTCCTTTCTGCCCTGCCCAGGTGGGGATGACGGTGCACTGCCGGATCATGAAGATAGACATCGAGAAGTTCAGCGCCGACCTGACCTGTCGGACGTCAGACCTGATGGATAAGAACAACGAGTGGAAGCTGCCAAAAGACACGTACTACGACTTTGACGCAGAGGCCGCCGATCACAAGCAGGAGGAAGAGCTGAAGAGGAGGCAGCAGCGCACGAGTGAGTCTTCCAGCGAGCCTGATGGGGAAAGGAAGGGGCTCATGGCACTGCTGTGAAGGGCTGTGTGTGAGAACCGCCTGCCTGTGTCTTTCCCGCAGCTTACATCAAGCGGGTCATTGCCCACCCATCCTTCCACAACATCAACTTCAAGCAGGCCGAGAAGATGATGGAGACAATGGACCAAGGCGACGTCATCATCCGCCCCAGCAGCAAAGGGGAGAACCACTTGACGGTCACCTGGAAAGTCTGTGACAACATCTACCAGCACGTCGACGTGCGCGAAGAAGGCAAGGAGAACGCCTTCAGCCTGGGCGCCACGCTGTGGATCAACACAGAGGTCAGCCTGACCGCGAGAATGTGGCAGGGGGAGAAGAGGGGGGGTCTTTCTTCCTCGGCCAGATTTTTGACCTTTTCCTGTTTTCCTCCAAAGGAGTTTGAGGACCTGGACGAAATAGTTGCCCGCTATGTACAGCCAATGGCGTCTTTTGCAAGGGATTTGCTCAGCCATAAGTATTACCAGGATTGCAACGGAGGAGACCGGAAGGTGAGCTTTAGGTTAAGGGGATGTATTATTTATTTAATTCATTTTTACCCTGCGTTCCTCCCCAGTGGGGACCCAAAGCAGCTTACATTATTCTCTCCCCCTCCATTTTATCCTCACAACAGCCCTGTGAGGTAGGTTAGGCTGAGAATGTGTGACTGATCCAAGGTCATCCACTGAGCTTCCGTTGCATGAGTGGGGATTCAAACCTGAGTCTCCCAGATACTAGACGGGACACTTTTAACTGCTACACCACGTTGGCTCCCAGCTGCTTAGATATGAGCTGCAGTTAATCTGGGCAGGAAGGGCTGTGTCTGCCGGGAACAGGGAGTGGTTTCCCCCATCCCGCCTCTGCCGCAAATCCGGAAGCTGCAGCTAGTGCAGAATGCTGCGGCCAGGCTGTTGTTGGGACTCTCTAAGCGAGACCATATTCGGCCTGGGCTGCAAGCGCTGCACTGGCTGCCAATAGCATACCAGATTCGCTTCAAAGTGCTGGTTCTTACCTTTAAAGCCCTGAATGGCCAGGGTCCGGCTTACCTGAAGGACCGTCTCTTCCCGTATGTTCCCCCAAGAGCACTACGATCGGGGAACCTCCATCTCCTGGAAGTTCCAGGTCCCCGAGAGATTAAGTTTGCCCCTACTAGGGCCAGGGCTTTTTCAGTGGCGGTTCGTACCTGGTGGAACGAGCTCCCAGAGGAGATCCGGGCCCTGCAGGACCTTATGCAGTTCCGCAGGGCCTGCGAGACGGAGCTCTTCCGCCAGGCGTTCGAGTAGGAGCCACCGCCGCCACTATCCTACCACCGAGGTAGTGTGTCATCGGTTGCCCTACTAAAGGGGGGCAAGCATGGCCTGGCAGAACAGCGTAGTGGGAGACCGCGCTACTGAGATAGCTGGCCGCCAAATTTGGGTGGCTGTTCCAATCTTGGAAGATTTATATAGGTTCAGCACCATGTTATGGGATGATTTTTACTGTCGTTTTAAATATTGTATTCTATTACATGTTTTACGCATTATTACATGCTTTGCCGCATGAGAGCCGCCCTGAGCCTTTGGGAGGGCGGGATATAAATCAAATAAATAAATCATATGGAAGGGTTGGCACCAGGTCTTGAGAAACTGGTGGCAGTCAGTTTTGGGAAATGCAGATCTGGCTAGTACCCCCAAAGTCCTAGGAATGGGGAGGAAAGGATGGACAAGTATGGCTTGTTGATGCCAAGAAGCATTGCTGGCTAGGATCCTGCTCCTCGGTTATATCCGGGAATGACTCTCCGGAAGGAGTCTAATGTTGGTACTGAATTTTTATCAAATGTAACTTTACTGATAGTTTAGGAGATTCTTTTATAGTTAGAAGCCTCGAAGGCAGGAACTGCTTCCCATTCCCGGCTCCTCCCAGTATTCCTGAACATGCAGCTTTCCACATTTCACCACTGGGCATCTTTGGAACGGAAGCTGCTATGTTTAGAGTATCAGGCTGAAGAACAATACCCGCCCACTCAAAAGGTTGGGGTGATAGAAGAGGCAAAGGTGTATTGTGGCACTTTATTCCAGCATAAACGTCTGTGGGCTAGATCCCATTTTTTTCAGATGCAGCAGTTACCAGGTCCTCACTAGGCAGACATTTATACTTGAGGTTATTAAAAAAACACTCACACAGCGTGGTCAAGGGGCTGCTAAATGCAAGAACAGAGTGGGATGGAATTCTGTAGAATTCAAAGTAGAGAGACTCCCATTTGCTATAGCAGTGATAGCCATTTCTCTAGTTCGACTTAGCTAGATTGCTTTCTTCATCAATCTGGGACTCCTCGGCTGTTACAGATGTTAACACCTGCAAAGACTTGTAAGAAATGCAGAGGCCAACTGTGCCTCTATCTGCTTTCAGGCAATGTAACATCCAGCTGTACCTTCTTGGGTTCTTCCTCCAGTTATGTACCTGCCATTGTGTGCCCACAATGCCCTTCTGTTCTATGTATAGGACACATAGGTCAATCGTTACACAAAAAGAATGAATGAACACACCCATGACATTAAAGCAGTGTTAATTCAAAATCAACCAGAGAACATTTCGGCCTCCCAGGGCATGCTGTTGGTGATCTAAGAGCCACCTTTCCCCAGCAGAAGAACCTTCGTGGAAGACCCTGCATGAAACCACTGAATTAGAATTCATCAAGAGGTTTGACATAGGCCTTCTCTTCCCTCCTCCCTCCAGGCTGAACAAGAACTCGGAGTGTCACCCATAGGTGTTAATTTTTATCTTGCTAAAATCTGGAACTCCTCAGCTGTTACAAATCTATATATCTAATAGCGAAAGGCACCCCCTGTGTGCGGAGGGAGATTTTTGTGCACACTTGGGACGGTCCCCAGGTGTGCACAAAAATCTTAAAACGTGAAAAAAATATCGGGGGGATACTTAAATCCCCCCAAAACTGACAGAGCGTCCCCTGCGCATGCGCAGGGAACGCTCTTCGAACTCCTTCCTCGCCGCTCGGGCCTCGCTTCGGAGCTGGCCGGGGGGGGGCCTCGCTTCGGAGCTGGCGGGGGGGGCCTCGCTTCAGAACCGGGGGACGGGGGAAGGCAAGCGGGGGAGATCGAGCAGGGGAGGAACCGGCGGGATGGGAGGGAACTTACCTCTTCCTGCTGCTTCCTCCTCTGCCTCATGTGTGGAGGTCCCCCCCCCCCCGCGAGTATCGCGGGTCCCGCCCCTTGTGTTATCTAAAGCAAATCCAAAGAAATGGTCTCTTGATACTTTTCTTGATTCAATTTCACCCTGCAGTTCCTGTATTTCACAGCCCTTTGACCCTGTTGTTTACTACTTTGTTTTTTCCACAACCACGTACATAAATGCTGCATCTGATGAAGTGGGCTCTAGTCCACAAAATCTTCTATTGGAATAAAATCTTGGTCTTTAAAATATTCACAAGATGCCCTTGTGTTTGTTGCTGCCATGGACTCTTCCCACGGCTTTGTTCTTGGGTTAAGGAATATAGGAATATTGGGGGGGGGGGGCTCAGTCTTTATTACAGGTCCAAAAGTGCGGCCTAAACCCAATTGTTGGCAGTTGCCCTCTTGGCAGTCCTCCAGACAGCAGCCAGGTTGTGGGAATTGAGTGCCGCTGCATGCCATTTCACTCCGTGGGCAGAGTCACTGCCAGCTGAAATCCTGCTTGTTCCTCTGTCTTCTAGAAACTGGAAGAGCTCCTGATCAAAACCAAGAAGGAGAAGCCCACCTTCATCCCATACTTCATCTGTGCCTGCAAAGAACTCCCTGGCAAATTCCTCCTGGGGTACCAGCCACGAGGGAAGCCTAGGTGTGTGTGCCTATTGGGGGATGGATGGGAAGGGGCTTCCAGCAGTTTCAGGGACTGGGGTGGTCAGGGTACCCTTCCCCTGTCCCTTTCCGGAATGTGCATACCTTTCTAAGAAAAACAAAGTTCCCAAACACAGTCAATAAAACAGTTCACTTTTTTGAAACTTAAAACAGCTGAAAGCCAATCAAGGGCAAGCAACACTGCGAAATCACACTTCCAGTTCAGTCCCAATCCACTCCACCTCTTCTCAGCCTCCTCGTCCTCCTAGGATCGCCAGGAGACTCTGGTCCTTGGGAAACCAGGCCAGCCATGAAGCCAGGACGAGGGGAGAAGTAGTCGAAGGCACGGAGGGTCCTTTGGAATGACTCTTTAGCGGCCAGACCTGCAGGGTTGACACGCACATGCCATGTGCCGGCTTCAGGAGCTTGTTCAGTTTCTTACATCTGACTATTCGGGCATCCAAAGATTCAGCTCCTTTAAAGGGCTGAAGCCACTTTTGGTTGAGGAAAGGTTGGAGGGCCTGGGACTTCACAGTCTTGAGAAAAGGGGGGGGGGAGACACACGTGGTAAGAGGTTTATAAAATTATGCATGGGGTGGCGGAAGTGGATAAAGAGGGCTTTTTCTCCCTCTCCCATAATACTAGTGTAGGGGAATGTTTAGGTAGGGGTCCAGGTCTCTTCTAGGAATCCCCAACCCCATTAGGGTTCTTTTCTGTCGGTATGTGGAGTCTGGCTAGGGAGCACAGGCCTCCAGAGGGAGAGAAACACAGAGAGAACAGTTGCTTTAGATGGAAAGTATTAACTCTAAAACCACACACAAGTAAAACTCAATAGCGTATATTCAATAGCAATACCCAATAGCAATACCTGATCCCAATACCTGATGCCAGTGTTCTCTCTAAGCTCAGTTAGTGTGAGCTAGCTCACAGTTTTTTAGCCTCTAGCTCACACATTTTTGTCTTAGCTCAGGAAGGATGGCCCCAGAGCAAACTTGATTTATGCAGCGGCCCAATCGCTCGCTCACAACTTTATTGCCAGTAGCTCACAAAGTGGAATTTTTGCTCACAAGACTCCACAGCTTAGAGGGAGCATCGCCTGATACAGTGTCCTTCAGAAAGAACAAGGAATTCCTGGACTGTGGACCAAGACCTCCCTCAAGCCTAGGTGGGGTTTTTTGGCCAAACAGCCTCGAACAAAGCCCAAAGCCACCTTTTTATCCTCTTTTCAGCCAATAGGAATCAAGGGAGGAGTCAAAAATGATACAAATACAATGATACAAAGTACCAGCCCACCCTAAGTTGATAAGATGAACCTTTGCTAGTATGACCTTCAGCCCACATATATTTTATTAACTGCAATGTCAAAAAGACCTAGACAGATATGTCTAGGCTTTGGAGCCTGGCACTTGGAAGGCTGTGGAATGTGAATTCAGGCAAAGGTACATCTACAGGGCAAGGCTATAGTTCTAACACCTAGGCTGCCAGCAAAAGAACAAAGGCTTATGGGACTTCTGAACCAAAAAAAACAGAGGCAGTTATAGCAAAACCCACATAGCCTGGAAAACCAGAAAAGCCCAAGCTCATTGAACCCCAAATCCTACAACAACTAGAACTTGGGGTTCACCTAATGAAGTTGATGGGAAATAGGTTCAGGAATAAAAACATGCTTTATTAACTCAACAAGTAACCTGTGGAATTCTTTGGCAGTGGACATAATGATGGCCACAAGCATAGACCACTTTAAAAAGGGGGTCGGACTGATTCGCAGAGGAGAGGCCCGTCAGTGGCTACTAGCCTCAGTGACTGAAGGGAGCCTCCATCTACAGAGGCAGCAAACCTCGTGACTACCAGTGCTGAGGGGCAGCAGCATGGGAGGGGCCTGGCCCCTCTGTGCCCTATTGGTTGGCTCTGCAGGGGACCTGGTTGGCCCACTGTGTGCCATGAAATGCTGGACTAGATGGGCCCCTGGTCTGATTTAGCGGGACGCTTCTTACGTTCCTGGCTATGTGCGTATTTGGCCCTCCCACGTAGTGTACAAATCAGGGGAAACGACATTGGATGTGGCTCTTCCTTCCCACCTCCACCCATTCCAAGACATTAGCCTTGCAAAGATACTTCTAAGAGTTCTGTATCTTGCATCTTGATGTCCTCCTGTACGGATTTCTGGGCAAGTGAGATGGTGGTCAGTCGGCGCCTCCTACCGAGCTAGCCTGGCTGTGTAGTTGAACTTCTACTCTTACTTCTTCATTAGATTTAAATCCTGATTTCCTTCTCTTGTGGAAATGGGGGTGAAGTGAGGGTGGCGAACAGGCAGTCTCCCATCCAGAGGCTGAACATGTCCAGAGCTGTCTGGCTGTGGCAATTGGGTTACATGCTGTGCCTTCAGACCGTCTGCTAGGCACACTGGCAAGGTACACATGAACAGTTGTTGGGGTGTTCTTTCTGCAGGATTGAGTATGTGACGGTGACACCGGAAGGGTTCCGATACCGTAACCACATCTTCCCCACGGTCAATGGGCTATTCCGGTGGTTCAAAGATCACTATCAAGACCCAGTGCCAGGTAACTGTCGGTGGCTCGGTAATCGGGGTAGGGAGAGGTCTGTAATCGAGGCTGAGTGCCTTCTCTGCTAATGCAGCAAAAGCACATAATGTAGGCATAGGATTTAGTTTCTGGGGAATGCTGGCTTTCATTATAGAAAAAGTTTACTAATCCTTAGGGTTGTGAAGACATAAGTGCCAAAAGGTTGAGCAGCTAAAACATGAAACAAAATGCAGTTGTTTTTTTCACAGTGCACAAAAACTTAAGATTCAAAACAGCATACATAGAATGCAAATAAAAGCTCAGAACCATTATTGAGATCCATTAGTTATTGTATGTGCAACTTACACTTGTTGCTGTATACCAGGGGTGTCAAACATGTGGCCCAAGGGCCGGATCAGGCCCCCAGTGGAACTGGCCATCTTCTGTTTCCAGTTCTGCTGCTGCATCATAGCTTGCTTCGCCAGACTCTCTTAATCACTCAGCCAATTAATGTTTTAACCTGGGTCCCAGACTCAGAACTCTGAGCATGAGATTTCTGTGGTGAATGTCGATAAATCAAAAGTAGGTTTGCAGCTTACAGAGCTAATGTTTTAAGCATGTTTTTGTTTTAAGTAAAAAAAATCTTTGTGTCTGTGTCCTTTGTAAAGTTTATATCTCTGCTACCTGGCATTACATTTTATGACACACCTGGCCCAGCCCAACAAGGTCTCATTTATGTCAGATCCAGCCCTCATAGCAAATGAGTTCCAACACCCCTGCTGTATACTATGTCCTGAGCTTTATTTGCTTTCTATGCATGTTGTTTTTAATCTTAAATTTTTGTGAACTGTGTAATAAGCACTTGCATTTTATTTCATGTTTTAAGTGCTCAACCTTTTAGGTTCCTGACTTGATTTTCAGGTTGGGTCATCTCCTCCCACCCCCTTTGTTGTTTCCTGTGATGTAAAGTGCTGTCATGGCCCGATTTATCAGCCTGGAGCTCAATCTGGCTAAACTTTACTTCCTGGAAAGACTGTAAGTTCTGTAACCTGGGGCATTTCAGTAGCATTGAAGCACAGGAGACCTGTTGTCAACGTCTGAGACTCGGGGGGGGGGGGTACGATTCAGACTCTTTTAATGACACGTGGGCCTTAGGTGAGGCAGAGAGTTGCTCGAATTGCTAGGAGTCTGGCCACTCCAGTGGCTTAATTAGTAAAAGGTTGAGTTCATTGATAAACCTGAACATGAGACCAGCAGGCAGTTCTGCATTTAAAAAAACAACAACGGAGAAAGGACTTGGGTTGTCTTCTCCCTGAGGAGCACTGGTCCAATATTTGTTATAAGATGCCCTCATCTCCCCAGATGGGAGAGTACATTTGTCATTTGCTCACCATGCCAACTGCTCTCAATTCAGCTCTATTGGCCAAAGTACCGAGCAGAAGCTTGGGGTGGGTGTGAGAAAACCTCCTCAGTGAGACGCCTGAGAGAAAGCAAGGCTGCTTCCCCTCCAGTGCCAACTTGCACTCAACAAGGCTTCAGTCTTCGGAGCGACGCCAAAGCCCAGGGGCACCTTAAAGAGACGGCGTATATTTCAGAACGGGCTCTTGGGAATCGCCACTCAGTTCTTCCGATATATGAAGGCTATGGATTCTTCTCATGGGGGAGGGCTGGGGAGGGGAGCTGAGGCAGAGTGGAATGCTGGGAATTCTGTCATGTGCAAGAGGAAAGGGGAGGAGCTGAGCTAGAAGGGGGAGAGGGGTTGGTGATTTTTTTTAACCCAGGAAATTACCTGGATGCTTTGTAAGTAGGGTTGCCAACTCTGGGTTGGGGAATACCTGGAGATTTGGGGGGGGGGTGGAGCTTGTGGAAGGCAGGGTTTAGGGAGAGGGGGGACCTCAGCTGGATATAATGCCATAGAGTCCACCCTCCAAAGCAGCCATTTTCTCCAGGGGAACTGATCTTGGTTGACGGGAGAGCAAGTGTAATAGTAGGATATCTCCTGCCATCACCTGGAGGTTGGGAGCCCTTTTTGTAAGATAAATGAGTCGGGTTTGGAGCCGTGAATTTGCTTATGCCTGCCAAATTACACCTTCCAGCTTTCTAGGAAAATTAAGACACTAGCTCAGGAGAAGTTGGTCTTTTATGTTAGCTCTCCTGTGAATATATCGGTGACTCCCATTGAAGGCAGCTTCCATCCCTGTGTTTTCTTCCGCTGTGCTGTAATTTTTAATTCAGTTAATAACCGAGGAAACATCTAGCCGTATCCCTTTTCTTATCCAGCGTTATCCTTCTGTCTCTTTAAAATTTTACTTTCTTTTGTTTTAAACAACTGAGACCTATTTGGAGGGATTGTGTAAATCAGCATACATCTTGATCTTTTTGTGTTTGCTTAATGGCACTTCTGTGCGTTTTGCCCGACCGCATTTTAAAAGTAAAACTGTAGAATGCTCTTTGCAAAACCAGAGAGGGAGCATGCCAATTGGCTGGCTTGGCTTTCCCTGTCTGGTTCGCTGCTTCAGCTTTGGCCGCTTCCCAGCCCCACTACTTGCGTGCCGGCTCTCCTCTTAGCCTGTAAATAAGGGGCTGTCTGCTTCTCATATTGTGAGGCTCCTAGTGTCTAAGAACTTACTGAAGGTGGTGTTTTTCACCCAGAGGGCTTTAGCGTCGTGCCAGTTGGCAGGACTGACTTCATGTCTCATCTCTGTCCCCCCCCCCACCCAGGGATCACCCCCAGCAGTAGCAGCAGGACCAGGACTCCAGCTTCAATCAATGCTACTCCGGCCAACATTAACCTGGCAGGTGAGTTGCATCTCCCACCTCGCTCGCCTGTGCAAGCATTTGCTCGTGTGCTGTTGCTGCTAGCATGCCCCTGCGCTTTTCTGTCTTGCAGATCTGACCCGAGCGGTGAACGCCCTGCCACAGAACATGACCTCCCAGATGTTCAGCGCCATCGCTGCCGTGACCGGTCAGGCGCAGAATGCCAATGCCACACCCGCCCAGTGGGCCTCCAGTCAGTACGGCTACGGCGGCAGCGGGGGCGGGAGCAGCGCTTACCACGTAGGTGGCTGGAAACTGGGGGGGGGGGAGCCGATCACTAAAACTGCATGGTATCTCCAGTTGGTCTCATCCACAGACACATGCCCTGGCCCAGCCTTGAGGGTTGGGTCATCGCCAATCCTGGCACTGTGGTCCCCATTCAGATCAGAGCCTTTGAATATGTTGCGTTTCCAGGGGACAAGGGGCCCAGACGTTTGGTGGAGAGCTAAGCTTTTTATAGGAAGCTGTTGGAGCCCAAGGAACCGAGGAATAGCTGTTTGTCCAGAGTATCCGTTAATCTGGGGTAGAGTGCCTCTCCCCATAGAGGCTCTTGGAGCCAGTTAGCCATTGATGAGCCAACTGGCCAAGAAAGTCTGTCACTCTTGTTTTCAAAGTCACTTGGGCCCATCAGCTCTGTAGCATCCTCTGGAGAAGAAACCACAATTTCCCTGTATTCGATGAGTTGAGCGCTAATTTAGTCACCCCTTTACATAAAGATATGGAACTGCCAGGGCTCTTTTTGTAGAAAAAGCCCAGCAGGAACTAATTAGCATAATAGGCCACACCCGACAGCAGGAACTAATTAGCATATTAGCCCACACCCTGACAGCATCACTCATCAGCACATTAGGCCACACCCCCATGTAACGAGAAGTGTGGTCATCCAGCCACACCCACCTTTCCCTTCTTATTGTTTACCTTGTTTGTTGTCAAAACCCAGGGCTTTTTTTGTAGTAGGAACTCCTTTGCATGTTAGGCCACACACCCCTAATGTAGCCAATCCTAATGAGTTTCTGCTGTTGGGTGTGACCTATTATGCTAATGAGTTCCTACTGGGCGTGGCCAACTCAGGAGCCAGCCGGAACTCCGTTCCTGTGCGTTCCTGCCCAAAAATAGCCCTGGGAACTGCTAAATGTGTGAGCCCAGGTGTCATGGCTATTATCAGATACCGATGATCGTGTCACCCTCTCAGTGGCAAAATTCATAGGCGCAATAATCAAATATAAGAGAAATAATACTGAGTAAGGTCTTTTAAAATATTGTCTTTGGTTCTAATTTCTGCTTAAGGTGATAGCCGTATGAGCAGTACTAGGTAGACAGATTTCCCACTGTGCTTGTTCTTCATCCTGGTTTTCTCCAGTGGGTCCCTGTCTATCCAGCTCCTTCCTTCCACTTGCCCCTGTTGACTTTTTGTAAGCTATCGGGAGGCTGTCAGGCTTGTGTCGTCGTCATCCCCCCCCGAACATGTTTTGAGCTACAAGGTAGGGGGAGAGAGCCCTCTTAAGCTGCCAGCCAGGGAGAGGGCTTAGCCAGAGAAAAAAATTGCTGAGCTTAGACGTGGGCCTTGATGGCTGAGCTTGCTAATCGCCTGGCAGGTTGCTGGCAGGGGCTCCCATTCCCCACACAGCGGTACCGACCAAGAGCCGGAGGGCACCTCTTGGCCTCTTCCAGCCTTGTGCCTTTTAACTGGCTGCTCCCCAGAGCTGTCTTCCTTCACACTTCCAGGACCCCGGGTGCCCAGAAATGGTGTGTCGATCCATATGTAGAATACTGTGTCCTTTTTAATTCAGACCAAGGGGGAACGTGGGTACGTGGGTTTCCTTTAATCGATCACAAAACAGCGAGGGCATAGGTTACAAAAAAAGGTTAGGCTGTGGCACGGTGTGAGAGTGAAATGGACGGGGACAAACCGGTTGTGGGGGCTCAGCAGAAGTTACAACTGCCTGCTGAAATGTTGGCCCAAAGCCTTCGCTGCTTTGAAGCTAAGCCTGAAAACCCGTCAGAGGTGTCTCAGGAGGAGCCAGGACTGGGGCCCAGCTAGGATTTCCTAGTCGAGGGCTGGGCGCATCGTCACTCTCCACAAAGACTTCTTCTCATCGGCGGGTTGGAAAGTATCCTTGAGGGGTTACACCCCCTACTTGCAGGGTGCACCCAACTTAATTTTGAAGGCCTTTTATCTCCCTCTGGAGACAGATCCTCAGTCCATGGCTTGTCAGGCTTCTGGGCGTGCAGCAATGGAAAAATTTAGCCATGGTGAACCGAGTGGTGTAAAAGAAAGTCAACAATGACTGCCTAGATAAGAAAGAGAACACAGAGAATTGGGAAGAACCTGCATGTGAATCTGGAATCCCAATAGTTCTCAACAGTGGAAGAGGTTGAGGACTTCCTGTCCACTGCTGAGAAGAAACCCTCATGGAGGAGTCCAGTCGTTCATTCTTCATCACTGGAGAAGATGTCCATGGGAATGATGCTGAAAAGCTGTGCTGTCCTGGGGGAAGGCATTGAGGAACTATTGGGGTACAGCCTGTTAAAGCAGGTGTCTGCCAAAGGCACCTTCAGCATAGGCATTCAGCTTGTGATGCCACACAAAAGGGGAGGCAGGTGTCCAGGTAGCTGCCCTACCTATCTCCTCAGAGGAGCAGTGGAGAAAGCTGCTGAAGAAGCAGCTCCCATGGTGGAAAAAGCAGTTAAACCCAAGGGATCTGGGGGAGTCATAGACCAAGAAGATCCATCTGGCGATGGTAGATGGTAGTGCAGTCCTGGGAGATGAAAAGAAAAGAGCACTTGGTCTTCTGATGGGAGCTGTACACTTGAGGTCAGCTTTGAGAGGACCTTTTAGCATCTGGTTTATGCCACCCCTGCTCTCAGGGTGTTTTGGTTGTGGTCAGAAAGAAGGAAGGAGGAGTTAGTTTCTGTCAAATAAATGTATTTATTTATACATTCGGCTTATATACCGCCGAATGTATAAATAAATAAATTTATTTGACAGAGTTCATTTCTGGATGGAAGTTGGGTTGGTTTCTAGAGCCGCAGTCCCCTCTTGGAAAATGCAGAGCCTCCTTTCTAGCAGACAGGTTGCTGAGCTCCAGAACCCTCTGAGATGACATGGCTGCAAGAAACACGATCTTTATTTCTGGTGGGGGTCATCTAAGGGAGAGACTTCAATGTGTTGAGTGTCCATTTAGGCCATTGAATCCTCTCCACCTCCTCGCCCCAATTCCTGGAAATCTTCAGCCGCCTCTTGCACCCCTGAGGTTTTGCCAGGTGTGTTCCTTTCACACTTTCAAGGAGCTCTTCACAGCAGTGAGACCCAGAAACCTCCTTTTTAAATTTTGCGTGAAAGCTACGGTTCCCAAGAAGCTGAATTCTACATTCAGTAGAGGGGTAGTGACTTCAGACTAGCATGATTTCTCTCACCCTCGCTATGGTCTGCCGCCATGTTTTCAGTGTACAAAGGAGAGTAAATCCTGAGGCTCCATTGGCACCGAAGGTGGGACAGCAGGAGTGCCCTGATCCCAAGTGTGCACATTTTCCCAATACTTAACTAAGGTCCATCTCCTCTAGCATTTTGTGGAGGAAGGCAACAAGGCCCGGAGATCCGCCTGCCCCCTGCTCAGCCCTGCAGTGTCACATTCTGCAGGCATTCCGCTGAAGTTGTATCGCGCATTTTGACATTCCTCAGAATCACCTTTAACTGGTGCGTTGTGCCCCCCTCTCCCTCACAGGTCTTCACAACTCCGGCTCAGCAGCCCGTGGCCACCCCCCTGTTGACTCCCAGCTACTCCTACCCGACGCCCAGCCAGCCAATCACGACGCCTCAGTATCACCAGCTTCAGGCCAACACTACACCCCAATCCACCCAGTCCCAGCCACCATCTCAGCCTTCGTCCAGTTCTGGGCAACGACCGCAGCAGCCCAAGTGAGTACAAGGCTCCTCCTTCATGGGAAAGGGGAGCAGGTCGTCTGTCCTACACGAGGGACGGGCCGTCGGGAGAGGGAAGTGGGGGTGGGTGGGCTGCAATTAATCAGTTGGGTTAATCAATGGAAATCTTCCAGGTAGATTTACTTTTTTGGCATTTTTGTGTGTGCGCGTGTGAGTGTGTGTGCACCTGGAAGTCATGGTGACCAGTGTTCCCTCTAAGCTGAGTTAGTGTGAGCTAGCTCACAGTTCTTTAGCCTCCGATTCACCCATTTTTGTCTTCGCTCGGGAAGGGATGGCTCCAGAGCAAATTAATTTATGCAAGAGCCAAATCGCTTGCTCACAACTTTAATGCCAGTCGCTCACAAAGTAGACCTTTTGCTCACAAGACTCCACGGCTTAGAGGGAGCATTGATGGTGACCTCTGGTGACTGACCTCTACTGGGGGCCTGGAGGATATACAGAGAGGTGGCTGGATGAAGCCTGCCCCCGCCTCCCAACTGCTGGTATTCCAAGGAGGTCTCCCATCCAAGTCCTTGCCAGAGTACTTAGCTTCTGAGATCGGGCTTACCTGGGCTATGCAGGTCAGGGCCTCCAGGTAGGTTTAGATCTGGACGGATCCTGACTTGATCAGGGGGCCCTTTATTAGCAGAGACATGCCCTCTTCCTCCTGCAAAAATCTTCCTCAGATGGCACCAGCCACAGTGTGTGTCTGTTTCACCACAACCCAGAAAAGCGTGTCCCTCCCTTAAATTGTCGGCCCCATACGGTTCCTCGAAGAGGGTGACAGCCCTGGTTGATGGGCTGCACTCCTCATCTGCCCGGAGCAGGGTCGGCAGCCACTGGCTAAGAGTAGAGGAGACGGGCATATTAAAAGGGCCTCGAGAAAAGGCTGAGAAGCCCCGTCTGGCACCAGGCATGCCCGGGGGTATATGCTTTGGCTAGAAATCACATCCAAGGCCTAACGCAGGGCAGAGGGGAACTCGTGCCATAGGAAACCAATTAGCTTGAAGGTGTCCTCAGACATGCAGCTGCTTCTGCCCTTTACCCACTCCAGACCTATGGGGAGGCTGGTTGTGATTTCTTAGAGATGAGAGGGAGACCCAGCAGCTCTCTCTGTCTCATCCGTCCTGCTTTGTTCTTGGCCTGAGACTTGGCAGCCTAGCTCAGGAATGATGCGGAGCTCTTTCTGAGAACTGGCCGGAAGTCTGAGGCCAGGCTGAGCAGCTGACGAAGCCGTCCCCCATATTTCAAGCAGCATCCGAGGGCATCCGGGGGGGCCAAGCAGCTTTCCAGAAGGAAATCGGGACCAGTCCCGGTCTGGAAAGGAGAAAGCTTTAAAGGGCTCCTTGGGAGATGGCCGGAGGGAATGACCGGTGTCGTGGCACTAACCCATCTGTCTCTCGTCGTCCAGGTCCAGCGCCCACGCAGCAATCGACTGGGGCAAGATGGCCGAACAGTGGCTCCAGGAGAAGGAGGCCGAGCGGCGGAAGCAGAAGCAGCGGTTGACGCCTCGCCCATCTCCGAGCCCCATGATCGAGAGCACCCCCATGTCCGTCGCCGGAGACGCCACCCCGCTGCTGGACGAAATGGACCGGTAGTCCTGTCGCCCCTTCCGCTCCCGCCGAGGGGAGAGCACGCCAGCGGAGACCAGCTCTCCTTCCTTAGTCTTGTTGCTCCCTGTTTGGTTGTTTTGGTTTTTTGGTTTTCTACATCCGACCAGCACTGGCGGGACATCAGGGACGCCGGGCAGCAGCGCCCTTCTTGTGGCTGGCGCCTCGGGGCCACGTACGGAGCGGCAGCGGAGGCAGTACTCGCTGCTGCTGCGCCAGGCGGCAGCCAGATTGGCCGAATCCTCGGTTCATGCTTTGCCGGCGTGGACAGACCAAGCCTGTCTTTCCGAGCAAGGTTTTCTTTCTGGCAGCCACCGTTCTGGTTGCCGCCTGGTCTTTCCTCCCAACTGTTGAGAAATAAAGATTTTAAAGCAAGGGGTTATGGAAAGCATCCTCTGCCAGCCACTGAGCCAGTGAAACCCACTGGTCGGTCTGAGGTCCCCCCTCTTCTCCCCTTCCTACTCTCGGCTCGGCCGGCAACATTGTATAGCTAAAGGGCTTTCTTTCTCCGGCCCCCCAGAGGACCATGGCTGGAAGGGCACGGGCTGTAGCTTCCCCCCCGAGTTCAGTTTTGTTGGCGCTCCCGAGGACAATATTTATTCAGTTGTATTACACAGAAAAGGAACATGAGCCGCAGCGCTAAACCCCGGGCAACGGCAGCCTTTGTCGCTGAGCCGGGAGGTCCTGAGAGCTTCTGTACACCCAGCGGTGCAGCTTGAATGCCAAGCAGTCTGTCTCCCCCCCCCCCACCTCTGTATCTGCTCATAACAGAACCGAAGGAATAAATTGCGTTTCTGCTGAACTCTCACGGAGGTTCTCTCTCCACTTCCCGGCCAGCGATGGCAGAGGGAGCTGGGGGCGGGGGAGGGACTGGCCGATCTCCATGCCTTCGGATTCAGGTCCCAGCAGGGGCCGGCTGGTGATTTTTCTTTCACCTTCCTTTTCCAAAGGTTGTCTTGCATTGGCAACTCGGGAAGGGGCAACCCGCTTGCAGTGTGCCGGCGTAGGGCATGAGGGAGATTCTCAGCTGTTGTTAGCTGCAAAAGGGTAAAGGTTTCCCTTGCTCGAAAGCCAGTCGAATCCGACTCTAGGGTTGCGGTGCTCATCTCCGTTTCAATGCCGAAGAGCCAGCGCTGTCCTAAGATGTTTCCGTGGTCATGTGGCCGGCATGACTAGACGCCGAGGCGCACGGAACGCTGTTACCTTCCCACCGAAGCGGTACCTATTTATCTACTTGCAATTTCTTGCTTTCGAACTGCTAGGTTGGCAGGAGCTGGGGCCAGAGACGGGAGCTCACCCTGTCACACGGCACACTCGGGTCTCGAACTGCCGATCTACAGACCTTCCGGTTTGCAGCTCTGCGCCTTCTCTGAGCCACCGTGGTCCCGGTGGCAAAAGCAGGATCTTAAAAGGGGAACATGACTGCGGGAGTGGTCCTCTTTCCTAATCTTGGGGCTGTAGTTGAACCTGGGTGCAAACGGTGGGGCCCTTCTTGCTTGTGGGTTCGGTGGGCCAACCAGGGAGAAGGGACCTGCCCTCCCCTTCCCTGCTGGTGGTGTGGAATGGGCAGCCCGAGCCTCCACCCCACCCCGCCCTCTTCACTTTAGCAGCAGCAGGAGGTTTGCTCGTGCTTCTTAGCCAGTGCAGCAACCCCAAGAGCTGGCAGATTTGAGGGAGAAAAGGGGGTTCCTTGCTCTGGGCACATTCCTTCAAGACCGCTCTGCCCTATATTTGGAGTCCCTTGTGGCTCCCCATACCAATAAACTCTTTTCAGGGGTGTGGCCTGTACGTGGCTGGGGGAGGACAGTGGCATTTGTGGCCCGTTCCAGAACCCATTACGTTTTGCTCCCTTTCTGGCCCCAAGGGCAGAGAGGAAGAAGAAGAGAAGAGATTGGCTTTATACCCCATGGCCCTTCACTACCCAGAGGAGTCTCAGAGCGGCTTACAATCTCCTTTCCCTCCCCCTCCCCACAACAGACACCCTGTGAGGCAGGTGGGGCTGAGAGAGCTCTGACAGAAACTGATCTTTTCCAAGAACAGCTGTGCCAGAACTATGGCTTGCCCAAGGTCATCCAGCAGCTGCAAGCGGAGGAGTGGGGAATCAAACCCGTTTCTCCCAGATCAGAGTCCGCACACTTAACCACTGCACCAAACTGTCTGCCCCATTGGTGTAATGAGAAGCAGTGGGGGGGGGGCTTTTCCATGTAACTCTCACTGCAGAGAAGCAGATGTGTCAAATTTCTGGATGAGGTCTGGCCCGGCTCTCTTCCCATTGGCCTTTTTCAGTGCAATACCTGTGGCATTCTGTTTGGCTGCAGCAGGAACGCAGGGACTGGGTTGTGATTGCTCTGCTGAGGTGGCCGGCCACCTGTTTTGTGTCTGCTCTGGGCTTCCTTCCTGCCGAGGAGGAGTTGTTCTCTGAGCGGCAAGGGCCGCAGCTCTGAATGCTCCTCTGCCTCAAAAGGTTCCCACAAATGCAAATCCAGCACAGCAAGCCAGAAAGGGGGTGGGGTGGGTGGGTGGAACCTTTCTCTCTGCTATGTTAATCGTCTGTTTGCAGACAGCCGATCCTTTTTTCTCCTTCATGCCAAGGGAATATTCCCCCGCCTGCCTTCTCTCGCAGCTGCCCCATTCTCCCATATGCATCACCCAGGTTCAATGTGTGTGGGTGGGAAAAGCATCCTCCCAGGGGGCAATACAGTAGCAAACTGCAGCTCCCTTTAAATATTCCCCTAGCTGGCTTTGGGCTCTTTATCCCTGAGTAGGTCTGGGGGAGGGGGGATTTCAAAGGAACAACTACATGCTTGAAGCAAGTGGTCCCCCCCCCCTGCTGTGAGGAGAATGCTGCTCTCATGGGGGTGGAGAGAGAAATGTCCTCCTAGCTTTACAGAGCAGCTCCTCCTAGGGAAGCCATGAATTGGAAGGGAGCTAAAGCCCCCGCTGCCTGGGCTGAGAAACGCTGGCCTGGCCCTTTAAAAGGGGGGTTGGTTGTTGCTGCCATGGCAGGAGGGTCAGTACTCAAACACCCCAGCTTCCCGTGCTGCTCAGGCCTGAAGAAGAGATTGGATTTATACTCCGTCCTTCACTTTGAGTCTCAGAGCGGCTTACAAACCCCTTCCCCTCCCCACAACAGACCCCCCCCCGTGAGGTAGGTGGGGCTGAGAGAGCTCTGACTGAGAACTGCTCTTTCAAGGACAGCTCTGACAGAACTATGGCTTGCTCAAGGTCATCCAGCAGCTGCGAGTGGAGGAGTGGGGAATCGAACCCGGTTCTCCCAGATTAGAATCCGCGCACTTAACCACTACACCAAACTGACTCTAATTATCTGACAAAGGGCGCTTGAAAGCTTGTAGCCCGAAAATCTTGTTGGTCCCAAAGGTGCTGCTGGGCTCGAATCTAACGTGCCTTCATTAGAGAGCCAGCGGAGACCCTAGATGCGCCCACCCTCGAGGTCCAGAGGCTGGTCCTGGCTGGAGACGCAGCTGGCCTGGCACGGAGCTACCTGTGCCGCAAAAGCTGCTTCAGCGATCCGACCCTCGCTCAGCTGTTCAGCTCTGCGAAGCTTCCTACCTAGTCTTGGAGTCGCAGTGCTGCCACTCGGCATGAACCTGCACGAAAGGGGACAGGGTTGAGGTTGCGACCATCGTCGGGAGCGGAGTTGGCAGCTTTTGCAAGTTGGTGGTGCTTGCGCCAGAGCTGAGAGGTTGCACAGAAAGGTTTTGCGGTCCTGGGCTGGGAGGCTCAGGCAGGAAGACAGGCCACAGGCCAGAGGGAAGCGGCTGCCGGGCTTCCTGGTCTCTTGACAGAGGCAAAACCCAAACTGGCTGCTGCGTGCTAGTTGGATGAGGGGCTGGGAAGTGTCACTGCTGCGGCAGGAAGGGGCAGTCGTGGGGTGGCTGGCAGAGCAACGGCTGTTGGCATAATCAAGAGTGCCGGGAAGGCAGCATGACACCCCCCCCCCCCAAAAAAAAGCTACAGACAAGGCTGCCTGTGAAAAGGAGCTGCCAAAGGCTGTGCATCACTGGGTCTTTATTTCACAGTGTCCAAAGAAATAGCCAGAGCTTTGGCTGGGAGGCCCAAGTAAAGTTATCTTTGTGGGAGGGTGGGAAAACTGCACGGCAGGACTGGAAGGGACAAAGTGAGGGGAAGAGAAGAAGATGATGATATTGGATTTATACCCCACCCTTCATTCAGTCTCAGAGCGGCTTACAATCTCCTTCCCTTCCCCTCCCCACAACAGACAACCTGTGAGGTAGGTGGGGCTGAGAGAGTTTTTTCAAGGACTGCCCTTGAGAGAACAGCTCTGAAAGAACTTGTAACTGACCCAAAGTCACACCAGCAGCTGTATGTGAATGAGTGGGGTATCAAACCCGGTTCTCCCAGATTAGAGTCTGCTCTTCTAACCACTACACCAAACTGGCTGTCTAGGCTGCTGCTGGTGGTAACGGGGGCCCCTGGCTGGTCTTTGGCATAGAGGCCTTGTCAGCCTTTCTCCTTCCCTCGGGCCAGCGGGCAGGTAGACTGTTCCTGTGTCATGCCTCTCTCTGAAGGGAAACCAAAACAGTAAACTTCCATTGCAGGTAGGGTGGGCCTCACGAGGTCCCACCCCGGTCATGGGCCTCTGAAGAACAGAAATATGTTTCGTGTGCAGAACTGGACCTCCTGAGAATCACAGCTGTCCAAAAACAAAACAGCAAATCTACTCTTTTAATGCTGTGTCGGAAATCTTCAAATTCTCTGCACCGTCCTGCCAGCACCGGAAGAATAAATTGTGCCAAGGTGTGCTGGTTTGCGTAATTTAAGCAAGTAACCAGCATGCCCCCTGGGTCGGTGCTCCGGCATCAGCGGCTCCGGGTCTCTCAGGGGCGGCAGCTTTGCTGGTGGGGAGGGAGGAGGATTAGTAAGGGAAGACCGGCCTTAGTGGAACTGACTTGTTTATGGACTTGGTCCCCTGAGGGGCTCGGCAGACATCTCAGCTGGGCTTTTGCAGTCGAAGACGCTTCCTCCTGCCCTTCCTCTTTTTCTGGGAAGGGGCTGGCAAAGGTTGCAATGAGGGGGGTTCCGCAGTGCCTGTTTTCTTAGTCCACAGGCCAGCCGGCTCATCGCTGAGGATGGCGTTGAAGGTTTCCTCCTCCGTCACGGGGAGCTTCTGCCCTTGGAAGGCGTCCTTCCCCAGCCCTTGTCCATTGAGTGGCTTGACAGATTCCGCCCCCTTGGTCACCTTCAAGCCCTTCCCCTTCCGGCCCTTCCGGCCTTTGCCCTTTCCTTTACGCCGCTTTGGAGGGGAGCCGCTCGGCCTGACTTGGGTGCCGGCAGTGGTGGACTCTCGTCTGGGAGCCGCTGACGTAGATGTGGCTGGTGGCCGCTGCGTGGCCGGGCCATCGATGACCTCCCCGCCGTAGTCGTACAGCACCGGCTCCTGGGCCACGGCCACAATTACAGTGCTGTAATTCTTGCACCTGGGAAGAAAGCAGAAAGAAAGGGAAAGATGGTAGGAAACCCACCACCGTGGGGAGAGGGTCTAGAGTGCATTTTTGAAATGGCAGGTGAGTAGTCCTCATGCGCTACCATACATAGACAGTGCCCACTTGCAGTCTCAGAGGGCAAGCAACGATTTCTGGGAGGGGCCGCAGCATTCCTCCCCGGGACTTGGTGGCCAAAGGTGGGTGAGTGCCGTGAGTCTCAGAATTATTTATTTATTTTATTTCATTTATACCCCGCCCCGCACGTGGGCTCAGGGCGGCTTACAAAACACAGAGGTGTAATACAACACCACAATTTAAAACAATTAAGGCACACAGTGCAATACAAATACAGTTAAAACAGTTTAAACACCGTGGACAAACTCCCAGGATCCATCGCGACTAGTGTGCTCACTCCCTATTGTACATCACATTGGGGTCGATGAGAGGGGTGCCGTGGGCCATGATGTTCGGTGGCCAGTCAGCCCAGCCTGGCGGTACTGCTCTGCGATCACCCGTTGGTGGTAGTGGCGGCGGCGGCTCCAATTCGACTGTCCCCTGGAAGGCCAGATCCTGAAGCTGAAGCTCAAATACTTTGGCCACCCAATGAGAAGGGAGCACTCACTGGAGGAGACCCTGATGCTGGGAAAGATTGAAGGTCAAAGAAGAAGGGGACGGCAAAGGAGGAGATGGTTGGACAGTGTCATCGATGCAACGGACATGAAATTAAGCAAACTCCAGAGCACGACGGAAGACAGGAGGGCCTGGCGAGATCTTGTCCATGGGGTCGCGAAGAGTCAGACTCGACTGTGCGACTGAACAACAAAGAGGTTAGGGAGCCTTTCTGCAGGTGTGAACAGAACACGAGTGACTATGAAATGTGTCTACATACAAAAGGATACACAAAGACACTTAAGTTCCGACTTGCTTGCTGGAAACTGGCCTCCTCGCCCTGCTTTGACTTAATTTCGCGAGAAACGCCTGCTGTTTCTGCCTGCCCCAAGGGCACTTTGATTACCCACTTTCGCCCAGACTCTTTAATTAATGCTCCCTGCTGTGGCAATCACTGTTGGAAGGGCTGTGGCTGGGGAGGCCCACTTACCAAACATAGAGATAAGGTTCCACGCATTGCTCCTTGTAGACGAACTCAAAGCAGGGGACCTGGATGACGTTGAAGAAGGCCTGGCCCACCACGCGGGAGGCTGTGTCGTTCACCCTCCTCAGGCAGGCCTTTAACCTGGCAGGTGGGGACAGAAGAACTCCTGGTTGACAGTCAGCCACAGGCTCAGCCCCAGCAGGGCCTGTTGGCCCCTGAAACCCCCATGTGGGCCCTTATAGATTATTTAGGGGATAGCCCAGGCGAGCCAGATCTCAGAAGCTAAGCAGGGTCGGCCCTGGCTAGTATTCGGATGGACAGCCTCCAAGGAATACCAGGGGCATGATGCAGAGGCAGGTGATGGTTAAGCCACCTCTGAAACATCTATTGGCTTAAAAACAATCCTAGCTCGCCACCTAGTGGCGCATTACACTAAAAGAGCTAGAACTTCTGGCTGCCAAACAATCTTAGGATCTCCTGGCTATACTGCACACACTGCAATAATAATAATAATAATAATAATAATAATAATAATAATAGTAGTAGTAGTAGTAATAGTAGTAGTAGTAGTAGTAGTAGTAGTAGTAGTAGTTTAGGAGGGAAACGATACCACTTCTCCAGGTACCTGCCCAAGGTGGCTTACAAGGTAAAACATAATAACAAAACATTAATGGGTGTAAATTAAAATTGAGCTTTAAATCCCCAACCCAGTCCTTGTTAGGCCTCTCATCTTGGTTCAAATACCTCCTTAGCCATTCTCTGCCTAAAGATGCTGACCACCAGTGCTATGACGGCCACAATTAACTTGACCAGAGACACTCATGGAGGGCAGACAAGGAAAACGGAAACTCCAGGAATTTGTTAGGACATTTATATCTTGCCTTTGCTCTCGGTTCAAGGCAGCTTACAAGAACAGCAGGAGGAAAAGCTACCCTCCAGGTTTTGCTCCGGAGCTTCTTACTAGCAAGTGGCAGGCTTTTGATGGGAACGAGAGTCCTGCTGAGATGTCCTGAGTCTGCTGTGGTTCAGGCCTCTTCTCCAGCTGTCCTTCCCAAAGACCCAGCCCTTTCCCCACCCCACACGCCACCACTCCCGCTCACCTCTTGTCACAGTCACAGTGGCTGATGGTGTGCCAGCGGAAGTTGCGGTACCCAAACTTCATGGTGAAGGGGTGGATGACATCTTGGCAGTGGTCGTGCTCCCGACAACACCTGTCTGTCTCCCGGTGCGCCCCTGAAAGGATGGAGAAGGGAGGCAGTGCAAGAACCCTCTGCGAGGGTGGGCGTGAGCAGCCCACTGGCCCCTCCTCCTGGGCTAGGTCACCCTCTCTAAGCCAATTACCTCCGACTTTTCCAGGCCTACTGAGCTGCAAACACCACGTGGCATCATAGTCATGTGACAGGGAGATGGGGAGCCAGAATGATTACCCCACCAGTGTCCAAGCCAGGACCAAAAGAGATGGGGGGGGGAAATCAGATCCTGAACAGCAGGAGCAAGCCAATGGTCAGAGAGTCACGGAGGAATCCTTGCTGTGGAGTGACCTTCCCTCACGCTCCTGCTGCTCTTCTCGGAGTGTGTGTACAACAAAGCAAGGGGCACGGCACCTTGCTCTTCATGCATGGACACAACCAGCAGGCGCTTTCCCCAAAACATGCGCCTGCAGGGGGCTTCTGATCAAAAGGCACCCTTCCCTATTAGCTTGGGTTGCCACCCTCCAGGAGGGTGATTGAAAGGGAGCAAAACAACCGTGATATATTATGCCAAAAAATTCTTCATAGACTTGTGAGTTCTTTTCCAATATCCAATTTACTTGGAGTAATTCAAGCGCATCAACACCACCACGGACCATGCATATTGCGTCTCGTTTCGTATACAGACTTTATCAGAGTGGGTAGCGTTGAAATTCCTATGTAATTTTAATCCGTTTGGCAAACACTATAGTCATTCCTCATAGTAACATTATTCAAATCAGGGCTTTTTTTGTAGAAAAAGCCCAGCAGGAACTCATTAGCATAATAGGCCACACACAACAGCAGAAACTCATAAGCATATTAAGCCACACCCCTGACATCACAACTCATTAGCATATTAGACCACACCCCCATGTTGCCACACTCACCTTTTGCTTCTTATTCTGTTTACTCTGTTGTCAAAACCCTGGGCTATTTTTGTAGCAGGAACTTCTTTGCATGTTAGGCCACACACCCCTAATGTAGCCAATCCTAATGAGTTTCTGCTGTTAGGTGTGGCCTATTATGCTAATGAATTCCTGCTGCGCGTGGCTAACTCAGGAGCCAGCCGGAACTCCGTTCCTGTGCGTTCCTGCCCAAAAATAGCCCTGAATCAAATCCTCTAGTGTAATGCCTCCTATGATGAATATTACTATGAGGAATGACTATAGTGTTTGCCAAATGGATTAAAATTATATAGGAATTTCAACACTACCCACTCTGATAAAGTCTGTATACGAAATAAGACGCGATATGCAAATGCTCCCTCTAAGCTGTGAAGTCTTGTGAGCAAAAATTCTGCTTTATGAGCTGCTGGCATCAAAGTTGTGAGCAGGTGATATGGCTACTGCATAAATCAGTTTGCTCTGGAGCCCTCCTTCCTAAGCTAAGACAAAAATGTGTGAGCCGGAAGCTAAAAAACTGTGAGCTAGCTCACACTTTCTCAGCTTAGAGGGAACACTGGTGCGGTGTGATGTTGATGCGCTTGAATTTCTCCAAGTAAATTGGATATTGGAAAAGAGCTCACAAGTCTATGAAGAATTTTTTGGCATAATATATCACGGTTGCTTTGCTCCCTTTCAACTTCCATACCGTGACCTCTCTCCTTGAGTTGCCATACTCCAGGTGGGGCCTGTAGATCTCCCAGAACTGCAACTGATCTCCAAAGAGCAGAGATCAGTTCCTCTGAAGAAAATTACTCTTTTGGAGGGTGGCCTCTCTGGCTCTGTAACCCCACTAAGCCCCCCTCCCTTTGCTCCATCCCCAAAGCTCCGGTTATTTCCCAGTCTGGATTTGGCAGCTCTGCTGTTGGCCCCGTCCCAAAGAGCTCCGGGTCTCCAGAGGGAGGAATCACCCGCAGTGGCAGAGGGACAGGGCAACTGGGGAAAGCTCTTCCCCCGTCTTTCAGGTGCCCCTGGACTCTGGTCTGACTCGGAAGACTGAAACCTTTTCAGCAATTCGGAGGGGGGAAGCCTTCTTGTTGAAGGTGTTCTCTCACCTCCTCCTCCCTCCATTTGGTTACTACTGGCACATTTGGTTACTATTTTGGCCACCAAATGAGAAGGGAGCACTCACTGGAGAAGACCCTGATGCTGGGAAAGATTGAAGGTCAGAGAAGACGGGGGCGGCAAAGGATGAAATGGTTGGACAGTGTCATCGATGCAACAAAATTCTGATCCTCCTTCTATCGCTCAATTGAGAAATAAATGTTGGGACCACTTTGTGATGGATAAAGTAGCAGATAAATATGAGTCCCACACACAAGGGTATGCGCGGTCCCATTCCAGATTCATTCGAAAATGGTGTCCTCTTATAACATATTTTACAGAAAACGAGGTATTACCAGTAAATTCTAGCTATGCAGATTGGATACATTTATGAGAATTTTTTATGGCTCGAGCACTCTCACAAAATACTTTTAAGGTCCTTCTAAAATATATCTGGATGTATTATACGTTTTATTATACGTTACTACTCTAGTAGAACAAGTGGAAAATAACAATAAAGTGACAAGGTCACGGTAATAAGATGTTCCTGCTGACAAGTTAATAGATGGCATTGTGTTAAATGAATTTGCACTTACAATCTGTATTATTGTTTAAACAGTAATCTTGTTTAAGTATATTTGACTTATCTTCTAATAAAATCGTTTATTTAAAAAAAATGGATGCAACGAACATGACATTGAGCAGGCTTCGGTGGACGGCAGAAGACAGGAGGGCCTGGCGTGATCTTGTCCATGGGGTCACGAAGAGTCGGACTCGACTGGGCAACTGAACAACAACAAGGTACTATCATGCCCTGACCTGGACAGCCCGGGCGAGCCTAATCTCGTCGGATCTCAGTCGGCCCTGGTCAGTCTTTAGATGGGAGACCAACAAGGAAGCCCAGGGTTGCTACACAGAGGCAGGCAATGGTATGCAGTCTCTGAACATCTCTTGCCTTGGAAACCCTACAGGGTTGCCACTCAGCTGGCTGCGACTTGACAGCAAAAAAAAGTGTTGCCACCAGCCATGCTCCCTCTAAGCTGTGGAGTCCTGTGAGCAAAAATGCTACTTCGTGAGCTGCTGGCGTTAAAGTTGTGAGCGAGCGATTTGGCTGCTGCATAAATTAGTTTGCTCTGGAGCCCTCCTTCCTGAGCGGAGACAAAAGTGTTTGAGCCGGAGGCTAAAAAGCCGCGAGCTCGCTCACACTAACTCAGCTTAGAGGGAACACTGGTCAGGTCACATGGCATAACTGTTCTCTGCTGTCTGCAAAATTGGTTCAGGTGGGTAGCTGTGTTGACCTGAAGCAACGGCACAAAGTTGAGGGTTCAGCGGTACCTTTAAGACCAACAAAATTTTATTCTGGGTGTATGAGTTTCCATGTGCATGCACACTTCTGATGAACCAACGGGGCTGCCCTCCTGAATCTATCTGAAGCAGTGTGTCTGCACACAAAAGCTTATACCCAGAATTAAACGGTGTTGGTCTCAAAGGTGCCCCACTGGACCCCAACTTTGTTCTGTTGCTTCAGACCAACACGGCTCCCCCCCTGAATCTATCTGAAGAAGTGTGCATGCACACAAAAGCTTATACCCAGAATTGAATTTTGTTGGCCTTAAAGATGCCGCAGGACTCAAACTTTGCAAGATTTGTGTTAATGCTTCTTTCCAAGAGGGTTCTTGCCTGCCTCTGTTCCCCTGTCCTGACGCTTTGCTTTAAATGTTAGGCGGTTGGCAGGGTTCGAAGTCCCTCGACTGCAGTGGGCTTAGTAAAGGTTTCCCTTGCTCGAAAGCCAGTCGAATCCGACTCTAGGGATGCGGTGCTCATCTCCGTTTCCAGGCCGAAGAGCCAGCGCTGTCCAAAGACATTTCCGTGGTCCTGTGGCCGGCATGATTAGACGCCGAGGCGCACAGAATGCTACTACCTTCCCCCTGAAGCGGTACCTATGTATCTACTTGCAATTTCTTGCTTTCAAACTGCTGTGTTGGCAGGAGCTGGGACCAGAGACGGGTGTTCACTCCCTCATGCGGCACCAGGGTCTCGAACTGCTGAAGTACCGACCTTCCGGTCTGCAGTTCAGCATCTGAAAAGGGCGTAGTAAATGGGGCCAGGATTGCACTCTGGCGGAGCAGAGAGGTTGTGCTTTTTGTTCCTGGTGGGAAGGGGGGCGCTGGAGACCCGGCCCCTTGTAGGTCCCGCGGAAGCCCCTTTCTTCCTCCTGAGCCAGGGAGGAAGGGACACGCACACACCCACACCCCGGGCCCTCCCCTCCCCAGGCGCCCCCCGCGGCCCCTTACCCAGCTGCTCGTAGCTCTCCGCGATGTTGCCGGCTCCGCACCACAGAGTGCCCGGGTAGGTGAAGCCTCGCTTGGCCCGCCGTCGAGGGGAGGCGCCGCTGGGCTCCGGCTGCCGGCAGGCCGCTTTGGCCGCCTCGAAGTCGGGGAAGGCCGGCCCCCGCCGCGACTCCCGCCGGCTGCAGCGACTCAGGAAGGCGGCCAAGCCCGGGGGCTCGAGG